CACTTAGTTGGCAGGGGGAAACATAACACCTTATTTCTTTCAACTTTATAAGACATTGTTGGCTACTCTTGGAACATAAATTCCAGATTTGAGCTGGGTAGGAGAGAGAGGAAGCAAAGTCCACATTGACAAGAAATGAGCCATGTCAATTTGCCCCTAAAAAATTCAACAGGTTTTTTCTAATATTCCCCACAGTGGAAGTCATTTCTGCATTTGGCACTGGGTCCACACAACATGTTACCCACGACCCTAACACCACCCTGGGGTCGTGACATTGGGGCCCCTGAGTCAGTCTCCAGTGAGGAACCCAGAGGAAATCACAGGGAATCTTTCTGTGAAGGCCCTAGAAGAAGAACCCGATTCTTCATGTCTCTGTCCCCAGTCCTGACTAGTGAAGAGGTTTCACTTTAGATTATGGAACATTTAGGAAACTGAAGGCTTACCCAGATCCCATCAGAGTTTACAACACTGAGGACTTTTGGAAAGGGCTTCCCTGGTGGCTCAGATTGTAAAGAATCTGCCTACAATACAGGAGACCTGGGGTCGATCCCTGTGTCGGGAAGATCCGCTGGAGAAGGGAATGGCAACCCACTCCAGTATTCTTGCCTGGAGAATTCCACGGACAGAGGAGCCTGGCCAGTTACAGTCCATGGGGTTGCAAAGAGTCAGACATGACTGAGTGACTAACACACACAAAAGACTTTTGGAAAAGCAACATATCACAAAGAACCTGAAAGCAAAAACAATTCCTAACCTTTGCTAACTCTTTACTGTTATAAGACCTTGCAAAGATACTTTGCATCTTTTGTTTTAGTTCTTTACTTGTTTAAAAAAAGAGAGCAGGTGGCAACTTTGTCTCAAGGGTACTGAAACAGCAAGTAATTTTAAAGCACAGTCATAATACAAGGATAGCATGAATGTCAATTCACAAAGGGTACTGCAAACTTCAGTTCTCAGAAAATAAAATTAGCCCAGTGGGACAAATACAGCTTCAAAAAGAAACTTGTCAAGAGGGCTTTCAGGCTGGGTCAGCACAAATATATTGATGTACCACAGATATGGGGCTGCAGGACCCATCTCCGCCCTCTTGAAGCTTTGACTCAAGATACCTCACTTTAGGGGACTTCCCTGGTCATCAGGGGTTAGGACTTCAAGCTTCTATTGCAGCAGGCACAGGTTTGATCCCTGGTCAGGGGACTAAGAAGCCAGTGCAACCAAAAAGAAGAAAAAAAAAAGATACCTCACTTTCATAATGCTATTTTATACTCTTATTTTATACTCTCATTTATACTCTCATTTTAAAAATTTAAGCAAAGAACTTTTTTAAAAAACATCCCACTCCTGGGACTTCCCTGGTGGTCCAGTGGTTAAAACTATGCACTTTCACAGCCAGGGTCAAAGTTCGATCCTTTGCCAGGAATTAAGATCGCATGTGCCCGTGGCACAGCCAAAATTAAAAAACACCCCACTCCCATACCTATTTTCTACTGGTCCCTCCCATCTTCCCAAATGTAACTCCTCTTAGCTATTTGCTGGGCTGTATTCAGAGCATTTGCTTGCCTATGTGTATATTGTAACCGACTTTTAAATATACAGTTTCTTATTCAAGGATTAAGTATTTGACCTGAGGGACTTAAATATTAATGTGAACCTCTAGATTAAAACTTAATCTCTGCAGATTGATTGTGCCCTTTACACAGTAGAAGCTAACTCCAGGGTAATTACACAAGAAATCAGTATCGTAGTTAAATTTCAAATATCTGGGGACTTGATTTCCAGTCTGGGAACTCCTGAGTCCTCTCTGCTGTTCCAGCTCCACCTGGGTACCACGTTTGGGCTGTGTTATCTCTCCTCAGTGCCTACCCCAGAAAGTAAAATGGTTATAATGAAAAGACTCCGAGACTCGAAGCTCGAAGCGAGTAGATACATGTATACGTATGGCTGAGTCCCTTCACTGTTCATCTGAAACTGTAAGACAGTTAATCACTATGAGAAGTGAAAGTGTCAGCTGCTCAGCTGTATCTGACTCTTTGTGACCTCATGGACTGTAGCCCACAAGTTTCCTCTGGAATTCTCCAGGCAAGAATACTGAAGCAGGTAGCCATTCCCTTCTCCAGCAGATGGGATCGAACTTGGGTCTCCTGCATTGAAGGCAGATTCTTTACCATCTGAGCCACCAGGGAAGCCCCATGAATGGCTATACCCCAATACAAAAAAAAAAAAGAAAAGACTCTGAGTATAATTGTCATTACTTGTTACATTTTTCATTAGTGCATTAAAAAAAAAAAAACCAAAGAATTTGGAAATTAATTTTTCTCCAATTGCCTAAAATAAGGTTTGAGTTTATCAGCAAGCTCTGCTTACTCATGGCCCCACAGCACCCTTCTCCTTTGCCCGCAACCACGGACAATCAAGGTTTGGCTCTGGTTGAGATTTATAGGAGAACAGACCTAGAGTTCCCTTTCTACCCGGGCCTGCTCATGTCCAGTTGGCTGATGCTCAGGGCAAGGTTCCAGGCCTATATTTTGGGGAAGGATCATCCAGAGAGATAGAGGCGGATGTGATTTGGCGGCCGTGTGAGATCTGGCATGTGATTTTACGTGCTGTGGTGTTGTGTTTCTTAAATTCAGTACATGCACTTAGAAGGCTGTTCATCACCATCACGGAACATCCAGGCAGCATCCACTTGGCACTGGAGGCAGTCGGAATGTCTTTTTAAAACAACATTTTAGTGAGGGGCCTGGGAAATGCACGATGGCGTGGCACTGCATGGTACTAACCTGTTATGCTGATGCTGGCGTTTCATGGGAAATTACGATATTTTCCCATTTCTGACAATCAGCAAGAATTCTGGAAGGACATAGGCTACATTTTATAATTGTTTTCATTTATTCAGTGAAAGCAATGGCAAGCACATATTTTGAAATAAAACATTTCTAGAGTTAATATAAATGAATATTAGAACTTTGTCTTCACTGCTTTTCTTGCTTTCTTATACAACTCAGAAATAAGGAAGAACTTTCTTTTTTTTTGAATGGAGGAGAAGGAAAGAGTTGCTTTATTACTTTGCCAGGCAAAGGGGAAACACAGTAGGCTAGTCCCTCAAGTACTGTGCCCCCAGAAGAATGCTTTTGTAAACCGATCTTCAGAACAAAGTTGTCTTGCCCATTGCCTACAAGTCTCTCCAGAAATATTTTCCACCGTGGGTTGGGATTTCGGATTTGTGATGATAGATTTCACCCGCAGGTTTTTGGATGACCTACCTCTATACCATGCGGTAAAATCCCAGCACTTCATTTCACTGAGTATACTATTATTTTGCTGTCATCAGAACAGATACCCATGTATCACTCAAGGGAATAATGGGATCCCAAATATTTTTTAAAGGATCCAAGTAAAATACCTGAGGTCAGCTTTGCAGGAAGAAATTAGCAAAGGAAATGAGCGGTGGCCCCTTGTTCCTTAAAATCATCGCGTTAGCTAGCAGAGTTCAGGACATACTGATGAAGTGTATGGTTCATCTTCTGATTTGGGAAAATGAGTTTGGCTAAGAGAAGCAATGTTGTCCCATCAGGAGACCGTCTTCCTGACGACTGAATGTCCTCCTGGGAAAAAAGAAGGGGGCCAGCTGATGACCCCAAAGTTCCCTTTGGAGCAGAAATTCTCTGCCTGCCAGCAGGGCTTTCCCTATTTGGCCCCTTTCCCAGCAATCAAGTTATTAGAAGATTAGGAGGGGAGAAGGGTGAGTGAAATGACAGGTCAGCATATTTCTGAAGGGCCCATTTACTTTACCATGTGTCCGCATGCAGAGCCCAGCCGAGTTCAGAGGAGTTGCTTCGGGAAAACAAGACACAAGTTTGACATCACAATGTCATGTTTTCAAAAAAAAAAAAAAAAAAAAAAGAATGACAAGTTCCTCCAGGTATGGGTTTATCACAGTTTAACCAACTGGAAACTCTATCTCCCTTCTTTCTTATCAATACCTATGCTACTAAGAAAACAATTTATTTGACTAAAACTCATAAATAATAATAGATCTCTCTTACACTGCTGTGCAAATGAAACAAGATAATAAGAGATACTAAACCCTCAACACCGTGGTTGGCAGCAGTAAACCATACATAATTGTTAGCTATTGTTGCATTGGTGAAAAACTCACTTTTGATAATCCCCTTTAATTTATGAAGCAATTTCATGTTGCTATTGTATTCACTCCAATCTTTTAGCACATATTTAAGGAATGCCTACCGTGATGTGCCAGACTCTGCTCTGAGAATACAATTGTGACCAGGATCGGCAGAGGCCATACCCTCCCAGAATGTATGTTCTGGTTGCAGGAGAAAAACAGTAAACAAGAAAACAGGGTGTGAGAGGGGATTTGCCCTCCCAGGAATGTGCCCTGAATCACAGCTGCTGACTGGTTTACTGGAGAAGGACAGTTGCCTCTGCTCTGAGCTGAGGAGTATGCAAGAGCCCATCAGCAAAGATGGGGGAAATACCCTTAGAATTTCTGCAAGAGATAACACCACCTTCTCCACCCAGAGTTTCCAGTCTCCTTGGAGGAAACTGCCAAAAGGTTTGGTCCTCAGAGGGGAGACAGAACCGCATCAATCAAATGTGTATTTATTCAGTGCTGACATGCAGAGAGAACTGGGATAGGCCCGCGAGAAATCCTCGTCCCTGTCACCAATTTGTTTATAATCTGGCTCAACCGAGATGGACTCACATAAAATGCTTTGTAAGCAGTACACGAAGGTTTACCCGAAGGCCATCCTGGAATGGATCCTTGACAAATAGTTGCTGCGGGAATTGCTTGTTAAAAGTTGTAGGAGGGCAGATAGAGGAGAGATTCGAGGGCCTGGGAGTTCCCGGGAAGCTCCAGGGCTCTGGTTCAGGATGTGAGAGGTGTGTGGGGTGGCGGTTTCAGGCCAAGGAGAAGCGCGCGAGTAAAGCTTTCACGGTGCGGGCCCTAGGAGAGTGGATCACACAAGATGGCGGCGCAGACTTACTCCACCAGCATGCTCACTTCCGCCATGCTTTGTGCGCGGGGGTCTCCCCTGACCTTTCTTCCTGATGTAACGACCCACAGCCTCCCCAAAAGATTACATTTCATTCCAGAGTCTGCCAAGAGAATGGAAAGCACTTCAGGCATTCCAGGGGAAGATTTAATACAGGGAACCAGTTACAACTTTGTTGGGAGGGACGCAGGAGCAAGTCAACTAGGGGCTGTCACCAAAGGTAAATATGTATAGAAAACGACCAAGTCCCTTGGGCTGCAGGAGCAATGAGGCAGGGTGGTGCTCCCGTTGCCTCTGGCACGCCTGGGGTCGGGGGTGGGGGTTGGCTTAGTCCTTAAGTCCTGTCTGCGACTCTTTTGTGATCCCATGGATTGTAGCCCGCCAGGCGTCTCAGTCCATGGGATTCTCCAGGCAAGAATACTGGAGTGGGTTGCCATTTCCTCCTCCAGGGGATCTTCCCCACCCAGGGATCAAACGCCCGGCTCCTGCATTGAAGGTGGATTCTTTACCGATTGAGCCACCAGGACATCCCTGGGTTACTATTTTCTTGACTGCTTGCTGATTGGTAATGTATCTTAACTTGCAAGAAGTTTATTTAAGTGACCACAGAGCAGATTCAGAATACAAATAAAATAATGGAGGACACCCCCCCCCCCAAAAAAAAGCAGAGACTGCAATATTCAGGGGTATGGGGAAATCCTGTCACCTGCCTGCCTACTGCTAGAGAGGGCCTGTCACTAGATGCCACGCATATCCTTGCTGGCAGTGGGCTGGGGTTGCTCTCTCCCTCCCAGCTGTGGCAAGGCTGAGCATGAGTTGGGTGTCCACAGGGTCCTTCCCCTCAGAACTGAAGAAGCTTGAGCTGCAGGCCCCACCAGACAGGCAATCCTGGGAAAGGTCCAGGAGTATGTTCATGTGGTCATGTTGTTTGCAAAATAGCAAAAGTATCATATTTTAAATGCAATCAGTTACCACCACTCAGTATTTCTCCTTTCACTTTCCTTTCACTTCTCTGTGTCAGGTGGCCATGAGGTAGCCCCACATTTCTGTGATGAGGTGGATGGAGTGGGGGGGGGGGGATGTACAATAAGGATGATTTATTTTGGATTTATTTAGATACATCCTGGTGACTTGGGGGGGGGGGGGGGGGGGGATGTACAATAAGGATGATTTATTTTGGATTTATTTAGATACATCCTGGTGACTTGCAGTTAACTTCTCTGTATATTTCAGTTCAGTTCAGTCCAGTTTAGTCATGTCTGACTTTTTGCGACCCCATGGACTACAGCACACCAGGCTTCTCTGTCCATCACCAACTCCCGGAGCTTACTCAAACTCATGTCCATCAAGTCAGTGATGCCATCCAACCATCTCATCCTCTGTCATTCCCTTCTGCTCCAGACTTCAGTCTTTCCCAGTATCAGGGTCTTTTCCAGTGAGTCAGTTCCTTGCAGCAGGTGCCCAAAGTATTGGCATTTCAGCTTTAGCATCAGTCCTTCCAATGAATATTCAGGACTGATTTCCTTTAGGATTGACTGGGTGGATCTCCTTGCTGTCAAGAGTCTTCTCCAACACCACTATACAGTCCATGGACTTCTCCAGGCCAGAATACTGGGGTGGATAGCCTTTCCCTCCTCCAGGGGATCTTCCCAACCCAGGTCTCCCGCATTGAAGGGGAATCTTTACCAGCTGAGCCACAAGTGAAGTCCCTCTGTATATTTATGTTACTGCTAAGCCTTCCTGGTATGGTCATGGCTCCTAGGACCCTTCCCATCTCTCTCCCTGCCTGGTGGTATGATTGGAAAAGCAGGGCTGAAAGGAGTATCTTAATATTCCTGGGGCACTTGGTACCTAAGGTACACAGACTGTGGAGGAGAAAAAAAAAGGGGGGGGGGGGGTTGAAATGAATGCAGCCCTAGTCTGGCCTGTGAAAAATTCTTCCACTCATCAGACATGTAAATGGTAAACCAAAGATTTGGTTCTCATTAACACCTAGTCAAAATAGCCTGCTCTCCTGTCAAGATACTGCAGGAGTGAAGGTCAGAGGTCCCGTCAATAACAGAACGATCCTCCTGGCCCAGTGCTAAGTCCCACAGTGGTTAATGGCAGTAACGGGTCTTCAGCTCACTAAGAGGACTTTACTGACCCCTTGTGGAAGAGAGGAGGTGGTGCACTCGTTTGTTTAGTCGCTCAGTCGTGTCTGACTCTTCGCCGCCCCATGGAGGGCAGCACGCTTCCCTGTCTTTCACCAGGGGTGCACCCAGAGAGATCCCAGTTTGGGGAACTTCCTTTTCTACCGTTCTTCGGGGGAAAAAATCAAGGGGCAGAAAGGTGAGGTATGTTACTAACTCGAACTGCCCAGGTTCTTTCCATTCATCTTGAAATTCTGTTATTTCTCATATCAACTTTTTGCCCCCAACACACATCAGGGCTCTCATCAAAGGCAGGAGATGTGTGATGTCAACTTGTGATGGTTTAAAAAAAAAAAACCACAACGATGGAGGGAAGGGTAGGGAGCAGATAAGAAAAAGAAATCCAATTTTGGATCCTAGCACAGCTACTGACTAAAATGAAAGAGTGTGAGCAATATGTTTCATGTCTCTGAGTCTCACCATCCTCACAGGTAAAATGAAACTCAGTGAGTTTGGTGTGCATGGTAGGTGCTTAATGAGATTTAGGCTGCTATCATTAAACTTAACGATGTCATATTTATTCATCATCTTGATGCTCACTGAACAGTCACTTCACACTCCTGTATAGAACATCTTTTAAAAAGAGAAGAAAAAAAATATCTAGAAGTTTCTTTTCAATGAACAATTTCCTCAGCTGGGACCAAGTCTGACAGAGCCTCTGACAATACACACAGAGAGAAAACACCTGTTGTCCAGGAAGCCTGGTTTCCCTGGGGCGAGCAGAATTCCATGCAGGGGGCACAGAGAGACCAGCCCCCCACTCACCCCCTGCCTCCCCAGCGGGGCCAGGAGGACTGTCCTGGGCTCTGGTGTGTGTCTGCTTTTATCTTCCCATAGGAAATGCCTGAAGTCCCACTCAGAAGTAAATGCTCTTTGCTGAAACTGGAAGGAGACAATTCCTATTTTCCCAACCTGCAGTTGAGGTTCCCTGTGCTCCGGGGTAAGTGGCCCTCAGTGTTCCCTGGCAGTGGGAGGGTGCGGGGTGAGAGCGGGGGCACGGTCAGGACATCAGCTGGCGTGCTCTTCCCCCACAGAAGGCTCCAGGGGCTGGGCGATGACTCCTCACCCTGCCCTTCTTCCTGGGGGGAGGGGAGATGAGGCTGGAGGATAAGATGCTGGATTAAACCAGAGTCTGGGGAGCGGGAAACCAACCTGCCTGGCTTAGGATCACTTGGCCAGAGCCCCAGAACGACGCCCACCACTTTGCAGGCCACTCTGACCTCCCACTCACTGAGCCAGGCAGCCCAGAAGCAGACTTTGTAGGCCACCCTCTCTCAGCTCTGGAATGACAGGCAACTTCTACTTTTCCTTTTCCTGTTTCCCTCTGCAGAGCAATTTTTCTTTTTTTGATCTTTTTATCTTGTATTGGGGTATAGCCGATTAACAATGTTGTCATGGTTTCATGTGAATAGCAAAGAGACTCATCCATATATCAACATGTATCCATTCTCTATGGAGCAACTCTTTAAAAAGTCATTCTATATAATATTAAGTCATTTTTACTAAAATGTGAGAGGTTGGGCAGAGACCACATGCAGAGTATGCATATTTGTGTTTTTAAAAACAAGAGGGAACCAATATATACATGTATTTTGTAGTATTAAAATAAAAACAGTGGAGGGAAAATAAACCATAATATTATTTATAGGAGAATGGAGGATGGAAGGGATAGGAAAGGAAGCTAGACTTCATGGACTATATCTTGCTTTGTGGAATTGACTTTGAAAAAATGTACACATTTCACGTAACTTAAAATGAAATTTAAAAAATTAATGATGAAGGCAATTCCTAATATCTGAAAGTGAGTTGATAGCATAATGATATAGAGAGAGCTACTCCAGGGTCTTCAAAATAGTCATTTCACTAAAACATCCCCAGTGGGATTTACTATAATGTTAAAAAAAAAAAAAACCTGCAAAAATATTTTAACTGTTTTCAGAAATCATACTGTTGGTGATAACACTGCGGCTGTGCAATAAAGCAAATACATTTATTAACTGGTTGAAAAGAGAACTAGACATAAAATCAATAAGGCTAAATAAACAGCCAGTGGTCCTGAATTTGAGATCCAAGATTCTTCAGTTTCAACTCATAGCATTTCTCTTAAAAATGTTCCTAGCTCTTTCCACTGAAAAGGCCAAGAAGCAATGACCAACCCCAAAGCACTGACACCTCTAGCGCCCAAATTATGGCCTCTAGATATCACTTATCACTAAACAGAGTCAGGAGTCCTTGGAGAAATGTTCTATTCCACGTCTGTGCAGAGAATATACAGGACGAGACTGGAAATTTTGTCATTTCAGAAAGCGAGAAAACTCCCAACGAGGAACACATTTGAGTCAGTAGAACTCAGGAGCCAGTTTGAGTAACTTTCCACCAACCAGAGATGGGACAGTGTGAGCGCCAATGAGTACGGTGTAACTGCAATATACTATTAATAAAGTGTATAAAATGTTTAAATCCATGAAATTAAAATATTGTTTAAAAAAAAGGTCATCTTTGGAAGATGCAAAGAAACAACTCACTGATCAGTTTGTTCTTCGGTCTCTCAGTTGTGTCCAACTCTGCTACCCTATGAGCTGCAGCATGCCAGGCTTCCCTGTCCTTCGTTATCTCCCAAGTTTACTCATGCAATCAATCAATTATACCAGAAATAATTAGTCCCTGCCTTTCTTTAAACAGGTCTTCTGAGTAAATATACTGTGTCAAGGCAAAGCCTGGCTGCACTATAACTTCAGGGGGAGAGCAGCCATCTGATGGCTGGGAATGGGAGGAGCTGAACAAATCCTGCTGCCAGGTTGGAGAGGCTAAGATGATGCTTAGACTCTCAAGCCAAACTGTCTGTTTCCTGGAGAAGAGCCTCAGCGAATGGGATCGCTACACGATTACTTGTGGAGATCACTAATATTCTTTTTTAAAATAGAAATACAATTCACATATTATAAAATTCACTTCAAATTATTAAAGTTCAGTAGTTTTTAGGTAACTGTGCAACTCAATCCAGAACATTTTCATCTCCCCTATAAGAAACCCCGTAACAGAAGTCAGTCCCCCTTTACCCTTCTCCCAAGTCACTGGCAGTCACCGAAGTCCATTGTCTGTATAGAACAATGTCTGTATTCTGGGAATTTCATTTAAATGGACTCATAGAGTATGTGGCCTTTTGTGTCTGGTACAGTTTCTCAAAAGGCGAAACATTTATGTTTGTTTGTCATATGTAATATATTCCTTCCTGAGCTTTCAGTTCAAATCTTTGCTCATTTTTTAAATTCAGTTGCTTTCTTATGCTCAAGTTCTAGGGTTCTTTTTACATTCTGTATACAAGCCCCTTTATGTGTTTTGCAGGTATTTTTTTCCAACCTGTGGCTTACTTTTCATTTTCTCAAAAATGTCTTTTGCAAAGCGTACGTTTTTAACTTTAAGGAAGACCAATTTAACAATCGTTTCCTTCATGTGTCATGCTTTTAGTGTGGTATCTAAAAACTTATAACTAGGGAGTTCCCTATGGGTCTAATGGTTGGGACTGGGCACTTTTCACTCCCATGGCCCAGGTTCAAACCCTGGTAGAGGAATTCCTGCAAGCATGCAGCAAAAAAATAAAATGAAATGAAAAGGGATGGAATGAAATGAAGTAGAATAAAATACATAACACACTAAACTCAAGGTCACCTGGATTTCCCCTTGTTACCTTCTAGAAGTTTTGTTATTTGGCATTTCATATTTAGCCCTATGATGCATTTTGAGTTAATTTTTGTGAAAGGTGTAAGGTCTGAATCTAGGTGTGGTTTTTTTTTTCTACATGTATATGCCCAGTTGCTGCTGGCGGTTTTTTTTGGTTTGTTCTAGTTACTAAGTCGTGTCTGGCTCTTCGAGATATTCCAGGCAAGAATATTGGAGTGGATTGCCATTTCCTTCTCCAGGGGATCTTCCTAACCCAGGGGTCAAACCTGCTGGCTCCTGCAGTGGCAGGATTCTCTACTGCTGAGCCAGTTGTTTCTGTACCATTTCTTAAAAAGACTACCCTTTCTCCATTTCATTGCCATCATCAAAGATCTGTTGACTATGTTTGTGTGGGTCTATTGGTAGGCTCTCTGTTTAATCAATCCACTTGCCCAATCTTTTGCCAATATCACAGTCTTGATGACTTCTTAAAAAATTGAGATACAGTTATCTACAATGTCTTATTTTAGCTTTATAGTAAGTCTTTAGGCAGATAGTTTGTCCTATGACTTTGATCATTTTTAATATTTTTCTAGCTATTCCAAGTCTTTTGTCTTCCCATATACTGTAGTATTGGTTTGGTGATGTCTATAAAATAACTCGCTGGGATTCTGTTTGGGACTGCACTGAATCTATAGATGAGGTTGGGAAGAACTGACATCTTAACAACACTGATTGCTTCTATCTATAGTCATGGAATCTCTCTACTTAGATTTTCAAAAATTTCTTTTATCAAGAGTTTTATAGTTTTCCTCATATAGATCTTTCACATGTTTTGTTATATTTATACACAAGTATTTTTTTGGTGCTAATGTAAGTGGTGGGCTTCCCTGATAGCTCAGTGGTAAAGAAATGCAAGAGACATGGGTTCAATCCCTGAGTTGGGAAGATCCCCTGGAGAAGGAAATGGCAACCCACTCCAGTCTTCTTGCCTGGGAAATCCCATGGACAGAGGAGCCTGGTGGGCTACAGTCCATGGGGTCAAAAGAGTTGCACAGGACTTAGCACAACTAAACAAATATAGATGATATTATTTTAAATTTCGAATTTCAACTTTTCATTGTTGGTATATAGAAAAGCAGTTAACTTTTGTACATTAACTTTTTATCTTGCAACCTTGCTATAATTGCTTATTAATTCCAAGAGTTTTCCTGTCAATTCTTTAGAAACTTGCAAATAGACAATCATGTCATCTACAGTTTTCTTTCTTTCCAATCTGCATAGTTTTTACTTCCTTTTCTTACTGCATTAGCTAGGAAAATAGGAGGGGACCTCAGGAGGGGACCTCTTTGCCTCCTTCTCAACCTTATGGGGAAACAGCACCTAGTTTCTAAGTCTCAGAGTAATGTCAGCTGTAGGTTTTTTGTAGATGTTCTTTATCAAGTTGAGGATGTTCTTTTCTGTTCCTAGTTTACTGAAAGTTCTCATCAATTCATTTGCCCATTCATTCTTTTGCCAGGGGCAAAAAGAAAATGGATTTTTTTTTTTTTCTTTTTTTGGCCATGCGGCATGGCTTGTAGGATCTTAACCACTGGGCCACCAGGGAAGTCCCAAGGATCCTTAAAAGTGGAAAATTTCAGGAAGCAGAAGAGGCATTGATTGTCAGCATGATGCAAAGTGAGACTCAGATGGCCACTGATGACTTTGAAGACAAACTGGGGCCAAGGAAAGTGGGCTGCCTCCAGAAACTAGAAAGAGCAAGGACATGGAACTTCCTAAGAGCAACCAGAAAGTGCTGACAACAGGCTGATTTGAGCCCAGGGAAACTCAAGTCAGACTTCTGACCTCCCAGGCTCCTACTGTGTTAAGCCAAAACAGTCATGGTAATTTGCCACAGAGCAATAGGAAACTAACACAATACTCTTGCACTATTACATTCATACTAAGGGCATATAATCTTTGTGAACTTCAGTCTTTCTTCAGTGTGGTTTGGCCATGGTCAGCAGCCAAAGACACTCTGATTCAATTGTCTATTTTTGTATTAAATCAGGGTTAACTTCACTTATAAAGGCTTTCCCCAAACTGTACATCAATATTTCACTCAAGATATATTACTTGTTGTTCTGTGAAAATAAAAGGAAGTAAGGTCAACAGTCTTAAATGTATAAGAAATAATATTTATACTGATTGAAAATCTGCCTTTCAAAGAGTTGCCATATCTAAGAGTGAGAACCTAACATGAAGTGGCATTTTAAGCATGAGTACATGGTATCTGGATTATAACATCAGCGCAAAGGCAGCACTGCTTAGCAGCTGCAGGGACATAGCATCAACTCTGGGACTGATGGTCACTGTTCCAGGTCTTGTCTTATCTTTTCATATAATGTTTATCATCTTTTTATCCTTAAGATAAAAATAAATCTCTCATCTAGTTTTGCTATAAGGAGAAAAAACTATTAGCCAGATGGTCATTCTTTAGCAATTAATTTATGGGAGAATAATTTTTGGTGTTCTACTTTAATCTAAGCACTTGTTTTATCTTTTAAACTCCTATCACTGCCCTGCAATGTATCATTTAAAAGTTTTCATTATTAGTCAGTCTGGGAAATGCTACACTGTAAGACTAACAATTTTAATTTCTCTGAAGAACAAATACCTATCAATGATAAAAAGCAGAAATCAGATTTTCTAAAATGGGTTTATTTTAAAAACCTATACAGAATTTCAATTTAATAAAAAAATATTGCCACAAAATGTCTAATTATACAGCAATAGAAATAAACCACCAAATTTGGTTAATTAGAGGTTATCCAAAAAAATAAATTCACAATTTTAAAGGTGGAATACATATGTTTTTCAAATAAACAATTTTAAAAGGTTTTTGTTTTAGATGGTTTTGCTCTTAAACATCTGAGTTATATACATACTTAATTTTTGAACTAAATTAGACAACCTCCCAGTAACTTCACAAATAAGTACTTCTATTAACTTGAAAAATAAAATAACCCACAAAACCCTTCTATTACTGATTTAGTCACAAAATGCTAACAAAGTCAAGTAAATCATTGTTTTAAAATGTGTACCTCTTCAAAATGAAATCTACATTGGAGTTGTGAAGTGTAATAAACTTTTTATAGAAGTTGAGTCTTTCATGACTAGTCGATTTATTTTCTTTCAAGTTTATCCTTTAGACTACTTTTACAATATCTCTTAATCCTGAGAATGTGAGGTGTTAAAATAAGAAAACCTTTGGCCCCATTGATAGAGAGGTACCTTAAATGTAAACAATTGCAGTGAGAGCCTTCTAGACGTGGGCACCTTGTCTTGTATAGAGTTGGAGATGTATTTCCTTGTTTCTCAAAGACATGATAATTTCCTTCCCAATAAAAAGATTTGATGTATTGAGATTTATTTTCAAATTACATAAAGAATCAAAATTCATGTATACATCTTTAAAGAATAGTTTCAAAAGATCAGCGAAAAGCATTATATAATATTATATCATATGCTTTATTAATGGTAAATGTTTGCATTTATTTTTAAAAGCTTAGCTCTCGCTAAGCATTTTTTAAGAGAAAGCTAATAAATGAGAATCATTTGCCATACAAAAACTATATTCAGAAACAAGACTTTAATCAAATGAAAGCTAAAAAACACTGGAAAAAGTACAAAGCAGAACACTGCTATGAGTCAATTAAACTGCCTTCTATCACTAAATGTAAGGTATCTAGGATGACACAAGCGTACTGAACAGAACATTTTGTGAATTCAGTCTAAGTAAGACCAGCGTTTAAGAGTGACACGCAATTCATGATTTTCTTAAAAAAAAATTTTAACCGAATCATTTAAACAAAAGGTCTTCTTTTCATTTGAGGGGAAGACAGTCTGTTTTCCAAATAGATTCTCCTTTTTTGCTAAAATAGCAAAAGGTATGAACTCTAGCTCCTCTTCCCAGGTACTACTGATACATGACTTGGCATAATGACTTAACATAAAAGTACTTTCCTGGTAACTGTGTCATGGCCGTAAATAATGCATTAAAAAAAAATAATCAAGTGCAAATCTAAAAAAACTTCCTTTAAAGAATTACCCAAACCCAGCACACAAGCAGTATCGCTATTACATGAGCTAAGAAATACAACTTATCAACGTGTGTATGATGATAAACGCACACCAAAGACCACCTTCTATAAAATTTTTGTAGTGTTGCCAAGTTAATAATTCTTTCAAGGCACTGAAGAATTATGTAGATGGATTTCCCAAAATAAAACTAACAATTGCTTAAACTGTTAAAAAGCCCTGAGTCAGAACTTTCAATGACTTCCTGAAATTATTGATTTCAGACAAAATGGCACATTTGTTTATTCTATAGAAAATTACAAGACCATTTTGCTTTTTGGAGGGAAGAAGTCATGTTTATGAAACAAAACTAAATAGACTGCACAAGAAAAGTAATATATTCAGCAATATTATCTCTCTTACACATTTCATATTAATTGTAACTTGTAGTTACGGATTTAGGCACCAAATTGATGTGGCAAGTCACCTTTGCTTCCTCAACAAAATAAAAATCTCAATTTTAACCTCAGGTTTCCATCTCCTCCTTAATCACAAATATGAATAAATGCTGGAAAATACTCTGAGAGAAAAGGAGGTAGAAAATGCCAATGTAGCAACTTACAATTTTAATTCACCAGTTCTACTATCTAGTTCATATTTTTATACTCTAGTTTCACCACTAACCACTTACCAGCAAATTGAGGCTCAATCTAAAAAAATTCCCCCCTTGCTGTAACAAAGCAATGTATACATGAGACAGCATTAAATAGCTTTTCCTCAATTTTAGTGTTTTAAAGAAGTACAACTGTAATTAATACTGTTATAGTTTTACATATATGTAAAGGTTCCAAGGCTATACATAATTCATCAAGTTATATCAGTAAGCATTCCTATTATAATACTCAAGCAAATAAAATTAGGATGCCTTTTTGAAAGAAAAAAAATCTTGAAAACAGTTACAAGTAGACTTAAAGAAAACTGACATTTTCAACAACATGGCACACAAAATTTGTGAAGCTCTAATACCTTCTCAATTTAGTATAAATTCAAACCTGATTACAATGTTTAAAGTGTGTTTCTCATGTATATTATCTAGGGTGAAACAGATAACCAGCCCAGGTTGGGTACATGAGACAAGTGCTCGGGCCTGGTGCACTGGGAAGACCCAGAGGGATCGGGTGGAGAGGGAGGTGGGAGGGGGGACTGGGATGGGGAATACATGTAAATCCATGGCTAATTCATTTTAATGTATAACAAAAGCTACTGTAATGATGTAAAGTCATTAGCCTCCAACTAATAAAAATAAATGGAAAAAAAAATAATAAATAAAGTGTGTTTCTCCCCTCTGACTCAAAATGAAATAAACCCTTCTAATTAACAGATATTTAAAACCTACTCAATTACGACTGATGATGACTGGGAGGGAGAAGAGAAATTCTGTCTTCCCCAAACTTGATTATTCACCATCACTGTAGGTCTTGCAAATACAAACTCTTAAGATATTCAGGTGTTTCTCCATTTATATTTAATCAAAATTCTATTCCACTGGAGGAGGGAGAAGAGGACTGCTGCTTAATGGGTATAGTTTCAACTCTGCAAAATGAGAAAGTTGAATATACTTCTATAGTTACTGCTTTGATAAAATCTACATGATCCCAATTTTTCTCTAAACTCAAAAACTGACTTTTTCTTTTTTTAATTGCTGCAATCCCTATCATCCCCCCTATCCAATTTCATCACCAATTCTCCAAGTTCATAAGTTTAAATAATTCTTAGTCCAAAAGGGTCCAAAATTCACAATAAACAAAAAACAGCACTGGGCAACACATAACACTACAACACAAGACCGTCTATTTCTGCCATGTAAAAATGACCTAGCAAGCTTTGAAATTTGAATTGGACAAATCTTAAGCAGCATGCATTGCAATATGCTAAATGCTCTTACAGGCTAAAGCCATCAAAAACATAAATTTAGGAAAGTTATTTTCAACATTATCAATTAATTTTATGCCTCAGTAGCTAGATGGTCAATCTGCAATGTTTAAATTTACAAATAACCAAGCATAATTTGGCCAGCTAAACTAAAACACTTGTGTAATATAATATTCCAATACTAATACAACAAAATGATCTTCTCTTGAAAAACTTCCCTGCTCCCAACAAAATGAAATATGCTTATGGTATAAACAGTAAGAATGTTAAATTATGGGAAAGAAAACTATTAGAATAGCACCATCTGGTAAGCTGACAATGTTAGGATAAAAGAAAACTATGGTAGAGGTGAGAGGGCACAGAGAGGGAACCCTAATGACAGTTCTTCCAAAACATTAGGAAGAAATGTTATCAGTATCTTTAGATCCCTTCTTTTTGAAAAGAATACTTCAAATACGCAACGGCTGCATGATAAATTCTGTATGTGCTTAGAAGCTGGCAATTTTTTCACTGTTGTGTATCTTGCTCCTGAAGCCCAATAAATACGTTTTTGAGTGAATGCATGTCAGTTTTGGTGGTTCCGCACCACCTCCCCTGCAACGATTCTTGGAAAAGCAAAAACTCCTTCAAGGCACAAGATAAAAAGATGATCATGACAAGGACACATCCTAACGGGGAGCGCTGCTGAGACGTATGATTAAGAGGTAGCAGTTTCATAGAATTAGAGGAAAGTCACTTAAACAATGAAGTTCTTAAACTTATTCTCTCTCACAAATCAAAAATAAATTTAAAATTATTTTTCAGGTGCTTAAAAACATGAATGAAAAAACGTTTTCTTTTCACTAGACAAATTTCAAAGTGGTACAAATGGAGAAAATCCACAAGTGTACAACACTACAGTTACAGTGACTTTATGACTTTTATAATAGTTTACAGGTTATTATATTTTTAATATGGAGGAAATAAGCTAGTCTGGAAGATGAAACTGCCTTTTAGGGATGTAAGCTTACGCACTGTAGCTCAGAAGATCTGTAACAAGAATTTAAGTGAAGTAAAGCTCCGGACTATACAATTCTCTGTTTGGTCAAGCTATGCACGAGTCAGCCAGGCGCTCCCTCCTTATAATCAACCTTGTGGAAAAGAGATGGGCAGCACTCGGTATGAAAGAGAAGGAAACCCCTAACTTACACTGTTTACAGATCTGAAAGAAAATAGTCTTGTCTCTTTAAGTGAACATCACTGGACAGATGTGCTATCTTTTTATAACTTCAAAATATGGCTTCAACAACAGCCTCAGTAGCCTGTTATTAGGTAACTGAGGAGAGTTAATATAAATTTTCAAATTTCAAATTTATAAAAATTTTTACTGTTCTAAATGGTAAGTCACTCCACTAAACACAGATATGGAATTACCAAGACCAGAAAGGCAGCAAAGTGCACCACTGCTCTCACCAGGACTTGCAGAGGCAGCAGCCATTAATGAGCCAGAAACATGATATTATCAGGGCTAGAGACCTTTCAAATTTAATCGTTGCAGCAGGAGAACTAAAATAAGAACCAGAGTCAAAGGGGAAAAACCCACAAAAAAGATACTTATCCTTAGGAGTAAACTTATACACATATAGTAGATACTACTGTAAACAGCTGATATTTGTACAATCTAGCAGCAATGAACCCCAAAACACTTACTTATGTGTATATTCATTCCAGATGTTGAAAGAGAAAAAAATAATTAGATGCTCCAGAGTAAAACAACACAAAAACACAGATAATCAGACATATTTCTGTAAATGTCCTAATCATTCTTTCTAAATTAAGTGTCTATCATCGGTTATTTACAAGGTCTTGGATATTGCCAGCAGGTTAAATAACATCCCCATTGCTAGGTATGATGAGAGACTGTTTTCTTTATAGTCAGCGCTACTATCTGAAAGATAATGGAAGCGAGACCTCTGAGGAAGACAGAAACAGTGACACTGGCAGAACTGAGGCAGAGGAGAAAGGACCATTGCCTTACTGAGGACAGTGCTTTTCCCTTCCCGGATTACTGCTACTCCACACATCGGAAAAGTTAAACTGAACCCTGGGGGCCCAAACAGGGTGATACCATTTCACTGCTCAGATCAAGCCTGAATAAGTAACCACAGGGGAAACTGCGGCCCATTTTTCAGAGTCATTTTTTTATAAGCTGGCTGAACAAAACAGTGTAAAAATTAATGTAAGAAGGGCAATTATAACAGTTAATAGGCACTCTTTTATTGGATGCCCCCACCTGTCCTGCCTTCAATTCCCCACTGTGATTGCTTATTTTTACTTTTTATGTCTCAGTCATTTTGAAACAAATGAAACAATTTTCCTTTGAATCCAGAAAATAAGCTAAATGCAAAGTCACTATTCTCTCATTCTGTATTTCCATTTACTCTAAGAATTTAGAGACAATCATTTGGATAACTTTATGTTACCTTATAAGGAGAATCCTCTCTTCAGTATTCCTTTAACCATGCAGAACTTGTACTATAATTTTATCGTTTAACATATGAAACATAATGGTTTGATTTGCACCTTTCATATGATGCATGACCTTTCTGGGTACCTGTGTCAACTCACTGTAAAAATCATGATAAACTGAAAGACAGCTGACCAAAAGGAAGTATATCTTTTGAGGTCTAACAACGTTTATAAACTATGAGAGAAAATGCAATGAAAACAAAAAATAAGAGAAGACCCTTAAAGGACTTTCTCCCTTAGATGCAGAAGGCAAATTATATATAAATTACACGGATTTGATGTTTCAATTGATAGGAAAACAAAAAACAAAATACACAGCTTCAAACACTGTTTTGTAGAGTTCTTTTGTTGTAGTTGTTCTGGTATGTTTAGAGCCTAATTACACTCCAGTAAAGAAACTATGAAATTAAAAATTAATTCATTAGAACCTTCAACTAGCTTAAAAAGCTCATTAAGATCTCATGGCCAAAATATTTTAGCTAACAGAACACAGGGGGTTTCTTAGTTAATACAAAAGAATCCTCCGTTCGATAGCTTTTCGACAGATGGGACATTCACTCATCCGGTCTCCACATAGCTGGCACGTCCCATGGCCACAAAGGAAGATCATGTTCTTCAGACGATCCAAACACACAGGGCACATTGTCTGCAATGTGAGATAATAAACAAAGTAATAAATGCTGAGCTACTTTCTAGTTTGAAAGTGTAATCTGATAACTCTGCAACGTCATTAATTTGGTTGCTGTTGTAGTCAAATAATCTTTGGCTGCTGGACATTTTTAAATTTTTGAATCTTTAAGATAGCATCCTTATAAAAACAGAAACACTGGCTGTACTGTCAGGTCAGTATAAAAAGGCACTATATAAAATAAATAGTACATAAAATTAAAAATGCAAATGTCAAAATCTAATAGGAAAAGGATGAAAATAGCCCATTCAGTCTGACCCAGATTCTCCAACTCTAGGTACCAGGTTGTTCTTGTATGAAAATAACAATGTATTACAGGAAGCAGTGGAGGATACTGCTAAGAACATACACACACACACCAAGCACTATGCTAGATATGATCCAGGCCCAAGGCATATATCACTCTCATCTCAAAAGAGGAAACTGAGGTTTAGTGAAGCTAAACACGAGCCAGAATGTGAGCTCGGGTGTATGTGGCCCCAGAGCTCTTGCTTTTAGACATGAAGCCACACTGCGCTGCCTTCAATACAGACCCTCTGGTTAAAAACAATTAACCTTAGCTATTGCTAAATGTAACTTCATCAACTTAGAAGAATTCAGGGGTATACTTCATGAAATTTTCTAGAAAAAAAATCACACATACACTCACAAAACACATTTTACTTTTACAAAAAAATAATATATCTTAATACTTCATTCTGAATTATACCTTTCCCAAATAACACAGAAATGAAATAATTAAATAAAAATGTACAGATTAATAAATCAGGCCTAAAATCTATAGGAAAATGTAATTACCAACTCTGACAATATCAGAAATCATTGTGAAGAAAACAATAGAAAAAAAGAACTACAGTCTCACTTGCTGGTTCCATTCTTCCAAGGTAAATTTTCACATTTATCTTTGAAGTTTTGAGAAAAAAAGGGATAGAAAAATCAGTTTTTATTTTAAAAAGCCAAAGCAGCTTTTTAAAACTAAAATAGTTTCTTTTTCATTAAACTTCCCAGAGGTTTATGTAGTTAATTAATAATTCTTATTTCCAAAAATAAACATATCTGTGCAATCGAGGGTAAGTTACTTTGGATTAATATAACCTTAATAGCATATAAAATGAATTTTTGTTTTTTAAAGAGACATTGGGGTAAGAGAGAGATTGGAGATTTAAAATTTAAAAAGAGACTTATTCAGATGCTTTCTCTTGGTAACCTTGAAGGGGTAAGAAACCTCAACATTCCCCCCAAAATGAGTTTTAACTATTTCAATACTTTAGTGATGAAATATGGCCATAAAGATTATTTTAAAAAGAAAAAACTTCAGATAGATAAGAGTGGAACTCTTAACTGTATGGCAACACTGATGTGACTGCCAACTAAAGAATACCCATTGTGCTCAACCCTTTAATTAAATCAGATTTAACTGCTGATTCAAATGGTAAGATAAGAGGGGGAAAAGACTTTTTTTTTAACCAGAACCTATAAGTTTTAGGTAATTCTTCATTTTAATGCTGCTTTTATTAAATATTAAGCAGATATGAAAGAGTACTTCTGTTGGGACATATAACATATAAAGAAACCAATAACCACCACTCAGCTTAGGCATGAATATGCCCTTCCCACTCCTCACTGATAACCACTTTTCTGAATTTAACCTTTATCTTTCCCTTGCCTTTTTTATGGAGGGAGTGTATGGGGGTGGTGTGTGTGTGTGTGTTTGTGTGTGGTGTGTGTGTGTATGTGTGGTGTGTATGTGTCCTTGTGTGTGTGTGTATGTGTGTCCTTGTGTGTGTGTGTATGGCGGGTGGTGTGTGTGTGTCCTTGTGTGTGTATGTGTGGTGTGTGTGTGTGTGTGTCTGTCCTTGTGTGTGGGGGGGTGGTGTGTGTGTGTCCTTGTGTGTGTGTGTGTGTGTATGATGGGTGGTGTGTGTGTGTCATTGTGTGTGTCCTTGTGTGTGTGTGTATGGCGGGTGGTGGGTGTGTGTGTGTGTGGTGTGTGTGTGTCCTTTTCTACTTTGCATTGAAGTATCACATCTATGGAGAAATGTGCACAGGTCATAATGTATAGTTTAATAAAAGCTCACAAACCAATCAAATGTAAGTAAATAACTTAGGTCATAAAACGGAACCATCACTACTCACCAAACTGCCCCCATGTCCCAGCCAAAAACAACCACCATCCTTTGATTTTAAACACTATCTGTGTGATTATTTTTTCCAAGTTTTCATCCCCAAACAAAATCCTATTTAGTTTTATGCTGCTGCTGCTAAGTCACTTCAGTCCTGTCCGACTCTGAGCGACCCCATAGACGGCAGCCCACCAGGCTCCCCCGTCCCTGGGATTCTCCAGGCAAGAGCACTGGAGTGGGTTGCCATTGCCTTCTCCCATGATGCCAAACTTTCCCAAAGTGTTTTTACTAATTAATATCCTCATCAGCACTGTGTGAGTTGCAGCTGCTATGTACTTTGAACACTAGATACTGACAGTTTCTAACACTTCCCCCCTCAATCTGACAGGAGAAGTGTGATGGAGCATTTTTTCATGTTGGGTGTGGTGCATTTCCCATTTTGTCAAGTACTTGGTGAAATCTTGTAATCAGATCTCGCTGACTGCAAATATTCAAATACTGCAAGTGGTACGCTAACGTGAACCACGCTTGCTACAGACAGCGCTAGTACTTTTCTAGAAAAAGAGGCAGTGGTGCTCTCGGGAGTCGCTCTTCACCGCGGAGAAGCGCCATCACCTGTTCTTTGATGTCCTGTAGCTGCTGCTGCAGCTTTTGCACGTCCGCATTGACGTTGGTATTATCCTTGTCCTTCTGCAGCACCGGAATATTCCCACTGGCTAAAGCACACACAAAGAATCTCGATGTTATGACTGTTGTGAAGCAAAACTGATTTTTTTAATTTCAAAATTATTACTTTTATTTATTAAAAACATGATGCTATTATTCAAATGCTCTTAAAAAACTTTTTTCCCACGTGAACAACGGCTACAGAAGTGAATTCATGTTAAACTTCTTCATTTATAATCTTCAAAAAGAAACAGGTTTACACATTACTTTCTAATTACGTTTAACTCAGTTGGACAATAATCCACACTACGAAGAGACTTCCAGGTTTTCCAAGGCTCTCCTGTTGCTACTGATCTGAGATGAGGAACTCCGTGAAAAAAGGTCCATGACACCTACTCAATGGAGGGAAATTTTTTACCTCACTTTTCCTCTTCTCCAGATACTTGGACTTAAACTCTGGCTAATCTGTCCCCAGGATTTTTACCCTGCTCTACTGGTGATAAAAACAAAGTGGCTACACTAATGTTATTCCTCATCCTACACAGAACAAAGAAATCAAAGAGACCATACAGTTTACGTCTTGTGCAGAGATGAAAACTATTTTTATACCACTGTACTACAGGTGACCCTTGAACAACACAAGGGTTAACCAACAAATAACCTAGAGTGGCCCTCCAAATCCATGGTTTCTTCATATTACCGGACTCGACCAACCACACACAAACCATGTAGTCCCATAGTATTTACTACTAAAAAATATCCACATTTTGGGAGTTCCCTGGTGGCCTAGTGGTTAGGATTCCAGGCTTTCAACTGCTGTGGCCTGGGTTCAATCCCTGGTTGGGGAACTGAGATTCCGCAAGCCACGTGATGTGGCCAAAAATAAGATTCACGTGCAAATCTGTGATGTTCAAGGGTCAACTGTACAGAAAGGTTGAAGGTAAATAACTTACTTCTCATCTTTCCACTGTTCACTGGGTTACACTTCCGTTTATCTATAGTTACTCTGTCACAAATAAAGACTATTTCATAAAACAAACACACTAGGTAAACCTATTACATAAAGGACTAAGGTTAATACATGTGTAAACTGAAAAAACAATTTGTAATATGATGTCCTCCTGCCCTGAGACGCAATAAATTTCATCTTAAAAATAGCCAAAGTATCTTTAAGAACACAATACTTTTATAAAACACACAAGGATATTTCCTTAAAAGACTAATGCTTAAAGCTCCAAAATATTACAAGTTAGAAAAATACAATTTCAGGTTTCCTATAATATACCTGTTCCTTGTAGAGTCAAGTCACATACCTTCTGTTTTACAAGCGACAGTACAATACACTATGAGAAGACATGTCTATGAAAGTCCCAACAAAGAAGAAAACCCACTTACAGATATCATCGGTGGCATCCTCTGCACTTTTCCCTCCACAGCACATGATGAAGGGCACTCTTCGTTCAACCACCGCCCGACACTGCACACACTTCTTCATCAGACTGGCACAGTCTGCAAATGGCAACACAACACGTCTCACAGAAGAAAACATGAGCGGGGACGCCATCCTCCACTCATCTAACAGTGAGATACACTAGTCACAGCGATACACGATTCTACCTTCTCAAGATGTCACCTACCGAAGAAAGCATATTTTTCATCAGCAGCCTCTAAAGTAGAAAGCCCATTGTTATGAAAATAACGTCATTTTCTAATACACTGGAATAAACTGAGGGGAAGTGTCAACATTTTTTAAAAATATGTAACATAAATATTTCAAGATCTTAAGGCTTAAGAATAAAGGAGGGAGAGACCTTTCATGAATTTAACTACTATAACAAGAATTATAAGGCTGCCAACATGACATTTTTAAAAACTACTTTCTTTTGTAAGTATTTTATCACTAGTCTCTTAAATTCCTAAAATATACCATACAGTTCTCTTCCTCCTATCAAATTGATGCAATCTAACCAGGAACTTGCTTAGTGAATACTTTTTTAATGCTAGCAGTCAGGACAATTCATCATAATGGACTATCTTTCTAATACCTCTATATTAGAGGTAGAATGCTTTCCCATTCAAAGAAGAAATTCTCAGGCACAATTCTATGTTATGGACTCTTAATGTTACACCTAAAGTTATTAATATAAAATAATACGTAGTGCTTCAACACATTCTTTCCCATTAGCATTTATTATAAAAGTACACTCCATATCTTAGCCTGTGGTACCAAGTATCTTTGTCAATTCAAAAACAGGAAAAATAACAAAAACTGTGGCAGGGTATCTTTATTATACAATAGTAAACCTTAACGAAATAAAAAATCACCACTGTGGACAAGGGGGTCATAGACTCTCAACCGTGCCGATGCTGGTGGACAGAGATGCTCTGTCAAGGTCGATCTTGTGCCAAGGCCTAAAAAGAGATGGGTCTGATGCTGGCCTAGGCAAGATGAACCAGGTAAGAGCTATCGCTAGCAGACAACTGGTTTGGGATTTGTCTTCAATCTGAGGACAGACTTTTTTCTCTTGAATTTATAATTTAACAGCCTGAGTATGTAATACGTAGTCACTATTATTTCAAATAGATAGCATCACCAAGTCAAGGGGCAGGAATTTGAGCAAACTCCAGGAGACGGTGGAAGACAGAGGGGTGTGGCAGGCTACAGTCCGTGGCGTCACAAAGAGTCAGACACAGCTTAGCAACCGAACAACAACAAATTATTTCAAATTCCTGTAACTATTAAGTTAGGTTGTTATATTATTGATATAAAATCTTTCTTCAGCCTGTCCAAAGGGCTGTGACTCCTCCTTCCTAGATTACTGGGCTGTGGAGACCGGACCAAATGCTGTACTACACACTCCTCGAGAAAGGGACATTTTTTCCCCGCCATTTCAGCCTCCCTAGCAAATATATGTTTACCAACAATAATCTATCTGTAAAACGGAGAAAGAAATCAACTTCTTAGGTTTCTTATGAAAATAAACAAGGAGATACTCAAAACGAGATTACAATAGTTGGCACAAATTAAGAACTCAATAAGATCAGCAGTTGCTCTCATTATATTCTAAAGCAAAAATAATGTAAAAACTTTGGGGAATTCCTGAGGGAAAATATTACACTAAGGCTCTAGAGTCCACATTACCAACTATTAACTATAACCAGCTTTATGACAGGGTCAGCAAACCACAGACTGCAGGCCAAACCCAGCTGGTCACTAAGTTTTTATAAATAAAGTTTCAGTGGAAAACAGCCCCACCCATTTGCTCACGTGCTGTCTGAGGCTGTTTGTGCACTACAGTGGCAGAGGTAAGCAGCTGGAAAGGGTTGAGTTGTTACTGCAGAAATCACGGGGCCCACAAAGCCAAAAATGCTTTCTAGTTGACCTTTTACAGAAAATGTTGGCTAATTCCTGGGCTATGAAAACCTGCATAACCTAAGCTCTTTTTACTTAAGACAGAATTCTCTTTCTTCTTGGCCTCTGACAGCTGATAACAGCCATTATACCAGTCTCTGGTAAACAGAAACAATCAACTTGGAGCAGAATGTTATAGCAGAAAACCTTGATCATTTCTTAGTTGAAAAGCAGCCAAAAAAAACCCCCAATGCTTATTTAAAGCAAATCTATGCCAATGAGATTAATCTATCACACAGTTGTTACTTTGTCAGATTTTATATTAAAAACCAACACCTAAGTGACTTAACTATTTCATAAGAGGAAATACCATGTTTTAGCTTGGGCCCATTTAAGTATAAACTGTTAAACATGTTTAAAATCCTTCACTGACAAGTAAAAATTAAAAGGGAGAACATTAATACTAAATATATTAACTTGCAAAGAACAAGGAAGATATGTAAAAGCAAAGGTTAAAGCGCCTCTTAAATTTTAATATTACCCCCATAAAGAAAAGATTTCTATAAGCTCTTTTGACATAGAGGTTAAGGAAGGTTAAGAAGGCCAGAAATTATTGCCCCGAATGGCTGCTGTGAGTGGTTCAGCAGTGGAGAGTGTACACAGGAGGAGGTTCCACAAAGGTGTAGACAAATGAAGATGTGTTCATTTTATACATGGAAAAAGGCCATGCATAAAATAAAACATTTCTAAGTGTTTTATAAAATAAAACTAAATGTTTCAACGTTCATTTTTGGAAACAAATTTCTCCTGTATGTGAGAAGTCATTTTATTTCATTTGTGCTCACACACAAATGAAATAAAAAGCTGAGCTGGGGGAATGCAGTGCATCCAGGCTTCGCTAACACTGGGGACTAAGGAGGGACAGTGGTGACATTTGTGAAGAGAACAAATGGAGAGTCCCAGAGTCTACCAACTCCTCTGTTCATGAGTTACTTTTTTAAAAAATTCAAAGATATAATTTGTTTCGCTTTCTATTTTTATGATAATTCTAAGGAAGTTCTGTTTGGGCTACTTACTCTCACAAGCACACATGTGTCCGCACGGCTGAAAAAGAACAGCTGCTTTCTTGTCAGAGCATACCACGCATTCTTCAATCTGCGAAAAAGAGGGTACAGCATAAGCGTGAACATCTACAAATAAACTGAGTGACTCTAACAGCTCCTTTTGTATCCAAATGCATTGCTCCTCTGTAAGGAAACTCTTCCACACAGAGGAATTTACCACAGGCTTCTCCTCTGTCCTCTATCTAGTCTCTTGGTCATTTATTTTCACATTTTTTTAAACACCCCAGCTAAGCTGGCCTCGTTCCACTTCAGTCTCCCTACCTGTCCTAAAGAATGACACCGAAAATTCCACTTCCTCCAAGGTCAGGGAGAACAGACTAGACTTCAGTTTTCTTTTTTTGCTTAAACTACTTTTGAAAGAAACATTAAAAGGACAAATGACTGAGAGATGATAGATTTCTTTTTTTTTTTTTGATAGATTTCTAACATTCATAAAAACCTAACCAGAACAGCCAGACTACTAAAGCTTGAAGAAGAGGAGGGGTTTATTGATCCACATCCGAGGAATGCCACCTAGCACATCCTTTTCCAGAACATGGACCCTCCCCTACCCAGCCACTGGCTGAAGCCCAGAGCTCTGAACTAGTCTTTCCCCTGATCTCTAAAGCCACAGCCCTCCACAGAGTATTCATGATTTCCCTCAGCGTTTCTTCCTCTTCTCCACTTAATCTGCGTTCTGCAGGTATAATGATTTCTTAAGCTTGCTCTGGTTCTCTGACCCCCACCTGCCCACCACCCTTGGCTCCACATTCACCTTTGCCTCATTCTCCTTCCTTCTGACACACATTCACCCCTACTTGTGTCACTTAACAATACTGTCCCCCTCTTCACCTAAACAACCGAATACTGGACCTTCCCAACCTAGACCTTGCTGCGGACACAGTAACTTCGTGGGAAGCAGTAAGACGTGGTTGGGCAGAATCTTAATGTTCCTGGATTCCAATTCCAGCTCCAGTACTAACAAGTTACCAACACTGTGGAGATGAAGCTTTTAAAAACTCTGAACAATAAAGAACAATCCTTCTTCACAAGGTAGTAAGAGTCAATTACAAGACAGGGAGGGGAGTTAGGTGCCCTTATTCAGGTATATCCTAGAAAAATTCTAACTATCAGATTGGCAGCGGGGTGGGGGGGGGGGGGCACGCTGGATATCTAAAGACAGAATAAGATAGAGGAGTAGAGTTATGAGAAATATTTAAGAAGACCTGGTAACTAATAAAATGTACAGAATAGAGAAGAAGAAATCTAAGATATCTGCTAAGTTTCTAACTTGATTTAAAACAGTTGAAAAGAAACAAATGTCAGCCTCCTACAGCTTATAAGATGCAAGACCAGGGTGCTCTTTCCAAGTCTATGATCACACATCCAGGCTTTAGGCCTGTTCAAGATGTGACTACAAAGAAGGGAACGATAACCTTAAGCCCCCAAGCCGCTAACTCTATGCAGTACGTCAGCAGAACCACAGGAAGGGGAACAAAAATAGGAAGACTCTGGAAAAGTGGCTAACGGACCCATACCCTGAAGACAGGTATATTTCTCACAGCTCCCAAGAAAGTCTTTCGTTTCTCTAAAGGAAGGGGTGAGGACCATGGGAAGTTTCAAAGGTGTGCAAGTTAGCTATCTGCTGGCTAGTAAGCTAAGAAGAAAAGTAGGCACAATCTGGGTGAAAGAAGAAATGAAAATCCCAAACATCAGCAGCTAGAATTCTGACTGATTCAGCCATCTCTATGTGAGGGGTATCTTCACATAAATACTGTAGGAATTATATGTGCTAAATAGTGGCCAAACATTAAAATGTGACCATTGAAAAAAAGAATAAATTAGATACTATGTGTAAAGCGTTGAACTTTTATACAGCGAGGAGCAGAGAATCATCATGTGTTAGGTACTATATAAAAGATGTGCTGATTCCCAACACAACTGTCTATGTATCTGAATTGTTTATAAAGATATTAAAATAATCTAGCAAACCAATGTAATAATCACTTACTTACCCATTCAGCTATTAGTTCTTTAAAAAGATCTTTGCAAGCATAAATGTTACCTCTTCTGGATTTTCTCTCCAGATTACATTCCCAGGAGTGGAATTACTATATCAAAGCATGTTTATTGTAAAGGTTTGTATATATATTGTCAGGATGGTCTCTCAAAAAAAAAAAAAAAAAAAAAAGTGAACCCAGTGATTCAGCCAACTGCAGTGTTAAGAGAGTACTCATTTCCCACTTCCCTGGCCAGCAAATTTTGAAGTCTGTTTTTGCTAATTTGACAAGAATAGTTAATAATAGTTCATAATTTCACATGTGTTAATTGCTAAACAGACCAAGCTCATTTATTCTTCCTCATCCAAATATAGTTTTACAATTTATCTTCATGAAGATGTTCATGACCCTTTAGCCACTTGGGGTCACTATTTCCATATATTCAAAGGTTCCACAACCAACCTGACAAACCTCTTGGGAGGTTATGTGTAAGTTTTTGTACTTTTGCACAGGAATGAAAATTCTGTAACTTAAAATACAAACAGAAAGCTTTCTGATTCCTGGAGTTCAGAACTGGACTAAAAAGGAATAACAACAGATTCCTTCCTTTCTACCTTCCTGTTCTGTCAACCCTCTCTTGTAGACATTGTTTTTAATTTCGTTTGTAGTGTAACACAGAGGAAAGAATAGGGACTTAAGAATCAAGAAAACTGAGTTCAAGACCCAAGTGTCACTGTACTTCTTTGAGCTTCAGCTTTTTCACCTGAAAACACCAGAGTGACTAGAGGATCAATAAGAGTTCTAAGATGAGACTCCGCTTTACACAACCCTGGGATCTGAGCTCACTTCACATCTCTTTTAAAGTACCAATGACATCCCTATACAGAAGAGTAGCTTTTACTCTTAAGTCATAGTTTGCCAAGAGATTATCAATTTATAGAGGGGAACTATCATATACATCTCCGTCTTGGTTATAAAACAAGTGCTCAAAAAACATTTTTGAAATAGGGTTTAATCTAACAAAAAGTTTCAAGCACAAGAGCAGAATACACAGAATCTAAAAACAAGAGAATAGCTTAATTTTTTATTCTTTCAGATTCTTTCCCAAACTGTTACTCTGTCAGCAGGTAACTAAAGCAAATTATAAATACCAAGTAAAGCGATTCACATTAATTTATTAAAGCATTAATTTATTAAATTTATAAATTTATTAATAGATTTATAAATAAATTTAGTTAATTTATTAATTTATTACCGATGTAATGCATATGAAATGCCAACACAGTGCCTGGCATTCAGTGAGTGCTGCCAGTATATCCTTCCTCCCTTTATAAACAGATTAAACAAATGTTAAAATGTGTGAGAATAGAAAGAGAAATCTATCATAACCTATTTTAAGAGAGAAAGTTGATTAGTGTCCATGTTCACTAAATAAAAATGTGTACACTAAATGCAAATAAAATAAAATAAACATTAAACAATTACATACGTACTACTAATCCAATACCTCTCACCCAAAAATAACTCCTGGAACTTTTTCCTGTGCCTAAAATTTTACCAATGATATAGTCATTTGGATCATAAAAAACATAGTCTTAGAAGAAGCCCTATGAAAATGCAAGAAGCACTGGCAAGATTTCACCTTTCAAGTCACTGCCAGCTAGTTCATCGTGAGAATTAGTGCCAACTTGTTGCTAATAATGAATGTTAATGTATAGCTTAGGAAATATCTAGAGAAAAATAAAAAGAATAACAACAAGGGAACGAGAAAAAGAGTATAACCTTCATAAATGAAGCCAAAGAAAACCACAGTATCCTTTGATTTAAGCTACTCACTTTGAGAGAAATTATTTGTAAGAACTTAAACCTCACTTCAGATATACACATTAAGAAAAACTAAAGAAAATCATTATTTCATAAACTAAAATGAGTAAGATGATAAAGCACTAAGTTACATGGGGAAAAAAGAAACCAGAAACTCAGAAAAGAATCTTCTTCTCAAAAAGCAAAAGGAGTCAGATGAGATAAAGAATTACAGGATTATCAGACTTCATCTGCCTAATGAAGAGTGGGACACAACATCAAATGAGTAGCATCCTCTACGAACTTTTCTTTCCAAAAATGTCCAAGTTGATACTAATCAAGCCGTGAGATCTAACTTCCAGTTCAAAGAAATACAGAGGATATAGAAACAAAGAACACCATGACAACAATCAAATAAATCCAGACTATGTGACATTCTGCTGAAAAAAATCAACTGGTCTTCTACAAAGAGGAATACAAAACAATTCATATGCTCAAAAAAGGTGTAATATAGAAGCAACAAAAACCACAAGGTGGAATTAAACACATCTTTAGGTGATAAGGGACTCTGAAAGCAAAATAGTAGACAACTTTATTTTTAACTAATCTTACATGTTTCAACTGGTGTCTTGATAAATGTATAAATAATACATTCCCATGTTTAGATCTTGCTTAGGAAGAACAAAATTAAAACAGGCACACGGCATCATATAATCTTACTTATCATTAATTGTAGTCTCAAAGATCAAAAAATAGTAAAATGTTGTATGAAAAACATTACCTTGGTCCTGGACTGAACTTGCTCTTTACAGATGAGGCATTTCTTGACTCGTGGGGAACACAGAGAACAGGTAGCGATGTGCCCACACGGGCCAAACAGAGTGTCTCTCTTCATATCAGAGCACACCATACACTCTTCTAAGGTTTCAGAATCATTACTAATCATAGAAGGACTTCGAGAACCCACCTGACCACTAATAAAAGAAAATAATTCTAATCAAACCTATCAGAATATTTATTTGTTACAAATTCATTAAGTAAAATGTTTTAAAACATCCAGAGCATCATTCGTTTGCATAAAAACTTTAGCTATGTTTAAAAACTAAGCTTTACCATGTTTATATGAAACACAGTATATATTTTTCTACCTCTCTGCATTTTTTTTAGTACATATAGCACGATTCAAATTTCAATTGAACAAATCCTCACCCAGTGAAAAAGGGTGAATCTTCTAACACAGAAGTCAAAAACATTAGCTTAAAAAAAACTAACATGAACAGTTTCACTCAGAACCTTTTTTTTATCTATACAGAACCAGCTAAGGAAGACACAGGACATAGGAATAAAACAAAAAATTTAAAAAAAAAAAAAACTAAACTAAAAAAAAACAAAAATCCTACCTAGAGCCCATGTTGGTTGCCCTAAGTACAGACAGAAGGAAGCATCATCAGAGTCCACAATGGACAGGGAACTGTGAAAAATAAGTCCCTGCAGCTGCTGTTTCGACATTTCTTTAAATTGATCCTTAAGGAGCATAAAGGTTCTATTCCAGAAAGGCAGAACACACCCCCATAAATACACACACGACACAGAAATACACAGGCACAGCCACCTGCAGCCACAGAGAAGGGACACGCTGCTTCTACTGCAATCTTCAGAAACTCACGAAAACGCGCGCGCACATGTCCACACAGTGGTTTCCCTTACAGCCCAGTGTTTAAGTTATCACTGCAGTAATTACAGTGCCTTTATCCATATACTTTTAGATACATTCTGTCTTTCTCTAATAGAATTTTATGTTCCTTAAGAATATACTTAAAGATATGTATATACCTCTATGTACAACTACTTAGCCATAAAAAAAAATAAAGTAATGCCATTTGCAGCAACATGAATGAACCTAGTAAGCAAAATAAGTCAGAGAAAGACAAATATCATCTATCACTTACGTGGACTCTAAAATATGATACAAACTGAACTGACTTACAAAACAGACATACAAACAGACACAGAAAACAAACTTACAGTTACCAAAGGGGAAAGGATAAATGAGAGGAGTTCGGGATTAGCAGGGACAAACTACCACACGTTCAATATAAAATACACAAGGTCCTACCATATAGCATAAGTAACTATATTCAGTATCTTATAATAAATCATAATGGAAAAGAATATGCATATTTATGTGTAAGTGAATCACTTTGCTGTACATCAGAAAATAACATTGTAAATCAACTATACTTCAATAAAAAATACTTCATTATATTAATTTCCCTGTAACACAGCTCTGTGTATGGATTTCAAAGAGGTGTCATTTCATCACTACACATAAATTATGAGAAGAAAGAAAGTACAAGGTTCAAGGGACAACTACTAAAATGTTTAATGACAAGAACAAAGTCCTTAATTGTGAAACCACATGATACTTTATGTACAGATTAGTTTTTATGAAAATAAATAATACAAACCTGACTTTTTCTTTATGACACTTTGCCAAGGCTTTGCAGAGACTTGGATCAGGACAGAGATCAAGTGGCGACTGACCCTTCTTATTTCGGATGCTAAGGTCAGCACCGTTAGCCGCCAAGAAACAGGCAATAGATGCCGCACTCTTCTTCTCAGCCCCCTGGGTACCAAGTCCCATTATTAACTGAAATCATATGAAAAAAGTCATTATTCTCCCCCTTAGGAATCTGTTATCATTTCTTATCACCAAATATACATACATACATATATGTGTGTGTGTGTGGTGTGTGTGCTTGCGTATATATGTATGCATGTATATATGAATATGTATGCGTGAATAAGAAAATGTCTGGGAAGAGCATACACACTATCGACACGTGATGGACACTTATGGGGTGCAGTCCTAGTATCAGTCCCCTTCTCACTCATCCCCAGGGTCCTCAGGTGCACAGTATGAGGACTGACCCATCCTCCAGGTTCAGAAGTGAACCCAAAGAAGGTCCAAATCAGTCAGATACCCACTTCATCTATGCTTAATTCAGGGGTGACACATAATCTAAATCAAGTCAATTAAGGCCCGTAAGACTCAAGAATGGAACTTCTGATTGAGATATTGAGGAAACAGTACTCCCTTTTCTAACAACTTGGCCCTGGAGCTGTTAGCAACCAATTTGAAGCAATAAGGGGAGAGATAACTGAGAAAAGAATCAAGAGCTAGGAATTAAGACACAAAGTGGAGAATGAGACAATTCAGGTTCTACTGTCATCTGAGCTACTGACTCACACATCTTGTGTGAAAATAGTCATAATAATTGTTAACATTGATGGAGCATCTACAGTGGACTAAGAACTATTTTAAGCACTTTCCATGAACTAACTCATTTAATCCTTACAACCTTATGGAGGTAGTTACTCCCTTCCCCTCCTTTTAAAATGAGAAGTATTTACCCAAGGTCATATAGAAAGACAGGCGGCAATTAGCAAACACTTTGGTCTCGGAATCCTTTTACGTTTTTAAAAATGACTCTCAAATTCATATGGAAAGGTGAAGGACCTAGAATAGTAAAGTGACTTTGAAAAACAGACTGAAAGTTGGACTGACCTCAACATTTATTATAAAGCTACAGTAATCAAGACAGTGTGTTGGCATTACAGAGCTAAAGACACAGATCAACAGAAAAGAACTGATTTTAGATAAAGGCACAACAAGCAATTCAGTAGAAAAAGATAGTCTTTCTCAACAAATGGGACTGGAATGATGATATCCACAAGCAAAAAAAGATGACCCATACTTCATACTGTGTATATAAAAATTAACTCAAAATCAATCACAGGCCTAAGTGTAACAGCTCAATTACTGTTCTTCGACTCATAGACTTAGAAAATGAACTTCTGGTTGCTGGGGGTAAGGGATACTTAGGGAGTTTGGGGAGGTCATGTACACACTGCTATGTTATCCTAATGGATAACCAACAAGGACCTACTATATAGCACAAATTTTCTCAATGTCATGTACCAGACTGGAGGGGGAAGGGGGTCTGAGGGAGAATGGATACATGTATATGTATGGCTGAGCTCCTTTGCTATTCACCTAAACCTAACACAACACTGTTGACTGGCTATACGCCGATTCCAAATAAAAAGTTGAAAGTCTGGAAAAAAAAAAAAACTATTGCTTCAAAAACTACCAGTAAAAGAATACAAAGACAAGCCACAGACTGGGAAAATGTATGTGCATATCGCATATCTGATATGGAACTTGATTCAGATTGGTAGTAGGAAAACAGCTCAACAACATAATAAATTAAGGTTTGAAGTGACAGCTTTGTCAAATATATATGGGTGGTAAACCTGCAAATGAAAAGATGTTCAATACCAGTAGTCATGAGGAAATGCAACTCCAAACCACAACAAGACACCACAGCCCTCCTATCTGAATGGCTTAAGTTGCATAAAGAGAACCAAACAACTTTTAGTAAGAATGCAAACAATACAGTCAGTACTGACTAGTGTTTAGCTCATAAACTAAATTCCTACATTTGTACTTCTCATGAAGTACAATATCTGATCAGATGCAGGTTAAATGAGCCATAAATATAAGACCTTGCATTAAAAGATACTCCTCCTGGCACAGAAGTGACGATTATCTCACCGTGTTTTTGGATGGCTCCCAGGCAGCATCGACCTTCCCCACATCCTGCATGTCTTGAAGCTGACGCAGCTGAGACAGAGTGTGATGTCTCAGGGCTTCATGCAGAGGAGTGTCCCCATCCTTATCCTGAATATCTAACTTGGCGCCTGCACGGACCAAAAGCTAGAAGAGAAAAATGTCTCTTTTTCCTAAAGTATTCCACACACAAGAAATTATAATACATCTAAAGAAACAAAGTTTCAGTTACGTAAGATGAATTTGTTCTGGAGAGCACCCCCATTGCATGGTATTGTATCCTGTTCTTACAATCTGCTGAGAAGGCAGACTTTAAATGTTCTCACCACACAAATACACAAACTATGTATGATGGTGGCTCTGTTAATTAGCTTGATTACGGTGATTATTTCACAATGTATACCTGGATCAAAATACCAAGTTGTACACTTTAAATGTATACAATTACCATCTGTCTATTATAACTTAATAAAGCTGAAAAAAATTAAAATTAAAGTAACACTGTGAGAGCCCTATCTGACAGGGCTGCCACCAAAGTTAATTTATGTGTTTGCTTGCCACCACTCTGTATCCCTGTGACTCCTTACAAATAATGATGAGCTTGATTAGTCAAACATACTGAATCAGGGACAGCAGAAAGAAAAAAGAACCAATATGCAGCTTAATTATTCTACTCTAAGATCAAAATAACTGGAGGAAATTCAGGACATTTTTTGCTCTCCTTTTAATTTCAGATATGTGAGTTGGTATATTTTAAGTATTTCCAATAGGACCAAATCACAATGCTCAAAATTCTTCTATTATTTAAAGAAATATGCATTTTTTTCCATTCCCTTTGGTCAATTTTCTCCAAACGTATGGTTATAAGGGTTGTAAGTCCAAACATCAGAGAAATCAAGAATTTCTGGCAAGAGAAATTTTAAAAATTATAAATGTGAAGTGTTTGCTAAGTTACAATCTCTTACGTACAATGCATAATTGATATACCTCAACAGATATTTTAAGCAGTAAATATAAAACTTTGCTTTAACAAGTTCCCTAACCTTTCTGCAAACATTATCAGAGTTTGAGAAAAACACCATACAAAGAAATCAATCTCAAGCATATAGTCCTACCTGTTTTGGCAAATTACTATTTTGCTTTTTTGTTCACTGTGTTTCAAAAAGATTATATAAAACGTCTCTGTAGGTCTGTTTCTCAAATTTAAATCTGCATCAGAATTACGTGGGGGCCTGTAAAATCAGAGATTGCTAATTCCCACGCTTGGAGGTTCTGCTCTGGTTGGTCTGAGATGGGGCCCAAGAATTTACTTTTCTGCCAAAGCCCTAGGTGATGCTATTGCTGCTGCTTCAGCCTCCAAACTTTAAGAATCACTGCTCTACAAAAAAGTTTAAACAGATCATCTTTCAAGTATTTGATCTGGAATCACCAGATTACTAAAATAAAAATATGTATGCCAGCTTCTTTGAAATGTCTGGCAAATGTCTAGCCAAAGCCTCTAATTACAGTTCATTCTCAATTATAAAAATTAAAAGGGAGTATACTTTTTAAAAATGTATATGTTACTTTGAAATTCTCTGATTTAATATTCCAGGAATTTACAAATCTGACAACAAAATTATAAAAACTTTGAATATAAGAGTTAAGAGTTTTCCTATTAGGAATTAAAATCTTTTACCCAACTGATGTAAAATACTAGCCTAAAAGCATAATTTTACCTCTAACTACACCTTCTGAGAAGCCTAACAACATATCATTTAAAAGGGTAAGATTCACTTTAGTAGACACGTTACCCTCACAATCTGGGTGTGCTGCCGCTCCACAGCAAGGTGGAGGGCCGTCTGCTGGTTCACATTCTGGATGTCCAGGTTTGCATTACCCTGAAAGAACAACAAGACTTACAGTTAAATGTGACATGAGAGAAGCACATAAATTCTCTCTATATGAGGAACCCATAACACTGGGCACTGCTGACCATGTCCCCTCCAAGGGCTGGACCTTGTAATATATGGTAACAGATGTGGATAGCAGGAAGAAGTGGTGGAACAGCAAACTTTCTGAAATAGAACGGCAAATTTAAAACTATTTTTACTGTGGTGATTCCACCTAAGGACAGTTATAGGACAAAGGACAATACAGAGTCAAACACAGCTCCCTTTTAATCTCCCTTACAGAGCCATGGACATAAGCTCATTTTAAGTAAGTACTTCCTGAAAATGTATTAATGAGTCTTCATATTGTATTTGGAAATTCAGAAGACCTAGAATGTTAAAGTAGGTCTGAGAAAAAGCAACAAAGTTAGAGAACTTACTCCAACTGATTTCAGTTACTGATTACTATAGTTACTACAGTTATTACTTCAGTTCAGTTACTGATTACTATATAGCAACAGTAACCAAGACAGTGGGCTTCCCCAGTAGTTCAGTGATAAAGAATTGGCTGATAAAGAATGCAGGAGATCCCAGTTTGATTCCTGGGTCAGGAAAATCCCCTGGAGAAGGGACAGGCTGCCCACTCCAGTATTCTCTGGCTTCCCTGGTGGTTCAGCTGGTAAAGAATCCACCTGCAATGCAGGAGACCTGGGTTCGATCCCTGGGTTGGGAAGATCCCCTGGAGGAGGGCATGGTAACTCACTCCAGTATTCTTGCCTGGAAAATTCCCATGGACAAGAGGAGACTGGCGGGCTGCAGTTCGTGGGGTCGCAAAGAGTCGGATACAAGAGTGACTAAGCAAAACCAAGACAGTGTGGTACTGGCTTAGGTCAGTACTTTGGATTTTGGATGAAAAGGAATTTATCATAGTTAACAACACTTCTAAGAGAATTAACTTTAATAATAAAGGCTTACAATGGCAGGGGAAAGGCAGTTTAGCTTTTGAACTTTCTTTCTTTAAATGTCTTTGTACAGACTATCCATCTTATGATCTAAGACCTAATTACACATAATGTACTATCTACTAAATTTCCCTGCCATTTCATCTTCTTAACTAGACTGTAAGTTCCCTTAAGTCAGGAGTCACAGATAATTCTTTGGAAACTTTAGTGCTTCCCTATGGCATATGCTTGGCTGAAGCATTTAAAAATTTTGCTGAATATACCAAAACATCAAAATTGCAATCAATAGGTTTCCCTCAAAATCCAAGCTCATAAAAATGTAGAGGTATCTTATTCCTAAGATAAATGAAATAACTAAGGTGAGCCTACCCTGCTACCCAGTCACAGGTTCAAGGGGTCCAGCAGTTGTTGAGAACTGAGTCCCAAGGTCCTAACTGCAGCCTGGTGTCACCTGGTAGCAACTCACCACACTGGTTTAGACATCAGCATACTGGTTCTTAATGATATAGCTGAGCAACACTTCCACAACAGTGGCAGTGATTCTGGAAAATCCCTTTAAGTTGATGCCATTTTGCTGGACCAACTCGGGAAGACTGTGCAGAGAGAATACTGGAGGCGTGAAGGATCCACACCCACACCCCCACTACTACTTCCCTCCACTGAAGCACCACTGTTAGGCAGAAGACTAAATTCATACCACAGCTGAATTTGCATCATCATGGGATTTTACTGTAACCTACTAGTAAGTAGTTCAGTTCAGTTCAGTCGCTCAGTCATGTCTGACTCTTTGCGACCCCATGGGCTGCAGCATACCAGGCTTCCCTGTCCATCACCAAATCCTGGAGCTTGCTCAACCTCATGTCCATCCAACCATCTCATCCATAAGTAGTTGATGAAATAATGATAAATCAATGATTAGCAATGACCCAAAATTGTTAACAATTACTGAACTGCTTTTCCTACCTGATGCACCAACAGTTCAGCCACTTCTACATGATTATTAAGGGCTGCCAGATGCAAGGCAGTATAACCATCATCTTTCTTCTCATCCACAATCCATGGTCTCGGTAATTTAGACAGTAAAACACGCATTGCGCTGAAAGGCAAATTTATATTTATTTAATATTTAGTTAAATATTTTATTATTTTCTTTAGAAAAAATATTCAAAAGAAACTCTAAAGAGCAAATGAAAATATCCCTCTTTAAAGAAAATTATGCCCTTAAGAGACAAACAGAAATTCAAAATTTCTAAATCTCAAATGCAGTCCTTTGACATTTTAAGAGGTAAACAAATATCACTGTTTGGAGAGTAGAATCAAAATAGAATGGGAGTGCTACAATGGGGAACATTCTGAGAGGGAAAAAAAACAAAGGTGAAATATACCCTAATAAGGACATAGTTTGAATTTGTGGAATCTCTTAGGTTCAATTAGAGTAGTATATATTAATGAAAATGTTAATGAAGAACAACCAAGTAACAAGAGCTAATCAGGGAAAACAGTGATAATTAAAACAAATTTTATGTGGTTGGCAGATTATCATGAATTCTGCAGAGTTAAAAATCTGATAAATGTCATTTAGTAGTGCTAAATCTAGTTGATATCAAAACACACAAAATGGCACTCAAATATTTAAAATTTAAATATGATAACCAAATATCTCCAAAGAAAAAAAGAAAAAGAAAGTAAGATATCCTAAAGAGCACCAAAGATTAAACCATAAAAGATCAGGGGAACTAATTACTGAGAAACCCTGCTTTGTAAAGAAAAGGCTAGCCTACCCTCAAAAGGGAAAGTAAAACAAGAAGCAACTTTTCTTACCATTCATCAGTAACTTCTCCTAACAAAGGTTTTGTGTGGAAAACTCATAATTAGGGGAAAATCTAAAAATAATTTTTTTTTTTAATTTGGGGAAAATTTCCCTTAATATCTGTCCACAAACTGTTTTTTTGTTTTGTTTTGTTTTGTTTTTAACACTGACTCCTGAGATAATGAACGGCTTCTATAAACAGTACTGGACTTGGCACAGACAACATTGATATATGTATTAGATATTGAATGTTCGCCCACACCTAAAAGACAGTAAATGCAGAAAAGATTTTAAAATTGTGTCAGTAGAGTGTAAAACGGCAAGAAGTTAACAGTAAGATACATATTGGGATAGTTTTTCCTAAGGTGATACACAGGAGAGAAAAATCTGAAACAGAAATATTTTAAACATATGGAGAAACAGTCTGAAGATGCAGAATAAGAATGTGTGTAAAAGAAACTGTTAAATCTCTTAAAATAATGAAACTAAAGTGAAAGTGAAGTCGCTCAGTCATGTCTGACTCTTTGCGACCCCATGGACTGTAGCCTACTAGGCTCCTCCGTCTATGGGATTTTCCAGGCAAGAATACTGGAGTGGGTTGCCATTTCCTTCTCCAGCAGATCTTCCCAACCCAGGGACTGAACCTGGGTCTTCCGCATTGTAGGCAGATGCTTCACCACCTGAGCCACCGGGAAAGTCTAACGTGATGCGGAACATGTTTCCTTGACGGCAGTGGTCCATGAATCCCACGGAGGAGTCCAGGACATCTGAGAACACGCTTTGGAGGATCCACGAATCTCTAAAATTGTACTCATATCTGGAAGCTTACAGCTTTTATCAGATTTTCAAACAGGTTAATGACCCAAGGCATATTGAGAATCAAAACTTAAAAGACAGCCTTCAGTGGTTGTTACTGAAGTTAAAATCACTGTCCATGAAAGACAGACTTCTCTGGAAATCTGTGGAAGGCCAGGAACTATTCCCTCCCCAAAAAATGCACATAAAAATCTTTACATATAATTTTGAGGGAATCCAAGTTCCATTCACAGACCTCATACAAAGCTGAAGATTCTTGCTTTAGTTCATTTTCAGTAATTGTAAGGACTTTAAACTTCCCCATTCAGTGGATTAAAATAAATTTTAGAAATTATGTAAATTTTGACTCAAATTCTTAACGGGGAAAAGTATATGGTACAACAATATACTACCAAGTGTTTGGATTTGGCTTAATCATGAAACTAAAGTCATACATTATCTACTACCTTACACAGCTGACCTTGTGAGAAACAGAATCTATAGTTTCAAGACTCTTTTGGAGTGTTTTGAAGATACAATTATTAAATCATGTGAAAAAGTTTTATTAAAGACAAAATGTAACCATTAAAAATAATAAGGTAAAGGTATAGGGGGGCACTTTTTTAGGTTCTTATTGTGGTTGAGCCCCATGGTATTAGAGATGAATCACAGTAATTTTTGATTTCCCATAGAAACAGTGTTATATTGGCAAATAAGGTGAATACACCAGATAATAATTAAGTAAATAAAACAAATGGATAATTACAGAAAAAGAGATTTGTAGAAGAGGCGATCCAGAAGACAAATCAGGGTAATACATAGATAGAAAAATCACCAGAACAGAATTATAAGTAAAAAGATTAAAATCATGTCTTTTTCTTTTTTTGGAAAATAACTATTGGTCAAAAAGAGAGTGAAGAATTATTCTCTATGAAGTCTGGAAAAAGAATGAGAAAAATAATCTATTAGTGTATCACCAGCTTTATCTGTAGAAAAAGTTCTGTGACAAGAACCTCAGCACTCAAATTTACCCTCTGAAAGAATCAGGAGAATGCTGTCAGTTTTCAGTACATCGTCATATGAAAAATAATTTGACATTCTTATTAATGTTAGTGTTAGTCATCTCTATGGGCCTATATGAAAGGAGTTCTGTAAGAACTAAAATGAGATAATGTAGGTAAAATGTTTTAGTATAATCTAAAGCTCTTCAATATAAGTGTTATTACAGTTCTAAGTTTATAGATCTATGAAGTACACAATACAAATTTCCCTTTTCCCCTTCCCAAGAATTCCTCCTGTATTCTTGATTTTGGTTATTCTTATTATCATTTAGCCAGCCACCCAAGTCAGAAATATGGGAATCATTCTAGACCCTCTCCTCCCTTCTCACTCCTGCAATCAATTTGTTCTGCTGACTTTCCCTTTTAAAACTATACTATTATTTCCTAGGGGCCCTAATATCTTTTATATAGACTTTCATTACCTTTCCTCTGAACATCTATAACAGCCACCTTCCAAATCTAGCCCTTATACCCCTTTCATACAAATCTATCCACTTCACAATTTTCACAAATTCAAAGTCATCAGTATTCAAATAAAAAAAGGCTCCCTTTCACATAACTAAATCTTTCTAAGATTGGTCTTGATAAAATTTATTCTGAAATATACTTTTTGTTTTAATAAACTTTTAAAAGAATATAAGACTAAACTTACCTTATGATAACTGAATTATAACAAAATCAACTCCTGATTAAATGCTGTAAGTTCTGGAGAAATACTGCAGATAGCCCCAAATCAAAATTAATGCAAAAGTCAACAGCTAGCTAGGAGTGGTCAGATTCGTTTTTGGTTTTGCCATTTTTAAATAAACTTTTAGATTTTAGATTTACAGAAAATTGTGAAGACAGTACAGAGTTCCTCACCCCTACTGTTAATACTGTACACTAGGATGATACATTTATGACCATTAAGGAACCAGTACTGACAGTTTTTAACACAAGACCATACTTCATTCCAATTTCCTTAGTTTTATTTAATGCACTCTTTCTGCTCCCGAATACCACATTACACTCAGTTGTCACGGCTCCTCAGGCTTCCTTTCACTGTGACAGTTTCTTACACTTTCCTTGTTTTTGATGATGTTGAGGAGTACTAATCAGTTAATTTTATAGAATGTTCCTTGTTTGTAATTTGTCTGATGTTTTCTGATGACTACAACTGGGATTACGAGTTTTGAGGAGGAGGTCTCAAAGACAGTGTCATTTCATCACATCAAGGGTGCACACTATCAACATGACTTATCTGTCAATGTTAACCATGACCATCTGGTTGAGGCAGCACCTGTCCACTTTCTCCACTGTAGAGTTGCTCTTTTTCTCCCTTTCTCTACTACAGAATAATAATCTACACTCTTTGGAAGGAAGTCACTACAGGTGGCCTACTCTTAACAGGTGGAAAGTTATATTCCACTTCCTTAAAGATAGAGTATTCACATAAATGATCTGGAATTCTTCTATACTGGAAATTTGGGGTAGCTTAATTTTAAGAGTGACCTATAAGCTTCTCATCTTAATTAGAAAGCTATTAGTTCTTGATCTACTGCCTTCACAAAAAGCAAACAAAAACAACACAACACCTCAAGGAAAGTCAATCTTTGGGCCCAGCCTGCAGTATGAGCTGAGAGGAAAAAAAGAACAGTCTCTGGTCCCCTCCCCCTCATGTACAGAGCAGTTCTGAATGGTCTGTCTCCTTTCCTCCTATGGGGCAGACAATGTGAGGACCCCACAACATAACCAACAAAGGTCAGCTGTTCCCCACAGCACCTTAGCTAATTAAGAGGATACTGTTGTTATGCTGCAAGCACTGAGGCCCTTAAGAGTTGCTGGGATAAGGGTGTTACCAGTTCAATAAATCGATAATTTTACTAAGCCAACAGACTCTCACTGGTGGAGCACTGTATGAGGTTTGAAGATCCTTCCCTCAACGTTCAAACACTCTTCTTTATTTCTCAATCTGGTTGTTTTCCAAAAGGTTAAGGACATGGATGGTTTAAGGATAAGATCTTACTACCAGTTAAGCAGGCATTTGTGAATAGTGCCAAAGCAGCATTAAGTTCCGGAACAACTAATAGTGGTGCCGAGCATAATCCTTGGCACATGGTAGTACTCAAACGTTTGCTGAATGATGAACAAATGAGTTCTAAGAAGCGGAGGGGACAAGCAGCTGTCTGCACTGGTATGCAACAGTCAAATGGCAACGGCTCCATTTTTAGGACCTGCCATGCTCTGCAGTCTCTCTTCAGAGATGGGCAACATTTTTCCAAACAAACCACGGTAGCTAAACTGAGAAGGCCTTACACATTAGTATTACTGAATGTAAAAAAGACATTGAAATAACAGCACATATTAGGGGTTCAATAAATGCTTTCTATTGAACAATCCCTCAAATATAATTTAAGCATGTTAGTACAGAATCCATAAAGGAACCTGCTAAGAAAGTTGATAAATCTCAAGCAGAAGTTCTGTAGGCCATGCTAACAGCAGGTTAATATCTAACAGTTTGAACACATCTTTATTCAATACACACCCACCCTGATCTAAATGGATGGAGTCAAGCATGCTATCTGTAATAATCATTTTAGCAAATGAATATGGACAGTTTTTATTTTCTTTCATCTATTTATAGGGATAAACAGACATGACTCAAATGTTAAATTTTAATTTTTTTGGTGTGCTTAATTTTGTTCCCCACAAACTTTTTTTTTTTGACAGATACTGTAATTAAAAGGTTCATTAATTTAGCTTAAATTCATTAACCAGTAATTTGGTAATGCAGTAGAAATCAGCTCAAAATGACAGATATGCAATGACAATACAGGCTGCAGGAGCATTGTACAGGTGAGGACTCGATCATTCTTAAAATAGGACAATCAAAATGATCTCTTCTACACTGTAAGCCAGGGAAGCCATTTTACTCATCTTTATACCCTCTCTGTGCACCTAGTACGAGGTGCTCAAAATTTAGTTGAATGGAACAAAGGAAGAAACAATCAAATGAACGGTCATTTTTTTCAGCATACGGGGGCCAAGAATGCTCAACATGCTACATTTCTAGTATAGGTTCCGGTCCCCTGGAGTCCAGGCCCTAACTGCTTGCATTATTCTAAACCACAGCAGTGGCAGACACAGGGGTAAAGATCTAAGTCTGAAGCCACACCACCTGGGCTTACATTATGGTACCAGCAAAAAGGGCTGCTGACTTGAGCAGGGTACTTACCTTCTATGCCTCAGTTTCCTCATCTATAAAATGTGTAAAGAATCACAAGTGCTATTTCGTAGGACTACTAGGGGATTTTAAAGGCCTTAGAAAAGTGCCTGTCCTTTCATACACTATGAAAGTGTTTGCTTGAGAGGTGGGAAAGGAGGACTTTCACTGCTACAAAATGGTCAGGAAATATGAGGTAGTTTAGAAATTTCAAAATTAAGCTATCTTGTACTCTGAGATGCATCATCTTCTCACAATTGTCTAAAATTACTTCAGTATGTAGGAAAGCTGGCTCTATAAAACTGCCCAAATATCTATAGAAGCATGCTTTATGTCACTGTTTTAAAACAGCCATTCAAAATAATTAAACTGCTTTGTTATAAAAAATGCTAAAGACAAAAAATGTCAAGGATGAACTTCCCTTGTAGGAGAATGAGCTCAGAAAACTGAAAACTGTTTTTTTTTGGTTCTTAACTGAATCAATGGATGTGAGAGTTGGACTATAAAGAAAGCTGACCGCTGAAGAATTGATGCTTTTGAACTGTGGTGTTGGAGAAGACTCTTGAGAGTCCCTTGGACTGAAAGGAGATCCAACCAGTCCACCCTAAAGGAAATCAGTCCTGAATATTCATTGGAAGGGCTGATGCTCAAGCTGAAACTAAAATACTTTGGCCACCTGATGAGAAGAACTGAATCATTGGAAAAGACCCTGATGCTGGGAGGGATTGGGGGCAGGAGGAGAAGGGGACGACAGAGGATGAGATGGCTGGATGGCACCACCAACTCAGTGGTTTGAATAAATTCTGGGAGTTGGTTATAGACAGGGAAGCCTGGTGTGCTGCAGTCCATGGGGTCGCAAAGAGTCGCACATGACTTAACAACTGAACTGAACTGAATCAATACTTAAGAGACTATATATGAATTAAGAACAAGGTACAGTTGGTTTCTCCTAGGCATTCTTATGTTTGTTAGATCTTAAATTGTACTGCCATTTGTTTGCAGAATTTGATGTTAAATTTTTTTTCTCCTTGGTTAAAAAAATAAATCTCAATATTAAAATTTATGGTGATATGCTAGTAAAGTTTAGAACAAAGGTATTTTCCCCCTACAACATGCGTTATGTGACAAAGTTACAGAAGGGCTTCCCTGGTGGCTCAGCAGTAAAGAATTCATCTGCAATACAGGAGACACGGGTTCGATCCCTGGGTTAGGAAGATCCCCTGGAGAAGGAAATAGTAACCTACTCCAGTATACTTGCCCGGGAAATCCCATGGACAGAGAAGCCTGACAGGCTACAATCCACTGGGTGACAAAAGTTGGACTTTGTGACTGAACAGCAACAAGTTACAGAAAGGTTAATGACTATGTTGGATCTGTAATAAAGTGTGAAATGATCATGCCTAAATTCTATTTCAGAAAAGTAAAGCAGAACAGCAATGTAGAAAGGAGAAAAAAACCACTTCACACTTGAAAATAAAGTAGAATTTAATTAATGCATTATAATAGTTATATAACTATAGTTTCAATAGAAAAGTAACACATTTTCTATGCATTCCAGACCCTGTTTCTCACCTAAGCACTACTAAAAAATTTATTAAAACTGACACTGAATTAAAAGTTTAATTTAAAGGTTTTAAGTAGCATTTCCAAGATTTCATTTACACATTCCTCCTTTCCTCTTGAGTGATTTCTTCACCTTCAATACATTGGGGTTCTACTTACCCTTTCTAGGTATTTTTCCATTCAATTATTATTCATTAAATTTAAAAAAAAAATGTCTAGCAACGATGAGCCCTAAAGGTAACACTACAAAATCCCTTCAGGCCTTGAGCTATGTAAAATATCATTATCCTGCTTTTTTTGTTGTTTACTGATTTAAAAAAAAAAAAAAACAGGTTATGAAATATATTTTGGCAGCAGAGGGACTTTACTTGTCCCATATCTGTCCAAAGACCATCTTGCTACTAGCCAGGGTAATAATTTTTCTTTCCTTTTTTCGCTGCAGTGCTTCTAAGTATAGTGGCAGCCGCATCAGGCTTTCCTAGCCTCAGCGCAAGCTCAGTATAAATCTGGGATGTGTAAGTGGAAACATGAGAGACCGCTTTATTTGGCAGTGCTTTGAAAAAAAAAAAAAAATGCAGGACAAATGGCAAGGCAGTGTTTGGACCGCAGGATGAATAATCAATAGGCAGAAAGCAAGATAGAGGCTTCCTCAGCTTTTGGATCGACAATCGACAGCTGAGAGACTATTTTTTGCTATGGTTGACTAAATATGGTCAGGGAAGAGAGAGGCACAAGAGAGCCTGTTTGCCTGGGAGTGCATGTTTCAAATGCTTAGCTGCCTATAAAGCTGTAACAGTTCAGCCTGTGGCCACTGAGGGAAGAATATAAGTTAACCTCTGTAGTGACCATGTGGAAGTCCTGACCTTGCTTGCAGACTTGACCTCTGGATATGACAAGGTAGCTTCAATACAGATCTACCATCTAATCCTGGCAACTAAAAACAAACAAACAAAAATTCCACAGCAAGAAAGATGCAGAATATTTCCTGAGAAGTCAGAAGACCCCAATGTCCTCTGGTGGGCAAAGGAAACAGGGTGAATGTTTACAGTTATTTGGTGGGGGGGGAGTGAGGTGTGTTTTGGTTTTTGCTGGGTCTGTGTGTGTGTGTGCGTGTATCTTTTTAGATTGTAAAAGTAACCTCCTCTGCAACTTTTTCCCCATTTCTGAAGCATTCCATCTGAGCAATTAGTGAGGTGCATTTTCTTGGCCGTTGAAGCAACCTTTCCCGGTTGCTTCACTTTCTATACACCAGAGACAAGGTACTCATATTCATGCAATACCAGTAATAGGACATTCCAAATCAAATGGCCAACGCTGACTCAATTTTATTAAAGTTTGGGTTTTTTTTTCCCCTTAAGCATAAGGGAAGGCAGAGGGAAAAGATGGCTGATATACTTTGTTTGTTCACTTGTTTTCCAAATTTATATTAAAAGGTGGGGTCCTGTGTTCACTGATACTTCCCCTTTACTTCCCCCGGCTCATGAAAAGAAGCGCTGATTCAGCAAATAGAGTGAAGAGCCGATCTAGATGAGATGGCTGCTACTGGCGTGACTCTCTGGGTAATTCTCTCTCCCTGCTCATGACACTAAGCTTACAGGTAACAAACACAGCACCACAGGACTGTACTTTAATGGAGTTTTATGGTTTTCTGCATGCTTACCTACTATCGACTCAATACCTGCTTTTATTGTTAAATTCTACCTGGGCATAGCCGTTTTTTCACAGTTCAAGCAGAGACCTTATGCAGCGTAAAAAGGAATGCTGTTCAAATATCATGACAGATGACTCAATGTCAAACCTGTACAAGTCCATTCCTGTCTTTTACATTATTAAAGAGTCAATCTTTACTGTTTCAGATTAAGTGGTGATTCTGTATCCCTAGGAAATGGCCACCTGCCTTCAGAGCCTACTATCTTTTAAAAACTATTAACTCTTTCAAGGTTTAGTCAACCAAGAAACTTGGGAGATCACAAAAATGATTTTTAGTGCTTCCTCTGATAGCTGGGCACAAAATTAAACCAGAATATGGATGGTGAAATTCAAATGCTGCATTGCTGAAACTGCTTTAGTACTGGACCATCTCCTGCTACATGGTCCTCTGCTCTCTATGAGCTACAGTCACTTCTTACAACAGGCTTCAGGAATTCTACTTTCCGTGTCTTTTATTACCCCTCCTTTCTCAGATCTGAAATTTTCTTATGGTCTTCTTATAAATTAATTTCTTAATGCCACAATAATAAAAGGCAACTCACCAACTATAATTTGTTTTCATGCTAAAGGACGAAGCTAAAACCCAACTGCTCACTAACTAATACCTTTCAGTTCTTTAAGTGTGACTTTGGAAAACTTGACTGTTCTGGTACTTATCCTTCCTATTAAAAAAAAAAATCAAAGTATCAGAACAACTCAACTCACCAAAATTAGATATTAATTCCTCTATCTAAATTTATATTTAACCCAGACAGGACCACCATACTGAGAAAATCAGGTAAGTAATTAATAAGAAAGGAACAACACAGAGGTTTTCAAATGATCATGAGTTCTTATCTGTGACCTTTAAAACAAAACTAACAAAAAAAAAAAATCATTAAAAAAAAAATTCAGTTCATTCATACTCTAAAAAGATCCAGTTTTTCTCCTTGTTTTTTCAACTTTAGAGTCAACATCAGAAGTAGTACTAATTGGTTAATTATTAAGTCTTTAATAAGATATCTAGCTGGTAAAAAGAACATGCACCAAATTAATTATTGTCTACTTGTAGGTTCTAGAAGCAAACTAAAAAATAAGAAGAAATTTGCCCTGAAGACTATGAAGAAATACTAGGCTGATCTTACCAATTTTTGAAAGACACTCTGTAAATCCCCACTGATTCAATGGATATCTCCCAAAAAGAACCAAACCAGGACAAAGTTCAACAGATAACTGGTCAATGTTTAGAAGTGTATGTCTACCAAGAACAAGGAACCATAAACAGCACTAATGCCATGCCTCAGGTAAATCTGTTATGAAGTTTAGTCTCTGATATTCTCTGCAAATGATCTACCACTGCTCTCCATCAGCAAGCTGAAAGTTTTACTAAAAAATGGGAAAATAAAACATGTAATGTTTTCATAGCTAACAACTTAGTAATACCTACTCAGAGTACATACTTCTTTATGTACCCATATGAACATACAATGCTATGGAATGTAAAGAAGTATGTATTTTTGGTAGGCAATAAACCACCATGAGGAAACTAGACTGCAGCTATGTGAATGACCTTCATATGTTGAATTAACCTATCAAAGAGATGACCTTTGGCAATACTAACACCAGAAAATGTACCTACTACTTTCAGATGGAAACTAACTGTTGCTGATTTATATTTCATGAGGAAAAAAGTTCTACTGAAGTAGATTTAAAATTAACATGGAATTCCTTTTAAATCTTTTAAGTTTAAAGCATACTACATTTTATATTTTTAAATTAAGTACTCACATGATTAAAATTTGAATACAAAAGAGAAAACAGAGATACCAGTACAAAGAAATGACACAAATGACCCAATTTAATTTTAATTTAAATGTATCATATTAGTAGGGCTGACATTTAACAAAAGCTGACTTCATTTGCATTTCAACAGCTATTCTTCGTATCTTGATATGAAGAATAATTATAATTAACAATATAGTTTAATTATAATTTAACAATATTAGAAGAATTCCTGAAGCAAGTTTCGGTGTTTTAAGTTTTCTTTCTGAAAGCTACAGACATAGCTATAATTTTTAAAGAAAAATCTTTCAAGTAAAATTGTACTCTCAAAGAAAAAAAAGTGGTCCCTGTCCTTCTCCCTAATCCAGTTTCCACTTTCAATGCTATGTTAAGTACTTAGTTTAAATCAAGACATATGATTTATTCAAGAAAAATGATAAAATTCTGGGAAATAGGTATAAGTCAATAGGGCACATTGGTCACAGACCGCCAAATATTAAAATAAACTAACTCATTATCTATACTATCCTTGAATTTGCTTTCTCCAAAGAGGGCACATAAAATGAAACACTACAATCATGAAACCAATTTACACAGAAAGAATAACCATTTTTATTGGTACTAGGCAAATACACTTCAATTTTTTATAAACATGATAGCCTACTGTTTATAGTATGCTAGAGATATTAAAATACATTTTACATTTTATGTGAAATGTATTTTGTACAATATATACTTATATAGATAAATATTATAAATGATAAAGCTCTTAGCCACAATTTATTAGTACCTATTTTAAGCTACTATAATAGATTTAGAAAAGAAATATTAATATTCATATATTCTAATAATTTCTTTTGATTAGAGTATTCAGACATATGTCATCATATGTCTAAATTTTTTGTCACAGTTGAACAGAAATGGTCATAAGGTTATCCATGAATTGTTAATTTTCTGTTTAATAAGACAACTAGATAATTGTCAAAAGGTGATTTTCATTTAATCAGCAGATTAAAAAGGAGAGAATGACTTACATATAAGCATAGAAGTTATAGAATATTTATTGGAAATTACAAAAAGTTCATTAATTTTAAAATTTTACATTTTCAAAGAAAAAAAAATCAGTTTAAAGCTTAACTCACTCAAGAATAGACCTTCTTCCTATCCACAAAAAGGATGGCAAAGCTTCATATTCCATTCATTAAGTTTAACTATACACGCTCTAAACATCAAAAACTGACAATATACACCTCAAAAGTAGAGGTTCCTCTATGAAACTACTCAAAGGGTATTACTGTATCTATGCTTTATAATAAGCAATTATATTTACCATTCTATGGGTATAAAAGTTTCTAATAATTATTTTAAAACATTCCAGCAACTAAGAATCTTGTTGCTACAATATTAAGAGCTTCCAAACCTTAGAAAATGAAAGTATCTATTATTCATTTGAAAAAGTATAATTATACACTGATTCTAATGCTTACAAGTTAAACTTAACATATCTAAGAGTATTTTCAATCACTCTAAAATGTCACATCTATCACTTAGATCAGCTGTTCATTTTTAACTGAGTACATATTAAACTCTGGGCATCTGCTGACACTGGTGTAACTCAAACATTTCAACTGTCTCTCTGACAGGGATAACAGATGCTGACATTATCAAATGCTGCACTATTTTTTTTCCCCCTGGCCTCTCTTGCCCCGATATGGCCAGTATACGAAACTGAACTGCCATCCAAAGCACACTTGAGCAACTGGATCTGCTAAACAGCTCCCATATAACTAGTAAAAATAGAAGTCAGTTTTATTGCTATCTTCAGCACTTAAGTCCAGGCAATTTAACACCTGTTTCTTTTCTATTAGAATAAATGATGGAAATAATTGTAGTTACATTAATTTCACCAGCAGCATGATACCCTTCAGCCAACAGATGTGGGATATACTTAATACTAGAAGTGTTTGAATATTGCCTGAATTAGTGTTGACCTTCTCCCAGTTTGGTTCGAAACACATAACTATTTCTTTACTGTTTATATTTCAGTGAGAGCACTTACCTTACAGGCAAACTATAACTGTTCAAGTTTTATTTTAAAAAGGTATTTTCAGAAGACATCCCTTCTCAATACTGAAATTCCCTTATAACAAAAACTTTCTGTACTGAGTTTTAGCGGTAATTTTCATACTCAAATTCATGATTATTGCTAACCACAATGTATTATTAAGCAGATAATGAGAAGTAACCAAGCAATCTGTACCCAAAATGACAGAGAAATCAGTCAAGGAACTAGACTTTTAAAAGAGTTCAATTATTAACCTATGGTTAGTAACACTACATAAGCAAAAAGAAAAATAAGCTATCATTCGAGGCAGTTCCTTCAACACAAGTCTAAGCAATACACTGAATACACATGTGATCTATTTATAAACCAAAGGGTACCAGAGGTACTTTTCTTAAGGCCATTCATCCTTCCCTCCCTGTCAGCAACCTGCTGTTAGTCTTTAAGCATTATGCTAAAAAAAGAAGTGGCGGTAGAAAAGTGTGACTGACTAGCAGTATTCCTCCCTAACCTATTTCACCTGCTTATTTGGTTTACTGCTCAAAGATAAATAGAAAACATTATTCTGATACACATCAAGGTCTATATGCTCTTTTTAAATGGTGCTGGTTTTGAAACAGGTCACTGTCTATATTTAAGAATTCAGCAAAGGTGTTAAAAAAAAAATAAAGGTGTACATTAATAACTCCTTAATGCACTAACAACGTGCTAAAGGGTAAAGACTTCTGCACGACTAGAGTGGGAAACAGCAGGAGAAGTGCCTTCAGAAAATAAAGTTTTACAATTCATAGCTGAAATACTGATGTGAGATTCTCTTAACATTTGAGGAAGGATCATAATCATAATTTAAAATTCAAAATAAAAAAAATTTAACTGTTTTAGGTCCCCAGCTAGCAGCACGGCAATGCTTTGCTAGAGCTGGTAAAATGGAACCAAATCGCCTCTTCAATGGATTTGGTCCCCTTCAACCAGCTGTAGCTATGCATTGATTACTACAGGACAGCCAGCATTTTCATTTATCATTATCAATCACATGTCAACTAATTTCAACTTATTTATTCAAATTATGGTTTAAATCAAATAATTTGTAACTGTTAATTCTGCTTGAAAGAGCTATAGTAGTATATGATGTTAATAAACAGTTTTATGAAAAACTGTGTGAATGATGTAAGGCTTTCAAATAAAATTATTTTATTCATTTATGGTCTCTGTATTAAATTTCTTGTCCTTCAGAAAAGAAATGATATTGAAATGCAGACTGTGCCACAAAATTTAAAAAAAAAAAAAACTTCTTTCAAAGGAAGAAAATATCTAGAAGGTCACCTGAAACCGTAACAGGAATGCCACAGTGTGGACATGCACTATTTTAAATTAAAGTACAACATTAAATGGGTTTTCCTGGTGGCTCAGCTGGTAAAGAATCCGCCTGCAATGAGGGAGACCTGGGATCGAATGGGTTGGGAAGATCCCCCAGAGAAGGGGAAAAGCTATCCACTCCAGCATTCTGGCCTGGAGAATTCCATGGACTGTATAGTCCATGGGGTCACAAAGAGTCGAACACAACTGAGTGACTTTCACTTCACTTCATAACATTATATAAAACAAAACTCCAGAAATGCGGAGTCACTACCTTTCATGTGATTAGCAATTAACTGAGCGCTATTTATCAGAACAGTGATAGGTACGGGGGAAGAGACAATGTCACTGTGGAGCATGTGGCGGACAGACTTAAATAATAAGTATGCAATTCTTCTGAAACTGAACCAAAAAACTTTAATCCTCAAAAGAGGGACACAATACTAAGCATGCTACCTTTTACTTATATAGATATTTCAACTCTCCAAACCTGTTTCCTCGATTGTAAAATGAGAAGACCTTTTTTCTCTTAATTCTGAGTTTAAATGGTTCCTTCTGTCTTACGACATCACTGGTTAGTACCAGGAAAGAAAAGTCAATTTTAAGAATAAGAAAGCTGATAAAAAAAAAAAAAAAAAAAACTCAACCCAGCTTACAACAAATAAATAACTAGCATCATCTTCTCATATTCTTTCATGTTCAATTAAAATCATCCTTTATCTGGCAATCTACAGTCACAACTGCATAAAATGTCTTAAGCAAATAGGAATAAAGAAATCATATACGTTTAACTAAAGCACCACTTTGTTGTAGAATCAAAGTGTTTATTTTTTTCTCTTTTTTTATATCACCTGACATCAATTATCTGGTTGGAGGATTCACTGTTACAAGTTTCCAGAGGAATTCTCAAGAATTAAAGAAACAGAAGTAGTATTTTTTCCCCCTCCTTGGTTTAACAATTCAAAATATTTAAAAGTTACTCATCTCCTAAACACTTTAGTTTTTAATCTACCTTAAACTTTATAACTTAAAAATATTATATAACCTAAATTAAATTCCCTCAAGAAAATCTTTTTGCCAATTCTAACTTGAAATACTTGCTCTGTATGAACTCCTGACAATTTCTCTATAGAATTTTTATTTTAATCGATTATATACTCTTGTGATATCTAACACTGTCCTGTCAAATTAAGACTAACATGTATTGAGTCCTCACCTGCAGTCAAGGCATTATGGGAGATACACAAATATTTGTGCCCAAAATTTTAACAGAAAGAAACATAAAAATGCACATACTAAGGGACAGCACAAAGAAGATAACTGCAGAAAACAGGAACACACAACAAGGAAGTATAGGGCAAACAGAAAATCATTTCAGAGATGAAATCTAAGACCTCAGGGAGAAAGTCAGTTAAGGGCATCTTAAAGAAAGAAAGTGTTAAATCAGTGAAGGAAAAGAGCAGAAACTTTTAGGGAGAGAGAGTAGTACAGTATAGCTGAAGGTCAAGGTGGGCAGAGAGATTTTAATTAGTGGGAGATAAAACTCAAAAGATAGGCTCATGACACAGAAATCAGCTTGATGTATTGGTATACTCTTGGTTAAATCATTCACTGTCCATGTGTTCTAGCCTTACCTCACATACAGCCCATAATACAGAGGAAATAATATAAGGCAGCTAAGATCAAATGATTCTAAATTCAAATAGACCTTGCTCAAGTTCCAGCTGCTTCACTGGGCAGCTGCATGACCTTGAATACAAGTATTGATAGACTTCATTTCTTTATAAGCTTCATACTCTTAATCTACAAAACGAGGATATTAACACCTGCTTCCTGCTTCAAAAAGCTGTTCAAGGGATTAAATGAGATAATGCATGTCAACTACTTGCATGTGGTAAATCTATCATCACCACCTTTTATTTGAAAGGCAGGGAACATGTAATACTATTTTCTCTCCTTTACAATACCAACATTAAATATTTGAAGTGTTCAATTATTTAAAATTTGAAAAATTAATCAAGACATAACCTAAAATATGGCCATTTATTTCATCCTAGGTTATATATCTATTGTTACAGTACCAATAGTCAACTTCAATAAACTCCTTTTGTTCTCTGTGCTCACCCTCTAGTGGTGATCTTAAGAAGCTAAAAAAAAATCAAAAAATTATTGTAAAAGGAAACATGATGTAAAAATGCAATATGGAACCAAAGAATAAGAAATTATGATGTCTACAATTAATAATATTGCATTGTATATTTGAAAGCTGCTGAGCGAATAGATAGAAGTTCTTATCATAAGAAAAAAAATTCAGAACTATGCATGGTGATGGATGTTAACTAGACATACTGTGGTGATCACTTCACAATATATACAAATATCAAATCACTATTTTTAATACATGATATAAATATAATAAAGTGAAGTGAAATGAATGAAGGTCACTTAGTCATGTCTGACTCTTTGCGACCCCATGGACTACAGTACAGTCCATGGAATCCTCTAGGCCAGAATACTGGAGTGGGTAGTGTTCCCTTCTACAGGGGATCTTCCCAACTCAGGGATCAAACCCAGGTCTCCCACACTGCAGGCGCATTCTTTACTAGCTGAGCCACGAGGGAAGCCACAAGGGATATTAATATAGTATCATATGTCAATTACATCCCAAATTTTTTTTAATTTTTAAATTATCAAAATAAACTTCCAAGTAAATATCTTCCTCAGTCAATACACGTGGCTTGATTCAACTATAAACACAAGACATTTAATGAAGAATTTTCTTTTTTTAAAAGAGTTTATTTATTATTATTATTATTACTATTACTATAATTATTATTTTGGGGCCTCACCACGAGGTAGTTCCCCAACCAGGAGCTGAACCCAGGCTCTTAGCAGTTAGAGCAGAGAGTACTAACCACTAGATCCCTGGGGAATTCCCCAGAATTTTCCAAAATGCTTCTCAAGGTAAAGTTATTCCAAAAAATTCATTCACAGAAAGTTCTTCATTAAGCAAAGCTAAGAAATTTTCTTTTCTGTGAGCCTCGGCAGATCCTTTATGAATTTTATGACTTCCCAAAAGTCGTTCTCAAACTTCACCAACAAGCACTTTTTTCAGTAGACCACCTATCACCCTAACAATGGTTAGAAGACATCTGTACTAGAAGTTTATAGTTAATTATATTATTAATAAAAAATTAGGTAACTTAAAAGTTTTTTAGTCAAAAGTTTAAAAAAAATAATTACTGTGCAAATAGACAACTTGGAATAAAAAAAAAAAACAGATAACATGAGGTTTTAGTAAGAGGACACTTGAGAATGATCTTGAAGACATAAATCTCCAGGTGGAATGATTTTAATTAAACCTTTAGAATACAAGTATTCCTGATATTTTATAGACGTATTTAACATAAATCTAAATAGTCATTTCATGATACTTGCATTAGTTAAAAATATATATATATAAAACTAATCTATTTAGGACATAATTTCCTCAGATTTTAAAACAATTTAAAATATTAAAATAAGCCAAAATCACTTCCTTATAAGTATCAGAAAAAGGGAGCCCGAAACAGAAACCTATTTTTAACTGCATAGGAAATAGTAAAAGGTGACATCTTTACCTGGGGTTTCCTCTCAGTGCAGCATGGTGTAGAGCATTAAACCCATTGTTGTTCGTAATGGTAACATCTGCTCCAGCTTCTAGAAGAACTGCCAGGATGTCATCACGCTTCTTACTTATTGCATCATGAAGAGGAGTATCGCCTTCAGAATCCTTTTTTTTTTTCAAAGTTTTAAGAGATTTTCATTAGCTCTTCTTCAATTAATTATTATATGTAAAGTTAATTCTTATAATGATCTACTAAGCAAAGAAAAACAGAAGCCATATCCAACAACCACTAGTAATAAAACATTCTGTGTATTAAATTTCAAAATGCAGGCAAGAAATACTAGCCTCACTATAGTAAAGAAATTTCTAGTCAATCTAGATGGACAATACAATAAACATGCTACAGTTTTCCAAAGAAAATAAAAGCAAGGAAGTATCCTCAAATACAATCAAAATTTTAATGAGACAGAAAAGCTGACTCCCCCCCCCAGCTTACAATGGGCCGCTATACCACACTCCTATCATTAACGGTTACACCCTAAAATTCCATATCTATTATAAAATCAATCCTGAAACTCCATATATATTTTCTAAATCAGAAAATCTTCCAAGACTAGATTAAGGACTAGACCAACAATCTAAGATAAACTAAGCTACAATTAAAATAATTTAGACTCCTCTGAAGTAACTATTGTGAACTGCTAAAGCTCACTGTCATGGTCAATAAAGTTAAATCAACTCCTAGCTGATATTTTTACAAGTCCCCATCACCAACTCCCCCATACAAAATCAATTTACTGACACTTTCTTAACAAAGGCTTTTCTAAGAAGGAATAGCTGCCAATTTTATGGCATTCTATACCTTTGGAATCATTCACTATGATCATACAGAAAGGACTGATAACAAAGGAATGCTTGCCACAGAAACTAGTATTGCCATTTTAAAAGAATCCTGGAAATACCTGCACAATTTAATTCTTTCATAGTTTTACCTGAAGACTGGGATGACAGCCAAAGTCCAGTAACGTCTTCACCACCTGAAGGTGACCTTTATTGACAGCAATATGAAGCGGTGTCTGCCTGCGCTTGTTTCTGGCGTTCAGATCAGCGCTGCCTCGGTGCAGCACTTCTATAACAGCTCCTTCATCTCCAAAAGCGGCATGGTGAACTGCTCTATCACCATCTTTATCCTAAAGAGCAGCATTAAGTCTCAGTCAGGGAATGTTTCAGAAAGAAAAAAAAAAAGTGACGCTACTATAATAATTCATCAAGAACCAGATTAATGTAAGAAAAGGAAACAGAATGGAGTTAACAAGATAACTAGAAATTCATCTGACTAGGGATTAGCTCCAAAGATAAATTATGACCTGGATCATTATATCATGTACACACATACTAGACCAACAGTTAGATCAGAAGTAGTCTGATTCTTCAGTACTCCTAAATTATCAGCCATGATGGTAAGCCAACATTAGAAAAATGTTAGATCACAACCATATGAAGTTTTTTCATCCAAAAAAATCTTACACAGACTTCTTAATAACAAAGAAATTATACTAACAGTTGAGTAATTTTTAAAAAAGAAGGAAGAATGCCAAACAGTATGATTTCAACCAGCTTTAAGGAGGAGAAATACACCCTCATGTTAACACTGGTTATCTCGAGCTGATGAGCATACACTTTTCTATATATTCAAGAACAGAAAAAAGTTATTAAGCACTTCACTTAAAGATAAAAATGAAACACAAACAAGTATAATTCTATACATACAAACTGCCAAAATTATTTTAGAGGGATCCAGTAGGTATGCCTCACCTAATGTTGGCGTATTTCTGAGGAGAGGAGAGGTAGAAATTGCTTAAGTGTTTCTCAAATGTAAGAGACTGCTTTAAAAAAAAAAAATGCTTATATTGAACCATAAAGATAATATACACAGTCCATACCAAAAAGAGTCTCATTGTTAGATGCAGATGGAAAAGGATATTATAAGGGTACTGCTTTATTCCATGCACATCTCAAATATTAACACCCAGAAGTAAGCAAACTCTCAGACTTTCTCCAACCCACGGTAGCCCTTGATGGACTCTAGTTTTTGCAAGTGGTTTGAAAATCCATATTGCACTTGGGCTTATCTGAACTACTTTCCAAAGATAATGCAGATGAATATCGTCATAGCTAAATACATTTTAAAAAATGAACACAACAGTTGCTGAATTCAAAATAGTTTTTGGTCTTTGCATATTTTCTCAAATAGATACTAAAAGTAAAACTGCTCAAGCAGGAATCCACAATGGCTTGACAATCATTCTTAAAAGGCCAGGAAATCACAATTCAGAACTTCTCCTTTACTAACATTCCAGCAGAACAGGTTAGGAGTTTTTGTTACTTCTCAACCTTAAGCCGAAAGGAACCACAAACTACCACAGGAAAGATTAAGGATTCAACTCTTGTGCCTCTGAGCAGTATTATATCTAAAATTCCAGAAAAAAACAAGCTTCTTACAAAAAAAAAAAAAAAAAAATATATATATATATATATATATATATATATGTTTGTGTGTATATTGTTAACTTCTCGAGTAACACATTACAGTATTTCAGAATTTTAGATTTAAGATCTTCCTAACTTCCAGTCTATATTCATTTTCTATTATAATTTTTAAGCCTATCTAGTGGTACTCCTTCCATTAAAATAAGAACATCAATCCACTGACACTCACTGAATAAAGATAGGAACTATTTATGAAATGTACCATATATTGATGACTGTTGGAGAACTGCTACAAAAACACTTTAATGCAGGTTCCATCAACAATTTGCTTATGTTAAAAAAAAAAAAAAATTACAACCCAAATATATATGTCAAAGGGAAATACATAAGGAAAATGTAAAGATTTTGGAAAATACATACACGCATTAGAAAACAACAATTAATTTCCAGATTTTTATTCTAAATTAGAAAACCTCACTTGCACAAAGACTGTAGCTTTCAGGTTTTGTTGCTTTCTTCCGAGTTTATCTTACATATTTCAAAAGGCTTCAAACAACAAGATATTTATTCTGTCTCTGATACTGCCACCAAACAAGTTGTTGCGGCCCAGCACAACAGCTCACTTCCAAAGGTGATCTAAAGAGACCTGCAAAGGGGCCTCAGATTAAATCTAACACTGATCTTGGTCCTTTCTACCCTCTTCCTCCTAAACTCTAAAATCTGCTCTTGTTCCACCCTCCCCTCTACTGGCTGATAAAACCGCAGGCTGTACAGTCAACACATTCAGGACCCATCAGTCATGCTCATCTACTTCCTTTTGCTGAACCCCTACAAGCAAGCACCAAATTTGATGGCTGTCACTCTTTAGTTTAGGCTCTATTCTCTCTTGTCCAATTCTACATCTAAGTGATTCAGGTCTTCTTTTATTCTCATTCACCTGACCTACTGCCATAGTTCACCCAGCCTTCTTACTCCAATCTATTCTTCATACAAAAAATAATTTTCTCTAATAAAACACAAAATTTATGTTTAAAATTCTTTTATGTAACTCTATAAAGAACATTAAAGCCTACTTCTGTGGACCATTCCAGACTCATCTGCTGCCATCTTCCCTCACACATACAACTAACTTAACCAACTGACTTGACCCTATATGTTCACGTGCTGCTCTCAGACTTCAATGCTCTTTTTCATTATGTTATTGGCTTAAAAATACACATTCTTTAAAACTCAGTTCAGGCAACTCTTCTCTTATGAAACTGCCCCTGACTCACAAAATTAGTTTAACTCTAATTTCTAATTTATTTTCAGAAATTATGTCAACTGTTTTATTATTCTCAAATATAATAAGTAGCATAGCACCTCATCTTATTTTCCATAAAACTCATTCAATTAATCAAGATGCTGCTAACCTGATCATACTTAAACCTAAACAGACTATGTGGATATGGTATATTCTGGTGTGTTCGTTCATTCATTCATTCAGTAATCATGGACTAGGTGCCCACTATGAACTCAGTGCTGTTCTGGACATAGAGATATAACAACAGGCAAGACAAAACTCCTGTCCTCAGTTGCCATTCTAGTGGGGTAAAGAGAACATTAAAAATGAAATATGTAAATAAAATGTAAATGTTTGGTAGGAGGAAATGCCAAGGAGAAAATATAGCAGGGAAGAAAGACAAGACAGCCAAGCGACGGCCCCTCCCAGGAAAGGTGTGAGTAAATAGCTGAGAGAAGTGAGAGAAAGCCCTGAAGGTATCTGGGGAGGAGAAGTGCAAGGAAACAGCACAGTGGCAACAGGAAGGATGAAAGTTGTGTGAATTCTGGACAAATTTCACAGAGCCAACGGGATTTAGTCATATTCTGAATAAGGAGTCTGGGGAGAAAAGAGGAGTCAGTGACGGTTCTTAAGACCCAACCTGTGCAACTAAATAAAGGTGCTGGTAAGGGAGGACTGTAAAACTATGATATGGCCCCTTTAAAAATCTGACCTTTTTTGTTTGGGCAATCTCAGGTTGCACTCTGCCTTCCTGCAAAAGGAACCCTAAGGACTGTTTTCTGGGTCTTATATGAATAAATCAGATCTTTTCACGTTTTTAACAGTGTCAGTATTTTGGGGTAGGGGGAGTGTGTAGGGAAAGCGAAGTGGAAAAGCCTCTAGCCACAACCTGAAATAACATGGATCCCTAGGAAACCATGTATGCTAATTCCTAGAGCCATTCTGGAGGTTATTATTCTGAGTCCTGATTTGTTTTCCAAAAAAGAATTTCCTTGAATTGACTAGTCAGTTATGACCAACCTAGACAGAATATTAAAAAGCAGAGACACTACTTTGCCAACAAAGGTCCCTCTAGTCAAGGCTATGGTTTTTCCAGTGGTCATGTATGGATGTGAGAGTTGGACTGTGAAGAAAGCTGAGCGCCGAAAAATTGATGCTTTTGAACTGTGGTGTTGGAGAAGACTCTTGAGAGTCCCTTGGACTGCAAGGAGATCCAACAGGTCCATCCTAAAGGAGATCAGTCCTGGGTGTTCATTGGAAGGACTGATGCTGAAGCTGAAACTCCAATACTTTGGCCACTTGATGCAAAGAGTTGACTCACTGGAAAAGACCCTGATGCTGGGAGGGACTAGGGGTAGAAGGAGAAGGCGACGACAGAGGATGAGATGGCTGGATGGCATCACCGACTCTATGGACATGAGCTTGAGTAGACTCCGGGAGTTGGTGATGGACAGGGAGGCCTGGCGTGCTGCGATTCATGGGGTCGAAGAGTCGGACACGACTAAGCGACTGAACTGAACTGAACTGAAAATCTACTTGCCCGTTCCTTTGCAGATTACAGTTAAATACAATGTTTCTACAGTTTTGTTTTCATTAACCGGATAAACAGAATCAGATAGAAATAGCACCTGGGATTTGTTTGTTGTTTTTGTTTTTCTGAGAAACTGCTAGCCTTCACTGAAAAGAAAAGTGAAAGTGCAGTCGCTCTGTCATTATCCAACTCTTTGCGACCCCATGGCCTGTAGACTACACCAGGCTACTCTGTCCATGGGATTCTCCAGGCAAGAACACTGGATTAGGTTGCCATTTCCTTCTCTAAACTTTCACTAGTTGGAGAGAAATGTTTAATAAGAACACAGATAATAATGAAACCTTAAATTTCCATGGTGTTCTATATTATAAGTGGTATCTTAATTGTTTCCCTTACTGAACTCCCCACCCCTTCAAATTATTACCATAGATGAGGAAACAGAAAGTTAAACCAATTAAACTTTTTGCCCAATATTATTTTAGACAGCAACAATACCATTCAAACTTGGGTTTTTTGACAAAGTCTAGTATTATTCCCTACTATTAATATTCTCCATTCAAAAGAGCTTTCATTAGTCTTAAATAATAAAACCACTTAAAATTTGCTTATATCATCAGTATGTATTTGTACTATATTTGAAAAACTTATTGTAAAGAATTCACTTTTTAAAACTGGGCTTCCATTCAATCCTCCACACCTTTACTTATTATATTCATCAGTAGGAAAAAAAAATACTGAGTCCTTGGAGGATGAAAAATGAGCTCACCCAAATCAACATACCTAAGATCCCACAGCCCTCGGTGCCTCTACCTACACATTAAGAAGGAAACAGAATGTAACCCTACTGTATTCAGTAGGTCATACATGGAGACAACCAACTTTCCAAAATAGCTCTGAGCTTTTCCTAAGAAAAAGAAATAGAGAAAAAATGTAACCTTATCACATATTTGAAAGGTATAATATACAGCAAATAATTTAGCTTTCTAACAGCTTAAATCAACTAAAAAATCTGAAATAGTCATCTATACTAGGGGTCAGCCAACTTTTCTGTGAAGGGCCAGAAAGTAAATATAAGTTTTACAAGCTATATGATCTTTTATCACAACTACTCAGTTTTGCAGCTGGAGCACAAAAGCAGACTACACAATAAAATAAATGAATGACTGCATTGTGTTCCAATAATACTTTTAAAAAGAAATGAAGGGCTGGACCTGGCCTTCGGGCTATAGATTGCAATCTGTGAGCTATACTATTCTGAGCTCACTTCTTGATGCAGGAGAATAAAATTAAAGGATGGAGAATGAGATTCCCAGAGAACAAAATATACTATTCTCTTTATTCTTCAGCTAACTTCAAACTTTTAATAAAATTGGATTTAAAAAAAATCATTATTAAATTATTGTGTCTAGGTGTGTTAAAGGTATAATAAAGGTTTTAAGAGAAGAGCACTTAATCTTCTTGGATACATACTAAAACTATTTACAGATGAAATAATATGATATCTGGATTTGCTTCAAAATAATTCAGTGGAGGAAATGAGAGTTAAGAAGGTACTGATAAGACAGACTTGGTCAAAAAAAAAAAAGACAGACATGGCCAGAAAAAATAACTCAAGTGGAATAATGAGTACACAGGATTCATTAGACTATTCTATTTTTACAAATGTTTAAAATTTCCAATAATAATTAATTTACAAACAGATCGATCAATTTACAAACGATGAATCACAATTTTAAGTGCATTTGAAAAATTAACTATTTTCTCCCTCTTTTAAACCAGGATTTCCAATCAGCATTGCTGACATTTTGGACTGGATAATTCTTTGCTGTGGGAACTGCCCTGTACATTCGAGGATGTTTAGTAGCATCCTCAGTTTCTATCCATTACATGCCTGTCAGTTCCCTGCTCCCCACCAAACAGTTGTGACAATCAAAAATGTCTCCACCTAAAAAATAAATAAATAAATAAATTTTTTTAAAAATGTCTCCATAAAACGTTCCCTGTGGGACAGAAATGCCCCCCAATTAAGAATCACTGTTTTAAGTAAATTATATTGCTATTTATAACAATGTTGAATCTTACATTCTAGAAATATGAAACTTTCCTGAACTTTTGCTTTATTCTTAGGCAATGAATTACATTTATATTTCAACCCAGTTTTTAAATGTAGTTTTCCCTTTACCCGCTGGGAAACTGTGTTATTAACTTAATCAGATGTGTAAATATCCCTTTTTCACACTATCTCTACAAATTACATCTGTCTACAATGGTTTTTAAAACAGAAAATGCCCAGAATGAAAATAAAAGAGGTGGGATGGTAGAAGGCCACACATACCTGTGTAGTAACAGACAGAGTTTCCAAATTGAATGATGTTACTTACAAACTACTGGCCTTGCTCCAACTCCAGTCTTATGTGGAGAGTAATAACTGTTTTGCTTATTTGAGTTCAATTAAGAAAGAAAAAAAAGAAAGAAAGAAAGAAAAAACCCTACTCTTGAAAAATAGTGCCAACTTCATTCACAGCCCCCTAGCCGCAGCCCTACTCTATGCAACCTCTCATGTGAACAAGTCTATGGATAGTCTCACTTTGTAAGGTTTAGTAATGCTGAATCAGAAAGTATAGTTTTTTTTTAGAAAACCAGGAAAAAAAATCTTTGGTTTCTAAAGCCTCTCAGCTTATTTTCTTTCATCAGCAGAGTCTGGGGAACTCCTTGGTGGTCTAGTGGTCACTACTCGGCACTCTCACTGCCATTGCCCAGGTTCAGCCCCTGGTCAGGAAACTAAGACCCTGCAACCTGCAAGGCATGGCCAAAACAAAGGTCAGAAGGCTTGCAATATTTCAGTTTGCAGTTTCTGGATTCATTAAATTTAAAAATGGGATGTCCAAAATGTAATATTTACAAAATATTACATTATACTAAGTCTATCATGCATCACCAAAAAAAAAAATCCTTATAACACATACTGGGCTCCTAAATTCACAACCAAGAAAGATGTGACTTAAAGTTACTCTGTAAACGCAAAGTCAAATTATATAATCTCATTCATAAATACATCACAGTAATAAAACTAGTGTACAGTTTACAAATGTCTAATATGCTAATTTAAAACTCAAGCTCTAGGCAAAAGAAAATGCCAACATCAAGGATGACCTAAAATACCACTGGTTCTTTAGTAGCTATTCAACAACTCAAGATATACACAAATGGGGGAAAAAAGCAAAAAGAATGTAAGACTTCTGTTTTCAAACATGTCTTTAAATTTTTATAATTAGTAAAAACAGACTGACCCACAAATTTCGCCCTCCAAAATTCAAATCCTTATTAAATAGCTTCCTCAGATGGGAGTGTCACTTGGACAAAACTGCAACATTTTGCCTAGTATGAATCTGATAGAATTTGGCTTATTCCTAAATAACCCTGCATTAGACTAAAACAAATACAATTCTAATATATTTTTAACTGATGCAGTTATAGCTAACTACAACAAAGGAAGCCCTCTACCCACACCAGCCAATGAAATTTCAATGCCAGTAAGAATCATTAATTTCTCCTTTAATAAGAACATGTTCTACATTAAATTAAGCACATATACACACATAGAGTGATAAATACACACTATAAAATCTTTAAAAACCCAAATTAAGGTTAAGAAACTGTAAGACTAAACAAATTCTAATTTACTGGTTCCCTCATGAAAAAACAAAAAAACAAGGAAAGCCCTCTGCATGTCACAGATCAGGGAAAATCTTGCCCCATGTGATTTATATTCCTCTTTCCTCAATTTCCCCAGTATGAGTCATGGGTAAATACCGCCGAGCTCTCAACAGCATAGTAGTCCTACCTTAGCAAAAGGAAACTCAACCTTCTTCACTTAGAGTTATGCCTAAAATATCGAGAGAGCACAGAAAAACACAAAATGCTTCATGCTATCTTTTCTCAAATTTTTTCGTTTTAATCAGAAGAGCCTTGAGTTAATATTAAATTTCAAAATGAAAAAGCATCCATCTCAATGATACAGAAGGACCATTTCTAAGACATTAATTTTTACTTAAATATTTTTAAAACTTAGTTTAATTACCTCTGCTTCTACATCCACATTTTGCTTCAAAAGTAACTTCAAAATGTCAACATGTCCATTCTGACTAGCAGCTTGCATAGCTGTGTGACCAGCACACTGTCCATTCACCTAAATACAAAAAGAAAGGATGAAGAAATCTCACAAGAAGGAAAGAGCCAATACATACACATGGTGTAGGTTTAAACCCAACAAACTGAATGATTCTATGAGAACAATTTAGGTTGGTGTTCTATATATCCTGATACAGATCACCAGAAATGTGACCTGTATCACATTTCTAAGTTAGGGAGGGATTCAGGCACTCTAAGAGTTCCACTATTAAAAGAGTTACAAAAGAACTTTTAGCCAATCTGCAAAGTTGAAAACAGAAAAGGATGAGAGGGAAGGAGGGACAAAGGGAAGTTACATTTATTTTAAATATGTGTCTACTTTTAAGTATTATTAAACCTCAGAGTCTGTTTCAATGAAAAAAAAAGTAATGAGGTGAATGGAAGACTTTTAGAAAAGATACTGTCTAATATAGTACACATAAATTCAACAAACACAGCCAAATGTCAATGGTAAGCAAACTACCACAAAGGATACGTAAATGAGTTACCAGAGTAGCTATACACAACTGTTCCACTGTTCTACTATAAAGCAGTAATATCCAATCTTTTCTTCACTTCAGATGCTGTGTAAATGGATATGGAAACACAACATGGAAAAACAGACATTTTTTCCAAAGAAGACATTTCAAATGGCCGACATGAACATAAAAAAGATGCTCAATATTACTAATAAACCAGGAAATGCAAGTAAAAACACAATACCATTTACATTATCGCCCCCTAAAATTAAGAACTTAGGTATAACTTTAACAAAATGTGTATAAAATGTACATAAGGAATACTATAGAACTCTGATAAATGGAATTAAGAAACTAAATAGATGGAGCAATACCCCATGTTCATGGATAAGAAGACTCAATAATGTCAAGATGTCAGTTCTTCCCAACTTGATCCACAGATTCAACATAATCAACAATCAAAATCCCAGCGAGTTACTGTATGGAAGTTTAAATGGACAGGCAAAAGGCCCAGAACAGTCAACCCAATATTAAAGGAGAGCAATAAAGCTGGAGGACTGACACTACCGGACTCTGAGACGTACCACAAAGCTACAGTAACCACAACAGTGTGGTACTACCCAAAGAATAAACAAACGGAAGAAAGGAAAAGAACAGGAAGCCCAGAACAGCCTCTCATAAACACACTCAAGTGATTTTTAACAAAGAAGCAAAGGTAATACAATGGAGCAAAAACAATCTCAACAAACAGAATACATGGAAAATCTCTGTATCTTTCAATTTCAATTTATTAAAACTGCTCTAAAACTAAAATCTTAAATTAAAAAATTATCCAAAATTTCCATATATGAAAGACATGATTTCCAGGATAAAAAGATCAAACATTAAAAGCAACAGATGAAGACAGATCTACATCAAGGCATAACACTGCACAAGTTCAGACACTGGTGAAAAAAGAGATCTGCATGCTTGATAAAAATGAAACAGATCACATGAAGGATCAGGAATCAGAATGGCAATTCTGAATGCTGGAAGAAAATGGAATTATTCTGAAGGACAATGATATCTAAACTTGAATTCTCTTCCCACCTAAAATTTAACTGTAATGTTAAAAAAGTTATATACTGAAGGTCGATTTCTCATGTACCCTTTTTCTGAAGAAGCTACTGAAAGCCATACTTCACAAAAACGAGAATAAAGTTGGAGACAGAAGGACAAGGATAAAGAAAACAAGAAATCCAGCACAGGAGAGAGGGGAAAGGAACCTGGAGGATGATGAGTGAGAGACATTCCAGATGGATCCCATCAGAGGCACTAAGAGAAATCTCTCTCAGATGAAACACACACAAAACTTGATGTGCTGAATGTCTTAAGAGATTACACAGTTAAGAGAGAATTCTGGAGAAGAATTAACAGTAACAATACAGATTACTAACAAATGAAAACAAAAGTGTTTAGATTATGTCCTGGGGTTAAGAGACAAGTGAACCCTTTGGAACAATGGAAGTGTTCTACATCTGAGTAGGGCTGTGGATTATGTAGGTGTATGCATTTGTCAAAACTGACTGACCCATGTATTTCACTGTATGTAAATTACACCTCAGGTGGTTTTTTTTTTTTTTTTTAAAGAACAATTATGAACACCAAGGAAAGCAAAAAGTTGTGCAAGAAAACACAATCGAGTATCCTCCACAGCTCAGATATGGATGCTATTTGAATGTAACATGCAAAATTAGTTCTAACATTAACAAAATTATAAAGCAATACCATATTAAGAACCTGGAAGAGGTATGCATGTGTGTGGAAAGGATGGGTTAAATGTGGAGAAGGCAAGTGGAATCCTCACCTTCACAGAGCAGTATCAAAACATAACTTCTAAAACCTACAAGTCAAGAAATAACAATAGAAGTTACTGAAAGATGAGGAGGTAACTGGACGAAGGAAATCAGCTCAAAGAGGTGAAAATAGTTGCCTCTGAAGAAAAGGGAAATAGCATTGAGAATGAGATGCTGCTTTTCATAACAAATCTTGGAGAACTATTTTTCCCTTTAAATTTTTAGAATGTACTACATTCTAAAAAAACAACTGAAATAAATCTGTAATGAAGAAAAAATTAAGTGTAATAAAATGTAAATCTGCATAAGTAAATATAAAAGAAGTCTGACTCTACATTCCAAACACAAAAAACATTTGGTACTTTAATATCTGAAACTATTTGTGACATAGCTCATAACCAATCAAGAAACTACTGTGTCATGCTGCTGCAACTGATCCCCAACAAACCTGAAATGCCACATGAGATCATAGGAGTAAGATGTTATTTCAGGCTTCCCTGATAGATCAGGTGGTAAAGAATCCGCCTGCAATGCAGGAGACCCCAGTTCGATTCCTGGGTCAGGAAGATCCGCTGGAGACAGGACTACCCACTCCAGTATTCTTGGGCTTCCCTTGTGGCTCAACTAGTAAGGAATCTGCCTGCAATACAGGAGACCTGGGTTCGATCCCTGGGTTGGGAAGAGCCGCAGAGAAGGGAAAGTCCATCCACTCCAGTATGCTAGCCTGGAGAATTTCATTGACTGTATAGTCCATGGGGTCACAGAGTCAGACATAACTGAGCATCTTTCACTTTCACCTTGTAAATTATAGATCTGACCTCTGTCAAACTGTCCAGCATACTTACATACAAAGATATGGTAATGAAAGCCCTCATTACACAGTGACAATGATTCAAAGTGACACTCAACCTACAACCCTTTGGCCAGCACTGACATCGTATTGGTTCCAGAATAGTAGCGATGCTAAAGCCAGTGAACAACTAAGCGAGAACCAGAATGGGCAGTTTGAACCCATTTAAAATATGGCTTTGGTGAATGGTAACATTACAACATAAACTATTCAGATTTACAAAATGCATGATCCCTAATTCAACTGCATTATGAACCATGAAACAGTCAACTTTCACAAGGAGGAGAGGGGAAAGCTTAGGTTAAATGTTTTGAAAAGAAGGATGGAAAATTACTTATAATTGCTTATATATTTTTAAAATATATTTGTAAAACATTATAACATTTACCACAAGAAAATTTCACTGAATTTCCCCAAAGGACACTAACTACTTAAAAACCTCAAAGTAAATTTTGACATCATAAAGTTCAAAAGTCAGTACTAAAATAAGAAAGTCAGTAATCTTCTAGAAATGCACAATGAAGAAATAATGCCCAGTGTCATCTTTAAAATACCTTAGGAACAAGGAAGAAGGAATAGATGAAGCACATGTGGCAATATCTTAATAACTGCTGAATAAAAGGTTTATTGTAACTATTCTATTTTTGCATATGCTTCAAAATAAATTTTAAAATGCTCACATCCACATCTGGTCTTTTTAGCAAATCTTCCACTTTAGCAACATCTCCATTGGCAGCAGCCTTAACTAATTCTTCATTGAGGTCACCAGATTCTTGGGTTTCAAATAATTTCTTCAAGAGTTGGGAGAGTCTTTCTGTAAAGCATCAAATAAAGCTGCTAATATAGCAGGATCTCAAATCATAACTACTAACAGACAACCATTACCCACATGCCTGTAATACATACTTTTCCTGTTTTATTATGTCTATCATTAATATTACTTTGGTACTAAGCTACAGATACTACCCATGCAAGTTACAATTACTACCATATAAAACTGCTTTAAATCTGAGCCCACAATTACTCCCGGTTTACTCCAATTCATGTATTTCAAGTTAAAATTTCAGAAAAAGAGAGTTACACACAAACTGTAATTTAAGATTTTGGAGTCATACCAAAGATATTACAAATGAACATACTACCACAGGAGTATTATATGATACAAATTGCCTTTCAGGTCTTGAGTGTATCTTACTGCTCTCAGGTCTCAATGCAACAGATCAATGATTATGATACATAAGCAATATAATCTCTATAGTCTCTGGGGAAATATTTTAGGGACAAACCAATTTTCAGCTTGAAAATATTAAAATAAAATACTTCAAAGGTGTCAACTGACTGGTTCTGACTAAAACAAGAAAGAACCAGGTATGTGCTTAAATAAACCCTTTCCTAAGGTTTGGTTTGGTTTTTTTCCCTCCAAATAGCATTGATCAGTAGAGAATCTACCCAGTTCTCCCCCTTAACTCTAGGATCTACTTACTGGAAAGGAAAGAGGTCACAAACTGAGACCCAACACCAAATCTACATTATCTGAGAGAAGGATATAAACGATTTTTCACTCTTTCAATATGTAATGGGTAGGCCAAAAAGTTCATTTGGATTTTTCTGTAAGATGTTATGGATGAAATTTTTGGCCAGCCTGATAAAAGTCAGCCTACTGTGATGCTATCTAACCACAAGGTAAAAATAAACAGCACCTGATTTAACCTCAAACACATTAGCAAATTACAGCAGGAAAGACGACACAAGCAGAGGAAGCAGAAGGCAGCACAAAATAAAACTGGAGGTCAGCCAACGTTTTCCTTCACTTTCTTACTGTGCCCAGTCATGGCTCCATCTTCTCTTCTGGATGTCAGCTACATTCGCACAGTAAGTTGTAACCAGTTGTCTAATGAACTGACTGTGTACATAGAGCTGGATCATGAGAAGAAAAGCTCTGGGCCTGAGTCTACCCAAGCGTCCAGCATACTCACATCTTAGCACAGCTCTCTTCGCCCACTGTGGCCTGTACAATACCTCTCATAAAATGACAAGAGAAAAGGTATGGCTGATACATAAAACTATCCAGAAAGAAAGCCATCTGCTAGCAATAATATTGGAAATTATAAAAATAAATAAGGCAGTCAAAGAAAGTGATGGTTCTGTGGCAGAAAACAAATGTTCTGACTGAAGAGTACCATGTTGAATTTCAGGTATCTCCTATTTGACGTGGAGAAGCCCTTGATATATCTGAGAAAATGAACATGTTTATAGAATTTTCACAGGGCATACCTCAGCCAGTGCAAAGGTGGTTCGTCATATGAAAAAAGAAAAAAAAAAAAAAAAGACATTTAGCGCAAGTTTAAAAGGTAGTTAATATGCAAGTGAGGTAATGTGATCTGGGAGAAAATCAAGATCACACATAACATTATCTGTGTACCAGAACTGGAGAATGAGGAAGGGCTCTAATGTAAACCACATTGCTTTTAAAGAAACACAAAACAGAACATACCACCAGACGCGTTGCTAATGGCTGATCCTGCGGACGCCACCTTGGAAACCGCCGCTGGATTATACGTCCAAGATGTTCCACATACTTCCACCTTTAAATCGCTGTCTGAATAAATCTGCTGCACTCGGCCAACTTTACCTAAAGTCTTAAAAACAAGATTAGATTTATGTTTGATTTATTAGATTTATGTTTCCAAGTCTACACTATAGAAATCAATCATCAGTTTTTACATGTTTGAAGTATTAACTTTACTTGATTCCTAATTTAAAAAACTTTTAAAGGATAATCATATTCAAATGGATTATTTACTAGCGACAAACTTTATAGAGTATCTTTAAAAAATATTTTAATAAAACTGTTACACTTACACAAAATATAAAAATAATCATGACAATCTTATTCAAAAAAGTAACCTTATAAGATACCTCTAGAGAACTTGTAACTCAAATAGTCCAAACTATCATTAATCTAGCCTAAAAAAATAAAATCTGCTTTCTAAAAAAAAAAACTTAAACCAAAAAGGGCTCAAAGCTTACATCTATGTTTAAATCCTTTTTGGAATCAAGCCTAATTTCAAGACAGAAGTATGAAAGCCACTGTCATTCTGGGGTGAAGGATCAGGAAGCCTCTTTGTCTCACCTAAACATTACATTTGCCACTAAAGGCTCTATAAAATTAGATTTATCTACCATATATTAACTATAGCCCTTTAGGGATCTTCCCAGGCTAATCGAAGGGCTTCCCTGGTGGCTTAGCAGTAAAGAATACACTGCAGGAGACCCGAATTCAATTCCTGGGTCAGGCAAGATCCCCAGGAGAAGGGAAAGGCTACCCATATTTTTGCCTGGAGAATCCCACAGACAGAGGAGCCAGGTGGGCTACAGTCCATGGGGTCACAAAGAGTTGGATACAACTTAGCAACTAAACAGAGAGAATGGACTTATGGACATGGGGAGAAGGGAGGAGAGGGTGAGATGTATGGAAAGAGTAACATGAAAACTTACATCACCGTATGTAAAATGGATAGCCAACAGGAATTTGCTGTATGGCTCAGGAAACTCAAACAGGGGCCCTGTATCAATCTAGAGGAGTGGGATGGGGCGGGAGATGGGAGGGAAGGTTCAAAAGGGAGGAGATATATGTGCACCTATGGCCAATTCATGTTGAGGTTTGACAGAAAACAACAAAATTCTATGAAGCAATAATCCTTCAATAAAAAATAAAATTAAAAAAAAACTAAACAACAACAAAGTTACTCTAACTGAAGTAAATTTAGAAAATAAAAGGCATACAGATGCTAAGCTGCCAGTGTAGAGTACAATTCTCAAAGGATTAAGCTGTTATCGTTTCTAAAATTAAACTCATCAAAGCTTTTCAAAACTCTGTAAGCAAGCTATAGTTCCGACTCCCAAAGGCCTTAATATACACTTACTGGGAGCATAGCTTCTGCCCACTCTCCATGTCCTCTCTGTAGAAGTTTAATTCTCTCCAGATCATAACAAACTTGGACAAGATCACCCACTTGAAACTGAGAGGTGCCTCCCTCTGCACCCTGCGCAGCATCCCCACTTCGGACAATGTTTGCTTTAGTGAGAACAGCAGGGTTGAAGGTCCACCTAAAAACCAAACCAAATTCGAAGTTGGTAAGTTTACTTCACTTCAGCACAACATTCATAGTTAACCACTGGAGGGGGGAAAGCATTATAACACATCCAAAGTGTAAAGCAATCCTTTACGATTACATCCTGAATGATCTGTGTTTCTTTTCAGAATTTTATTATACAAATTTGAGAGAAGAGTCATCCATAATCTCACCATACTTGTACAATATGCTTTTGTCTAGATTATCGCTTGCATGCTTTAAAAATTGTTATAAAAGTAATACACACTTGTTGTTAAAGATTAAAACATTTCAGAAACATGTAAAGTGAAAGTTCCATTGCACACAAACACACCTCGATCACCATTCTGCACCCCTCTACACAACAGTTAATATTCCATTGTATATGGAATGCAGATCTTCTATTAATATGCTGAGTGATGGTTGTAACAGAGAGCTAATTAGACCAGCTGAAATGATCACTCTTCTTTTGTACCTTCAGAACAGCCTGAATATTCACTGCTCACAACTACTTAAAACATTTCAATACAGCTATTTCTGACTTTATCTATCCAACTTTAAAGGGAAATTTCTTCAGAGTAGAGGACCATGACTTAACTGTCTCTGTAATTCTAAAACTAATCACGGGCCCTAATACAGGATAAGTACTTAATAAACTATTCTTAAATAAAGAATAAAAAAATTTTTTTCTAAAAGTCAAATGTTATGTTACTAATAACACTAGAACCCAAGAGAATTTGGACCAAGGAAGAATTCTGCGAGTAACAATCCTAACCTGTGTTAATTTACCATTTCCAAATGAGAGGACATTTAAGACAACATATGTTAATACATGCTATTCTGAATTTAAGATTTTTTTCCCTTCTTTATTGAGATGTAATTCACATACAATTCACTCTTTAATGTGTATAAATCAGTGGTTTTAGTATATTCAGTTGTATAACCAACCACCACTATAATAATTTCATTTTCATCATCACAAAAAGATACCCCCATGACAACCAGCAGTCACTGTGAAATCAACTCTCTCTACCCAGCCTCTAACAACCAGTAATACACTTTCTGTTTCTACGGATTTCCTTATTCTAGACATTTTCTATAAATAAAATCAGATAGTATGTGACCTTTTGTGACAGGCTTCTTTCACTCAACAAATTTTTTCAAGATTTATCTATGTTGCAGCATATGTCAGTACTCCATCCCTTTTTACAGTCAAATAAAATGTTCCATTGGATATACCACAACTTGGTTATCCATTCAGGAGTCAATACACATTTGGCTTATTTTCACATGTTGGCTGTTATGAATAATGCTTCTCCAAACATCCATGTACAGATTTTGGTGTGGGCACATTGTAATTTTCTTGGATATAAACCTGGAAGTGGACATGCTGGGTCATATGTCAACTCTATATTTAACATTTTGAGAAACTACTGTTTTCCAAAGCATCTAGACCACTTCACCTACTTATCGTTAATGTAGGAGGGTTTCGTTCCAATTTCTCTATGCCCTCAGCAACACTTGTAACTATCCTACCTTTCTGTTCTAGCCATTCTAGAAGGTGAAGTTGTATTTCATTGTGGTTGTGAATTGAATTTCCTTAGTAACTAATAATGTCCTGCATCTCTTCAAGGGTGAAACAGAATGAACTGAATCTCTCCAAAGTTCACATGGTAAAGCTCTATGGCTCCTATGTAACTATATTTGAGACAGGGCCTTTAGGGAGAAAAGTAAGGCTAAATGATGTCATCAAGGCGAGGTGCCATGTGAGGACAATGAGAAAGCAATCCTCTCCAAGCCGAGAAGAGGTCTCACCAGAAACATACCCAGATGGCACCCTGATCTTGGACTTCTAGCCTCCAGAACAGTAAAAAAAAGAATAAATAAAGAAATATCTATTGTTTAAGCCACCAGTCTGTGATATTTTGTTAAGGAAGCCCTAGCAGACTAATGCAATGCATTCATTGACCATTTCTGTACCTTCTGTGAGAAGCTTCCCTCGTAGCTCAGATGGTAACAAATTTGCCTGCAATGCAGGAGGCCAGGGTTCAATCCCTGGGTTGGGAAGATCTCCTGGAGAAGGAAATAGCAACCCATTCCCATATTCTTGCCTGGAAAATCCCATGGACAGAGAAGCCTGGTGGGCTTCAGACTATGGAGTTGTAAAAGTTGGATACAACTGAACAACATTAATATCGTCTGTTAAAAAATGTCTATTTAAATCCTTTGTCCATTTTCAACTAGGTTATTTACCTTTTATTGTTGAATTTTAAGAGTTCTTTACAGTGTATTCTAGACACAAGTCCCTAATCAAACATATGATTTGCAAATATTTTCTCGCATCCCACAGGTTGTGTCTTCACCGTTTTGACAGCCCCCTTAGAAATATTAAAGTTTTAATTTTAATGAAGTATAACTTATTCACTTTTTCTTTGGTTGCTTCTACCCTCAAGGTCATATCTAAGAAACCAGTTTAATCCAAGGTCATGAAGATGTACAACTATGTTTTGTTCTAAGAGTTTTGCAGTTTTACCTCTTGCATTAAGGTCTGTGATTCATTCCGACTTAATATTTATACATGGTGTGAATTAGGGGTCCAATTTCATTCTATTGCATGCCAATATACAACTGACATAGCATGATTTGGTTTGGGTGCTTTCTTTAACTGCAGCTTTATTTTTTAATTATTGCAAAATTGACATAAACATTAGTTAACACAAAATTAGATGAACATTGCAATAATTGAATATTTGTAAATTCTGTCAGCACCATTTGTTGAAAAGACTATTGTTTCCCCCACTGAACTGTGCTGAACACTTATCAAAAATTAACTGACTTTAAATGCAAGGGCTTATTTCTGGACTCTCAATTCTACTCAACCAATCTACAAGCTGGTTTTAGAAAAGGCAGAGGAACCAGAGATCAAATTGTCAACATCCGCTGGATCATCGAAAAAGCAAGAGAGTTCCAGAAAAACATCTATTTCTGCTTTATTGACTAGGCCAAAGCCTTTGACTGTGTGGATCACAATAAACTGTGGAAAATTGTGAAAGAGATGGGATACCAGACCACCTGACTTGCCTCTTGGGAAACCTGTATGCAGGTCAGGAAGCAACAGTTAGAACTGGACATGGAAAAACAGACTGGTTCCAAATAAGAAAAGGAGTACATCAAGGCTGTATGTTGTCACCCTGCTTATTTAACTTATATGCAGAGTACATCATGAGAAACCCTGGACTGGAGGAAGCACAAGCTGGAATCAAGATTGCAGGGAGAAACATCAATAACCTCAGATATGCAGATGACACCACCCTTATGGTAGAAAGTGAAGAAGAACTAAAGAGCCTCTTGTTGGGGACTTCCCTGGTGGTCCAGTGGCTAAGACTCTGAGCTCCCAATGCAGGGGAGCCAGGTTCAATCCCTGGTCAGGGAACTAGACCCCACATGCTCCAGCTAAGACCCAACACAGCCAAATAAATAAATAAATAAATAATCCTCTTGATGAAAGTGAAAGAGGAGAGTGAAAAAGTTGGCTTAAAGCTCAACATTCAGAAAACTAAGATCATGGCATCCAGTCCCATCTCTTCATGGCAAATAGATGGGGAAACAGTGGAAACAGTGCCTGACTTTATTTTTCTGGACTCCAAAATCACTGCAGATGGTGATTGCAGCCATGAAATTAAAAGATGCTTACTCCTTGGAAGGAAAGTGATGACCAACCTAGATAGCATATTAAAAAGCAGAGACATTACTTTGTCAACAAAGGTCTGTCTAGTCAAGGCTATGGTTTTTCCAGTGGTCATGTATGGATGTGAGAGTTGTACTATAAAGAAAGCTGAGCGCCGAAGAATTGATGCTTTTGAACTATGGTGCTGGAGAAGACTCTTGAGAGTCCCTTGGACTGCAAGGAGATCCAACCAGTCCACACTAAAGATCAGTCCTGGGTGTTCATTGGTAGGACTGATTTTGAAGCTGAAACTCCAATACTTTGGCCACCTGATGTGAAGAACTGACTCATCTGAAAAGACTCTGATGCTGGGAAAGATTGAGGGCAGGAGGAGAAGGGGACAAGAGAAGATGAGATGGTTGGATGGCATCACTGACTCGATGAACATGGGTTTGGGTGAACTCCGGGAGTTGGTGATGGACACGGGGGCCTGGTGTGCTGCGGTTCATGGGGTCATAAAGAGTCAGACACCACTAAGTGAATGAACTGAACTGAACTGAATCTACATGTCTATTTTTAAGTCAGTAATAGACTGTCTTGATTACTGTAGCTGTGTAGTAAATTTTCAAATTAGGAAGTCCTCCAACTTTGTTGTTCATTTTCAAACTGTTCTGGCTATTCTGGGTCCCTTCAGTTTCCACATGAATTTTAGGATCAGTTTGCCAATTTCTGTAAAAGAAAGGCAACAGGATTTTAATAGGGATTGTACACATCTGTTGATTAATTTGAGGAATACTGTCATATGTTAAATGATGAATTATTTCCTCCAAAAACATATGCTGAAATGTTAATCCCCAATACCTGAATGTAATCTTATTTAGAAACAGAGTCTTTGCAGATATGATCAAGTCAAAATGAGGTCATGAATAATTAGCATGGGCCCTAAATCCAATGACAGGTGTCCTTAAAAGGTCATATACAACCATCTTTTCATCATTTTCTATGTAAAAGGTTTTAGAATTTCCATGAGCTCAATTAATGTTCTTCTACACCTCCTTAGGGTTCCTTCCTCATGGAGGGCTGAGCTCCAAGTGCTGGCTTATTGAAAAGAAAACAGTGGGCCAGAGGATGGTTTGTGTGGCTCTCAGTATCAGATAATCTCTGATACTGAACTTGACTAACCAGAGATTAATTTAAATGAATTTAAAAATAAAATGTGTGCCTCACCCCAAAAAAGAAGAAGAAGGTCATGTGAAGACACAGGGACACACAGACTCGCTGGGGACAAGGCCAAGTGAAGTCGGAGACAAAGAAACAAGTGATGCACCAGCCGGCCAAGGAACACGGAGGACTACAGCAACCGTCGGCGCCAGGACAGAGGCGCAGCACAGACTCTCCTCAGAGTCCCCAGAAGGAATCAGGCTTGCCAACACCCTGACTTTTAGCCTCCAGGACTGTCAAAGAAGAAACTTCTGCTGTTTTAAGCTACTCTGTGGTAATTTGTTATGGCAATTCTAGGAAACTAATGCACCATCTAAACAATATTAGATCTTCTGATCCATAAACATGAAACATCTTTCCATTTATTTAGGTCATCTTTAATTTCCTTAATAATGTTTTAGAGTCTTCAGTGTATACGTCTTGTACTTATTGGGGTAATTTAATATTAAGTATTTTATTCTTTGATGCTATTATAAACAGAATTGTTTTCTTATTTTCATTTTCAGGTTGTTCATTGTAGTATAGAGAAATACACTTTTTATTTTTCTATATTAATATTATATCCCATGACTATGCTGAATTCATTTATTACTTCTAATAGTTTTTTTTGTTGATTCCTTAGATTTTTCTATGCACGAGATCACATCACATGTGGACAGAGATGGCTTAACTTGTTCCATTCTCTTACTTCTCCCTCTTATTTCTTTTTCTTGCCTAACTGCCACAGCTTGACCCTCTAGGACAAGATGGAATAAAAGCAAGGAGAGCAGACATTCTGGTTTTGTTCCTGATCTTAAAGGAGAAATCATTCAGTCTTTCACCACTGAGGACGCTGTTCACTGTAGGATTTCATAGATGCCCTTTATCAGGCTGAAGAAGTTCCCTTCTGTTCTTAGTTTATTTAGTATTTTTACCATGAAGGATGTTGGATTTTGTCAAATATTTTTTGTGCATCTCTTGATATGGTCACATATATTCTCCAGATCTGAAAACAACTAGAGTTAATTCTATACTTTGGTTAGCAATTTAATGTTTATTTTTCTTATTCGATATATAATCCCTCCCCTAAAGAAACTTGGGAGAGTTAGTTTCTTTAAGTACATGGCAGTAATAAAGATTTGACAATTAACTATTTTTTCTCTAAAATACTATAAACATATTAGTAAATTGGATACATTTGGGCCCCTAGGGATAAACAAATAAAAGGCACAGGCCCAGTCTCCAAGAAACCTGAAACCCAGAGATCAAATAAATAACCATTTTAGTGGATAATAGGAGGCTTAAACAGATAAATATTGTATGCATGTACCAGGGAGGGTAGCTGGAGAGAGGAGGCAAGCACATATTCAGTATTTACAGGAGGCAGAGGAGTTATCCAGAGAAGAGGGAGACAAGGAGCATGGAAGGATGGAGTGTGCATGGAAGGATGGTGTGTACGGAAGGTTACAGAAATGACTAAATGCACACAGTGCTGTGTTGCTGACACCGATGAGCGATGAGCGTGTGGCAAGGGAGAGCTGTATCACCATGAGACAACAGGAGACAGGGACCAGAGGGGTTCACTGCTATTACCCTGTTCATTCAGGGTAGACTGATACAGTCCACCAGGAACAGACAAATTGTTAGCTACACTTGGACCCAATACTGACACAATGTATCCTGCTCACTAAAGGGAGAAAAAAGTGCACAGAACATTGACTCATAAATACACACACACACACACAGAGTTCTTACTTGCTTCCTTCCACTTTACTAAGGTATTCTGGATTTTCTTCTACTACTGAAGAGTTAGCTGTAAGAAGTCTTTGTTATGTCACATTATTTGCTTTTTGTAAGGCTCAGAGTTCCTCTGTAGACAAATTTCACTTGCCATTACTGAAAATTAAGAAATAGAACCAACCTATTGCCGCTTGGATACTGTACTACAATGTCATGATCTTCATCAATTCCACAAACTGTTCCAGTTGTAGTCAAGGTCTCAAACATGCCATCAGTCCATCCGCCATGACCGTGCTGCAAAGACTGTACAATTTCAAGGTCAAGATCTATGTTGACCAGGTCACCGATCTGCAGTCCGCCAGGATTTCTGTTGCCATTCTGCTCACCTGTAATTGCAGAGGGAGGTGACCAAGGACGAGGAAAACCACAGCAACAACAGGCAACTGCACTGTTCTAAATTTTTTTTAAAAAGCCCCAGACAGTTGAGTTTCAGTTACTATCTAATCTTAAAATGTTTTGAAAATAAAATGTGAGTATAAAAGTCTACAATTATACAGCCTTAGAAAAGAAAGAAAAGAAAACAGACTCAAAAGCAGAAATAAAGTAATGATTTATAACAATGACTGAAGAGGAGCAGAATCTATAGACGACTAGACACTGACTATCGGAACACAAAGCTCTGGGCATTGGTAACTCACCTTTCTGCCTGGACGGCTTGTTGAAGAGTCAGGATAGCTAACTAAAGAATATGAAAGAGACTCCTGGAATTTTGTTATCTCTGAAGTGCTTACTATTATTATTTACCAAATGGTTTTTGTGATTTTTGCCTCAATAGCATTTTTAAATATTTTAAAAGCCCATTTCCAAGATTATTTTCAAAGCTATTTCTGGGACAAAGGATGCATGATCATCAAACACTATGCTGAGGGATCCTAAATGTCTACATTGATTCCACACTTTTCTTGTAAAGTCCAAATACAAAAGAAGAATGTTTCTGAATGCAAGAGAGATGATCTCATCTCTCATCAAAACCATAAGATTTTCTTCCATATTCTCCTTTTTTCTAAAAAGTTAAACTATGCTGCAAGAAAACAGCACTTTGGGGCAGTAAGGGAAAACAAATGATTTGAAAAGAGGAACACAAGAGTTCACACGAGAACAGCTAAATCAGAAGAGCCTAAAGGCTTAATTGGAAGAATGTGGCAAATGTCCATTGCAGCAACAATGAAGAATCTATAAAACGAAAGTAGTTTTGGTTTTCTTGTTATTTATTTTAATCATATGTTAATTTATATTTATCATATTATCTTAATCTTGGAGCTGCTGTTATATTTTCAAAGGAATTAAATTCTAAGGAATTTATAAATATTAAATTGTTCGGTCTCATTCTCAGCAGTATAAGAGATATAACATTGGTAATACAACACAAAATTTTTCAACAAGTTCATGATTAAAACAAAAAAGTTTCACACAGTATTGGTATGCCCTATAAATGATGTATCAATTTAGCAAGACATGACAACTCTTTCAGAGACTAAATGAATCATTAAAAAAGAACAAATGCTTTTAAAACCAAACACAACCAAGAACATGACTTTAAAAATCTTTAATGGTAACTAATTTTCGTAAAGCCCAGTTGAAACACTTTTCTGATTCCATGAATTCTGACCCATTATTCAGAAATTTTCTTGTCTGCTAACTCACCTAGCACAGGACAGTGATCTCTGTAGAAAGAACCTCCTTTGGCATCCTGGACACACTTCAGATCAGACTACAAAAAAAGAAACCAAAAGAATCACCCTTAAAAGCTCCAAGTATAGCTCAATACCTAAAATAGGCAAAAATGTTCACTCAGAACATTATCCTCAACAGAAGTAGCTCTGGGTTAATAATCACACTAAACACTGCTTTCAAAAATACCCATCAAAAACTATAAACTTGATCTTCAAATATGTCACACTTTAAGCTTTTTTTTATAGTTCAAAATTAAAATGTCTGGATCTTTACCACTGAAATATTTTCAAAAACACCTGTTGGAAAAAAAGAACTACAACAAAAATCTTGTATTTAAAAAGTATGTAATACATTCCATTTAAAAGATACTTTTACCAAAAAAGAGGTCAACTCATTTGATCTTTCTAACCAATTTTATCAGATATACAAGGTAGGCATTGATTCATTTATAAAGGAAATTATCCAAAACTAGTCAGAAGGGAGAAAAAGAAAGTACCAAATCCAGTCTTTTGATTCTGTGTCCATATAATCTCCTATTTATATCACTTTTAGTCCTTATTTTACCATAATTTAGTTAACTGAAGTTCCTTCCCACTTAGCTTTAATAAGAAATTATTTAAGTATCTATTTGAATGGGGAAGCAGTTGTGGTATAATGAAAAGTACAGAAAATGTGAAGTTAGATGAGAAACTTTGAGGGTGACTATGAAAATTCAGAACTAGATTACCTGAAGATGCCTAACAGTACCATATATATATATATATATATATATATATATATATACACATATATATAGATGTATAAAGTGACCAATATACACTTAGTGTATTAAGAAAATGAGCTCCTTTACACACATACACACAATCCAACTCTCTGTTACAGCCTCCTTTGCCACTGGAGTTCACATTTAGTTCAATCCTAGCCAAAGAGTCATGGGTCAAACTGTTTTAATGTGATACTTTAACCTAGCAATTCCACTTCTAGGAATTTATCTTAAGAAAATATACTCATAAATGTACAAAGACATATGCACAAGGATGTATGTCACTGAAACAGTGCTTGCAACAATGAAAAACAAAAAGCCAACCCAGACACCCATCAACAGAAATTTCATAAACAATGGCATAACCATACAAGGAGTGCTACCCAGCCATCAGAAAAGAATGGGAATCAACCTATATATAAATACTACTCCTTAAGCACTTGAGTAATTCACAGTGTTTCTAGGTCAGTCATTTTCAATTATCAACAGTACACTTTAAAAATACAGCGAAAAAACACCTTAAAAATAATGTTAACACCTATTATATTCAATTCTCACTTTACAGATGTTCCTTCCTACTGCCTACTCATGATTCAGATGACTATATTATGACAAAAGGAAATGACACAAGAAAAAATGAAAGATTACAATAAGGGCTATTTTTAATTTCCTTTATTTCACCCACCCAATATTTTCATCTTCTATGGTTCTTACACTTACCATGCCCTCAAAGCCAACTCTGTACAGGTTCTTAGCACCATTATCCCAGAGAACGTAGGCTGCGCTATGCGGGCTTGATGCACTCCAGTCTTGGATCTCTGTTACCTAAGGGAAATTTTTGAGGGGAAAAAAAATCTTTAAGAAGAGAGGAGAGGCTGATTCTTTTAATTATATTTAAATCTTTAAAATTACTTCAGTTACAATCCTGTGTAACAGGATCATGAAAAACACTTACCTGCCAAATATATGTCACTTCTAACATATAATTGAATTAGAGATACTTTTCCAGAATATTATAAGGTTATTTCTAAAAGCACTGTAGAAATTTTAATTTGTTTTTGGCCACATTGCATGGCTTGTAGTATCTCAGTTTACTGGACCAGGAATTGAACCTGGGGCCACAGCAGTGAGAGAGAGCATGGAGTCCTAACTACTGGACCACCAGGGAAGTCCTTAAAACTACTGCAGAAATTTTAAATTGAGAGGCTTAGTGATTATAGTGATGATGGATTATCAGCAAATACATAATTCAAAATTTAAAATCTTTACTCTTAAAGGGTTCCTTCTAACAGCAGTGTATTCTTTTAAACCTATTTTTTGATACAAAATTTAAAATCTTTGACCAAATACTCAGAACAATTCAAGATAACTCAGCTCTCTGGTCAGCTGAACGGGGATGAGCACAGGCTCAAAGGCCATGTTTAAAGAAGGCCTGAGAGATCTGGTTCCTCCAGCAGTGCCCCTCAGCTGCCCTGAAAAGCAGGCCATCCAAGCTAAAATGCCACGACTACAGTGGAAACCCAGACACTACCTCCAGGCCCCACATGCCACCAGACGGACTCGTTAAAGTAGTCAATACTTAAAAAATTTTATTTAACAAAAAAAATTTTATTTTAACAAAAAAACTAGAGTTGCTATTGATTTAGGACCAAGAATCAACTACACAAAAATGACCCACAAGTGAGCACTGAACTTGGGGATTTTCGAGTGAACCAGTCCACAGCCCAGACGGGGAGGCTGTACATGTGCAACTCACGACTCTTCTCCATCTTGACACCAACCACCCTCCATAGTTTCTCAGAGTGCCAGGCTGATACTAAACATAATTTTTAAGGTATGCCCTTAAAAACAGACTACTATTTCAAATAGGATACATAATGACCGCTTCATTTCCACCCTGTGCTAAAGAAACAGTTTTGCAAGCTACATATTTTACATAATGACTGCTTCATTTTCATCCTATGCTAAAGAAACAATTTTGCAAGCCATGTATTTTACAGTGCTTTTGTGAGATAAAAAGTTTTTATGCTTAGGATTTAATTAAATACTTGAATAATATTTCAAAGCATTAGTAAATGAGTTTATTCTAATTTTAAAATAAATTATATGTTATAAAAATATAACACAAACTTTAAAAAATAATTTAAAATGAAATGAACATTAGACTAAGAAAAAGAAAATTACCAGTACTTTTAAAGTCCCCTGCATGCCTCTCATCAACCCCACCCTCCTGCCTCCTAATAGAAGTAACTACCATCCCGACTTCGGAGTCCATCGCTGCCATGCTGTGTTTTATGATTTTCACAACTAACCACTGTATAATCTTCAAAAGCAAGAGTTTCTAACATTCTAAAGTGAAACATGCAATTTGTAGGAAGGAAAAATCACTTTTGATTATAATACAGTCAGATTCTATTTCATTTATTTTTAAAAATGCAGTACTAGATTAAATAAGTCTGTGTTTTTACGAGAGGGACAAAAAAGCATTTGATCAACTAAAAAACAAAGACTACAAATTTTGTTTAAATCGAATTCATCCTAAATTTCAAATTACTTGGAATATAAGCAAGTTCATTACTCAAACTGTGAATCACTAAATGAAATCACTTCATTTGTTAATGTGATTCAGTTTGTTGAGTAGGAAATAAAGTGGAAAGCATAAGAAAATAACTACATTAATTTCTTACTTTCGATTCTGAGTAATAAATATGTGTGGAATGGCTACTAAAATATTAGGTAGAAGGTTGCTGAGAAGTTCTGTAAAGATCAAACCGACAATATCTGCACTGATCAATCTTAACACTACTAATAGTAGAATAATCAAGACTTTACATGCCTCCTTTATGTGCAATCTAAGTACACACACCAGTAACGAGGTACTCTTGCCAAAATAAACTTGAACCCGAATCTACTCATTTCTCTACATCTCACAATAAGTTTATAAGAAATACAACAGTTAGAAGAACACGTTAAAGAATACCATAAAGAATCAATCAGAAAAATACAAAGAACTTGGTTTCTTCAACAAATAAATGGCAGTTTTTAAAACACTGATAAATTCTGAAGTTGGATGTTGAGTGCACGGGGATTTGTTATATTATGCTTTCTGGTGTATGTTTGAAATTTTCCACAATAAAGTTTTTTAAAAAGAAGGAAATAGGAGAAGGAAATGGCAACCCATTCCAGTCTTCTTGCCTGGAAAAGTCCATGGACAGAGGAGCCTGGCGGGCTGAAGTCCATGGGATTACATGACTGAGCATGTGTGCACGAGAGTGGAGGGAGATGGGTTGGTAACAATAAAGTGATAGAACTAAAAATAAAATAAAAAGAAGGAAATATATATAGTGTATGTGTATGAGGCAATTAACATATATTTAAAGCATTTGTAAAATGAAAACAGTCTTGAAATACTAACATAGGTAGTTAAGACCATATTACACATTTCTATGATATCCTTACATCATGTCTGTCAAAGCCTGCACTTGATCTGCTTATTTTTGTGTTAACACTGCTGTCATCATGCAAAAAACCACGGTACATGCAGGCATACAATATCAGCCTAATTTGGAATCTATCCCTTAAAATGGCTCAAACTAACCATACAGTTGAGAACACATAGTAATGAGAATGGGGAATCTTGAACCTCAAGGTAAAAAAGATAAGAATACACTACCACCTTCATGTGTGTTACACCAGGTTCGTGTGGGTTACACCAGAGGACTGGGAGAGAGAAGCCAGCCATGAAGGAAAAGGGGAAATTAAAAACTTTATTCATTCACACACATAGTCAGAGTCAGACAAAAATTATATTTCATTTCAAACATGTACTTAAATAATGTTACCTTGAAGACTTCCTATTACATTAAGTTCCCTCACTCAGAGTCATATGTGCAAGATGGTTTCATTTATTTTTCTTTTTGTTCCTAAAATTAACAAGTATTAAATCATAACAAACCAAAAATGTAATAGTGATGACTCAAAGCTTCAAAATTGCTACTTTGCATTCCCCCTAGGAAGTGTCAATATAATACAAATCCCAGGAAGTACCATTTATGTGGCTTCAGGCTTTAGCAGCAACTGCTTTTGAAAAGGTGATGAAAAAAAGTTTTTTTTAACCCTCTGACCACATAATTGTGAGGAAGAATATAAAGCTAAAACACTTTTTAGAATAAAAGTATTAAAAAACTTACTTCTCATGCACTCTTTCAAAAAACATTACTAGGAGGTGTACTCCATCAAAAGGAAGAGTAACTAAGGAAGATGATGTAATAGGATACAGAAAACACAAGATCCAGCCAGGAAAAGACAAAGGCATCCATCAGAGGGGGCTGCCAAGATGCCTGCTGGGTACCAGGTGTCAAGGGCAATCCAACTGCAGCCACGTGACTCACAGGCCAGACATGCTGAAGGCTTTCAATATCAAGATGTCCACTGCCATCATATCGCTTTATCGACCTAAGGACACACTGCCCAAGTGAGCCAGACCCAAATGCTCAACTGAACTTGGTTTACTGGACTATGTAATGAGGAGGTTCCCACTCCCCCCTGCACCCGCCCATTCCCTGCCACCTAAACCAGCCCACTCCATAGAATACTCTGCTTTGCCTTATTCCTAAAACTTTGAAGAGCAGCACGGTAAGCTTGGAAGCAAACAGCACACGCGCTCTGACTCCATTCCTGCCCAGCGTACAGCACGTGGTCCATACTTCTGCCCTCCCTGCTGTCCTTCCCACGCTGAGCCCCGCGTTTCCAGGACCCACTAGTGACCATGGCCACTGACTACCCCAGAAAGACTCTCACGAGCTCCCAGGGATGCCGTTATCCAGAGACTGAATTCAGTTTATCTTCTCCCTAGAAGCGTTCGTCTAAAAGCACAATTCTCCTCTGTCTTTACAAAGGCTAGATTTCTGCTTGCTACTTGGTTTCTCAAAAAATTAAATCCTAAATGTTGTAATACAGAGCACTAAGTCATACAATAATAAAGACAAACAAGGGAATAATGACAGGAAGAATGAGTTACCTTGCAGGGCTTGCAGCTGGGAAAGAGTAAACAGAAGGCTTTTAAAGGTATTCATAACACTCTTTTCTAAGCTGTAGAGTAGGAATAAAATTTACTTTTTAAAATTTCACTACTATTCTCCAAGCTTCAACGCATGTTTTACACACCCCATGTGACACAGGATTGCTGTAAATGACTGCAGAAGCTGTTTACTGCACAAAGGGCCTTGCCAAAGAGGAAAGCAGAGGGTGACATCCAGGCTGAGTTCCACTCACCAAGACCCCCTGCACTGGGACAAGGCTGCCCCTGCTCTGCCCACTGGCTTGCCAAGCATGCCCCCACAGCACTCCATTCAGCCAGAGACGGTGCCTTCCCCAAACTCACACTGGTCTGCGGTCTAGTTTTGCTTCTGGAAACATGCTTCTCCTTATGGTTGCCCAGGGTGGGGGTGGGGAGGGGAGATGAGGGATAGTTAGGGAGTTTGGGATGGACATGTACACTCTGCTGTATTTCAGATAACCAACAAGGACCTGCTGTATAGCATAGCACAGGGAACTCTGCTCAATGTTAAGTGGCAGCCTGGATGGGAAGGGAATTTGGGGGAGAATGGATACATGTATACATGTAACTGAGTCTCTTTGCCATCCACCTGAAACTTTCACAACATTGTTAACTGGCTATATATACTCCAATACAAAACAAAAAGTTTAAATAATAAAAAAGAAAGAAACGTGCTTCTCAAAATGTAATGTGCACCTGAGTGACTTAAGTATCTTATTAACATGAAGATTCTAAATTAGAAAGTCTAGGAGGAAGGTGAGCTATTACCTAGCATGCTTCTAACAAGCTGTCAGGTGACACTAATGCTGCTGGTCACAGAACTTAGATTTGGATTTCTGGTTCTCCATCTCCTCTAATGAGAACACAGGTCTCCGAAGAATAGGAGCTTCGCCTTTTCTGTTTATTCCTACAACCCTCACACCTGGAACAGAATCCTGCACCTAAGTGGTCAGTAAATATTTACTAAAGTTTTTCTTAAAAAGCATTGCTTCCTTAATAAAAAAGTACTTAAAAGATAAAAACTAAAATATCTGTCTGACTTTCAAACGTTAAACATTAGACCTTATCATTTAAAAATGAAATCGATACAGCAATACTCTGAATTTGGAAAACATCTTATTTGACAAATGTTTAAAAATCTTAAATTCAAAAGAATCTGTATAGCACGAAGTAGTACAAGAGGCCTTCAAGTTCCTAGGAGAAGTTCCTCAGAAGACACAGACTTTAAAGTCATCATTCCTTAATGCTAAGAACAGTACTTTACAGAAGGTAACAGTGGAACAGGGACTGATGCTAAAGTCTCAAAGGGAAATGCTGTTAATTTCAGTACACCAAGCAAAGCACCCAGAACATACATTCAGGACTTGAATATACACTCAGTACACCGAGCAAAACACCCCCAGAACACACACTCAGGACCTGAATATACACTCAGTACACCGAGCAAAACATCCCCAGAACACACACTCAGGATTTGAATATACACTCAGTACACCGAGCAAAACATCCCCAGAACACACACTCAGGATTTGAATATACACTCAGTACACTGAGCTAAACACCCAGAACACACACTCAGGATTTGAATGCACATTCAGTTCACTGAGCAAAATACCCAGAACAAACGTTCAGGATTTGTTGACTGAATCAACGACTGCATCACCAGCAGAAGCAACATGAAATCCAAGATAAGCAAAACCAACAACTCACTTACCCTGATATCTCTGGTTATCCCAACCCATTAAAGAGACTACAAAATTCCCTTCAGAATAACTGCTGTAATTGACCCCCAGACCACTCTGCCTATGATCCCTCAGAAATGCATGTTTGAGGGAATGGAACATAAAGCAAGTAAATTCAGATGAAATGTTAATAACAAGAAAGCCATGAGATACTGCTTAAGGAGGACTGGCCCAAAGAGGATGTTCAGAAAGGCATTCTGAGCAGCAAAATGGCAACTCGAAGCCTAAAGGTGGAAAAGAAAAACCCACCCACCAATCTTCTCACTGAACACTAACGTGTACAGCAGAGAGGGAACAATCATTCTTCTTCCCAGGGGGAAAAAAAAAATGAAAGTTTAAGAAACTGTTATTGGCCTTAAAGAAAATGGGCCACGAAATTCAATTACAGTAGTTTTAACATCATCTGAATATACAGCATTTGAGAACAACATGCTGGATCATAAACAACCTTTACCTTTCCCCTGCGTCCATTTCCTCCATCCTGATCTTCCCACTGCCAGTCCACTCCTCGTACCACTCTGGCACCTGCAAAGATCCCTCGGGCCGTGATCTTCTTCGATTTTCTACGAGACTCTAACAGAACCCTGAAAGAAGATTATCTATTTTCAAATTTATATAAAAATAAAATTGGTAATGGGCTGCAATGTATTTTTTAAAATAAAGACTATATAAAAGGTTATTTTGAAAATTATATATTTTGAAAAAATATAATTTTTCTTTGCTCTGGTTAACACCATAACAGCAAGTAACAGGAACACTTTCCTCATTCCCTAGGTTATGCTGATGAAGACATTAGTAGTTGGAATAATAACAACACTTTATATTCACTTAGCTTTTCCTATACATAAAAATACTTAAGAGATACAAACTCTGTTACCCGCCTTAAGATAAAGGTAGTATCTATTACATTGCTCATTTTACAAATGAGGAAACTAAGTCCCAAAGAGGTAAGCATCAATAACTTGCCCAAGGTCACAAAAGTTAAACAGGAATGGAATCAACACATGAATCCAGTCTAACCACTGCAGGGCATCACTACAACTCCTCACTACTTTAGAGATGGCATATACAAAACCCTACAACTGCCAGGCACACACTACAAACAAGGGCCTAAGAGAGACAGCGCCACAGCAATGACAAATGGCAAAAGGCACTTGACCTTGGGCAGAGGAAGACAATAAGGAGTGGTAGGGACTTTGGTGAACTCCAGAGGACGGTTTGTCCAAAGGGGCAGATGCTCCTGGGCTTCAGCCAACCGCTGCCAGGAACAAATGCAGGCCCTGTGTTGACAGCCTGGGTCAGGGCACAGGGGCAGGGGGGGGAGTTAGAATTCATAAACTTGATCTTTCTGTGAAATCACCTTTCACAGAAATTCACCTTTCACAAGTTTTACAAGGTAAGCAACTGTTCAAAAATTGAGAGCAAGTCAAGCAAAATACACCTGTGGACTGGATCTGACCTACACCAAACTGTCTCTAAAGCAGTGTATACCTACAAAAGACTACGGACCTTGAAAAAGATGCTACATGCAGCTACCTAGACAAGCATGGTTCTCCAAGGCCTTCCATTCCTTATTTTCCTACAGCCTTCTCATTCCTAAAAAATCAAAAAGAATTGGAATTTTTAAATTCTATTTTATCTCATTATTCTATTCATTTTCAGAATGTCTTTACTACACTCCAACTTTAAAAACTGTAAGCAAAAGACAAAACTAAATAATTTGTAGGAAATGACTCAACAAATGGCAGGGACAGGATCTGAAACAGGACAGTCTGACCCAAAAACCCATCTTCCTATCACTCCTGTTGCCTCCCTTCACCGACTTGACTCTTGCTTCTCTGCATCAGTCACAGCTCCCTGAGAATACTCCGTCAGCGAAAACTCTGCACTGACTCACACTCAACACTCCTCTCTTTGGTCCTAAGACACTTTTTACGTATCTCTATATACAGTCTGAAACATCACATGATAATCGCTGCTGATCAAATAATCCCTTAGCCTGTAAACTGCTTAAGGATAACATGCCCTATTTATCTTCAGACTTACCCAAGTACAGTCTTAATGCTCTATAGTCTGATAAATGTCTCTTGATTCCATAACTGTGCCCTAGTGTTCACAGGACAGAATGCATATGGAGAAAACCATCAGCCTTCCCTGGGCCACCCTCGCACAGCCAAACACTGAGCAGGGCCACGTCTCCATACGAGAGAACAAACAGCCCTGATTATCCTGGAAAACACACATAGCTCCTGCACTAGCTCTCTTCTCGTGATGTGATTATCCTGGAAAACACACATAGCTAGTCTGCACTAGCTCTCTTCTCGTGATGTGGTGGCCCTGGTCCTCATCTAGCCTGGCATCTGCTACTTCCCACTAAACCAGCTGTCAGAAGCTATTTCCTAATCCTATGTTTAAGGCTGAATGGTACAAAAAATGTAACAGATACAAAGAATTGCAATTGGAAAAAAAAAAAATTGATTCCCATACCGCTCACTCCCTGGTGTGGTAATTCTATAAAAGCGATGCCTTAAATGATGTTTATCTCCATGATAACAAACGGTGCACAAGTCATAATTTGTACACTCCGCACACTTCCACCGAATGCCAATGATCGGCTGCTGGCGGCAGGTATCACACATGGTTCCATCGTGCTTGATGCCTGTTAAAGCAGAGATGCCATGCAGACATTAATTTCAAGTACTGTTTATTTGAACAGTATTCCCTGAGGGAAAAAATAGGAAGACAACATTTTACAAAATAGCTCAGTAAAGCAAGAAACAATATTTCAAATGAACCATATACAGTTTCAAGATAACAGACAGCAAATATTCTAAAGAGTACAAATTACAAACTAAACCTTTCCTATTCCTTCTTTTTTCATTAGTAAGAACACTTCTCAGTAGCACTTTCCTTGCTCTCATCCAAATCTGAAATGCAGGTTCAATCCAGAGAGAGAAGGAAGAATCCTTTATCATCAAGGAGATGTTTAAGACTAAAAACACACAAAACACTTTTTGAGGAACACGAACCTATTCTCCAGGTAAATAATTCCAAAGAAGAAGACAGCTTTATCCTCGTAATATCAGAAACAAGCTGTCAATTAACTTAAGCTTTTATCCCTAGGTATTGATAACTTTTTGCTTCCCAGTTTAATGGGAAATAATACAGCTGAATTTGTTGTGGGGTGTTGTTTTTTTCCCTTAAGGAAAAAGAATAAACATGAGAAAAATAAAACAAGCACTTGGTAAAACAATCTCCACCAAAAATGCCACTACAAATTAACAAAAAAACTGGCACTGTACGGTAATAAGATGAGGGAATAATGCTCCTTTATTATTCTGTTAAATTAAGACCACTTGTCAAAAAAAAAAAAAACCACTTGTCCAAGTAAATTAAAACTAGGGGTTTTTTAAACAATGTGTGGCCTGTGAACATCAGTGTCACTATTTCATGACATGCTGAATGGTCACGCCCGATGATGACACACTCCTACATCAAATTCTGGCTCTGCCAATAGCTTTCTCTGTGTCCACAAAAGTCATTTTAACTAAAATATTTACATGTAAAACTACAGTATTTATTTCAAAATACACAGTGGAGAGGGAGGGGAAGTATGGTGAGTTGAGATGAAACAAGACTGCTCATTTGAAATTAGGTAACAGTTAACACAGGGATTCATTATACTCTCTATTTTGTATAAATTTAGAGATTTTCCAATAGTTAAACAAAAAATGAGTCCTATTAGTTCTCAGAACCTCATTCCTTTTGGAGGAAGTGACATGAAAGGGAAGGTATGTTCTAAGAATAAAATGAGAATGTGCAGAATATGCAAGAACTATAAAAGTAGCACTTCTTAAAAAAAAAAAAAGTAGCATTTCTGTAACTAAACAAGAACTAATACACTATTGCTACTTCCAGGAAAAGAGAAAAACCCTATTTAACTCATATCTATATCCAAGTTTAAAATCTCTATAAGGATGGTAACCAGATTCTAAATTAAGTGCCTAAGCTGAGATGGTTAGGTTAGATGGTTAGATGTAAAAGGGAGGGAGGGGTGGGGTGGGGAGAAACGAACACTGGAAGGAATGAGCCCTCACCAGGGAACCGAACTAGCCATCACCACTCTGGACTACCTAGTCTCTGTGAGAAATCAGTTCCTGTTCTTTACAAATCCCCCAGTCCCCCCAGTCTGTGGTAGATCGTGATGGCAGCCCAAGCAGATCAAGACAACATGGAAAGAGAGATTGTGAAGCTGAAGTGATATAACAGGGGTAAACATACTTTGAAAGGCATTAGAGCAAAAAGGCAAATATAAGGAATTAGACTGCACTTAACCTTAATATAGCTATATTAAATGTACTAGTCAACGATTTCTAACCATTTCTAACTTAGTGATCAAAGTTGTCATATATCCTTGGCAAATTCAGCAATACTTTATACAAAAATTAAAGAACAAATTTCTCAATTTCTCAGAGACTACTTATGGAGAATAATCGATTAATTCATGTGTGGACGACCTTCATTTTAGCAAACTACCCGCCCTCTCCATTCACTAATTACTATTTTATCTCTGGTTTTCCCCCAAAGCTTATAGCTTCCCTGACCTATCCCCTGGGCTCTGTTCATTGTGTTCACTCCAGGACCGCAACAGAGGACACACCTGCCATCCGAGGCAGGCCCACTCCAGGGCAGCTCATCCAGCCTTCCCCATCCTAGCCTACAGCTAATTAATTCTGACTGCATCAGTCATGGAAGTGATCATCTGCCACAGGCCCAGAGGAGATTAGACTCAGGCTTAACAGACTGTAAACTAAAATTAAAAACCAAGTTTACGCCTGCACAACTCAGAACTATCAGCATTCACCGGTACTACATGCTTCAGTGTTTTTAGGATATAAATCAGAAGGCCAAATGCAATGTGCATCTATTCTTTCTTTTGGGGTGTATAAGTGAGTACAGAGAAAAGGATTTGTTTGGTGTTTTTCAATCATATGAGGAGATTTTTTTTTTTTTTTAATTCCCTAAGTAGCAAGGAATCCATAATCTGGCTAATCACAAGGGTTACTAAGAATCTGCTATATTTTTATTTAAACCAAAATATAACCTTTCCTTAAAGTGTTCATTTTGAAAACATAATTTTGTAAATATTCTTGTAATTATTATCTCCCAACACAAATAGCAAAAGTCTACAGAGTTAAGAAAGAAATTATGCTGGCTCACATTAAGATTTTAAGGTAAATTCTAAAACCTATCAACAGACAAAAGACTTGGAACAACTGTCATATCTGATGCAAGGCTACTTAACGTGAATTTTACATTTTCATAAAAATCGCACTTTTTAATAAGAAACAGCAAAAACCACACTATGAGCGGTTTTTTAATTCATCGATTTTACTGAAATACAGTACACCTGCTTTAAGATTTAGATCAGTTACATTCCTGGAAAACTGAGTGTATATTTAAAATGGAGGAAAGGTGTGGCAGATTATTTTCTAAAGAAAATCTCACTGACTATATCCACGCCAAGTGCTCCCCTGACAACAGGACAATGACAAGTGACCATCAACAGGCAGGTCTGTTTTCCTCCCCATGAACCAGAGGGGACATGTGCCTTGGTAAACAGAAGGCGGTCAGAGTGACACTGTGTGATTTCTGTGCCATTTGTCTGTCCATGTGTCTTTCTCCCCCTTTCAAGATTCCCGCCGCCCACCGCCCCCGCCCCGCCCCGGGAGCTCTTTCACAGTAAGTCTGGCTACCGGAGGCTGCCACAAAGGAGAGACCATTTGGAGAAGATACAGAGAGGTGGAAAGACATGCCCAAGGAAGGCTGGCTGGGCCGGCCCCTCCACTGTTGACTCTCCTCACTGAAGCCCCAGACCCTGGTGGAGCAGAGGCAAACCACTTCCCGCTCAGCCTCAAGCATACAAATATTTTCCACAGTGCAAAGTTTTGGGGTATTTGTGACGCAACCATTGCAACTAAGACAAAGCAAGTTAAAAATAAGATACAATCTTTGTTAAATTATAGTTCTCTGCAAGACAGTGTAGCAAAAATAAGGATAATGAGCTAAGTATGAAAAAAGAAAACCATAGAAGTGCTAGAAAAAATGGCCGAACAGCATCTTTTATAATCCTGAGTCAAGTCTAAGCGTAACACAAAATGTAGACGTCACGCACATTCCCATGTGAGCACACGCACGCAGAAAGTGTGCAAACGGAGGAGACCAAGCCACTCCTCCCAACTGCACAGAGGTCGAGGAGGCACAGATGAGGAAGCAGAGGGCACGTCCACATTCATTTGCTGTTTGTACACTTGAATTATTTCGCTTTTCGGTTTTTTCAATTATTTTAACTGGCAGATAATTACTTTGCAATATTGTGATTTTTGCCATACATCGATATGAACCAGCCACAGGTGTCGTGTGTCCCCCATCCTGAAGCCCCCTCCCACCTCCCTCCCCAACCCAGTCCCTCTGGGTGGTCCCAGAGCACCGGCTTCGAGTGCCCTGCTTCATGCGTCGAACTTGCACTGGTCATCTGTTTTACATATGGTAATATACATGTTTCAATGCTATTCTCTCAAATCATCCCACATATGATGATTGTGCCTTCTCCCAGAGTCCAAAAGTCTGTTCTTCACATCGGTGTCTCTTCTGCTGCCTTGCATGTAGGATCATCATTACCGTCTCTATAAATTCCATATATATGCATGAATATACTGTATTGGTGTTTCTCTGACTTACTTCACTCTGTATAAGAGGCTCCAGTTTCATCCACTCATTCGAACTGACTCAGCCCCACGCATTCCTGTTTATAGCTGAGTAACAGTCCATTGTGTATATGTGCCACAACTTCCTTATCCACTCATCTGCCAACAGACATCTAGGTTGCTTCCATGTCCTGGCTACTGTAAACAGTGCTGCGATGTACACTGGGGTACATGTGTCTCTTTCAATTCTAGTTTCCTCAGTGTGTATGCCCAGCAATGGGATTGCTGGGCCATATGGCAGTTCTAGTTCCAGTTTTTTAAGGAATCTCCACACTGTTCTCCATTCTGGCTATACCAGTTTGCATTCTCACCAACAGTGTAAAAGGGTTCCTTTTCTTCACACCCTCTCCAGCATTTATTGTTTGTAGACTGTTTGATGGTGGCCATTCTGATCAGCATAAGATGATACCTCATTGTGGTTTTGATCTGCATTTCTCTAATAATGAGCAATGTTGAGTATCTTTTCATGTGTTTATTAGCCATCTGTATGTCTTTTTTGGAGAAGTGTCTATTATAATTTCATAACTTTAAAAAGAAAGTACAAGAGATACCAACTTTATCTTCCTGAATTAGCACACATTACAAATAACACATCTGTGTATGTGAAGATGGTGTCAAAAAAGTCAGTCAGTTGGATACTGTTGAGAGGGAAACATAAATTGATACAATCTCTACATACAAGGTAACTGGAAAATGTTTTAAATGCGCTAAAAGATTTTGACCTCGCCTTCAAAATTTTAAAAAGGTACACCCAATGATACTAAATTTTTTGTAGCAAATAAAAATTTAACATAACTGATGTTGAAAATATGGGACTATTTATGTGTGAACTAAGGTAATCCATAGAGGAAAATTCCCTGCGGTTATTAAACTACATTGCAGAAGAAACATTACTGAGATGGTAAACAATATTATTATTTTATAAAGTAGTTTGCTAAGAATTACAATACAGCACTTTGGTAAATAAATTACATTATATGTACAACACATGTGCATAGAAAAATTAGAAAGATAACCCCCAAAATGTGCTTGATGGGATTCACTCCCCTTTGTGGTTTTTCAAGTTTTCTACACTCAGCATATATTAATTCTAGGAAGCAGCTGGGTAAGAAGGGGCATTTAACATGCAGTATAAGCATCAGAAATGCTGGTATATGTCCCTTACAATTAAAATAAAAGCTGAAAATAAAAATATGAGGAACTCCAATGATTTATAGAAACCAACTTTCAAATTGTTACGTTAGCAATGTGGTACGTAACTACAACTCAAAGTTTTCTTCTTTTAACCCATAGTCTAACCTAGTTATTCCATGCTTATGAAAATAAAATGCATACCTAACACGTACACTCCTTAATCTGTCTTAACAAAGGAAAACACCAGGACCCAAAACTTCATAATATCAAAGAGCAGTAACAGTAAATGTCCACACAATAGTTACATTTCTGAACAAGGTCTAAGATAGGTCTCCTACACCATCACAAAAAGCCAAGCATACTAAACAAACTGGCCCACTACACGCTGAGAGGCACATCCTAAACTGTTGGTCCAGCTCTTCAAAGGAGTGTGGATTGATGAGAGGCAAAGGGAAAATGTATCCCCACCTGACCAAAAAAAGACAAGTCCATGCTTCATATTTACTAGTCCCCTATTTACATATTTTTCATCTCTAAGTGCATTTTCCACACAGTACAATAATAACATTCATCAGCTCATAATCTGAGTACACGCTTTCTTTAAACGGAACCATTTAAACACACAATGATAACTGGTTAAAAACAAAAACCCTCCTACAATTCATGGTTTTAAGAATACTTCAGGAAAACCATTAATGCACACAAAAGCACATCCAAATCCTCTCTTGGTTCCCACAGTTCGAATGCCAACAAAGCTACTGAACAGCTGTGAGACAGACCGGTGCTGAGAACTGGAGAAAGTCAACAAAGCAGCTGCTCCAACACCAAAACGAGCAGGAGAGAATTTTTAATGAGAATGCAATGAATTGACTTTAAAACAAAAGTTGATGTTTAAAGAAAACATTAAAAAGGAGAAAGAGCCTTAAATGAACAAGGCCAACATTTTACTGACCTCTTACTTTGGTAGCTTTTTCGTTTGCCCTTACTTCATCCACCCAATTCATTCTCACCTAACACTGTTCTCTTCCATTCAAAACCTCCTCCGCCCTGGCCAGAGTTAGTTCTTAAAATTTCCCTTTCTTGAAATGTAATTCCTTAACTAAACCCATTAGTGCTTTTTCTCCTTATAGAATACCATATCACCCTAGAGAGTAACGCTCTTTCCCTTTGCTAAGCTTCATGAAGACATCTGCCACTGTTAAATGAACCACCTGATGCTAGCTTTTGACTCATTCTAATACTTAAATGACCATCTGCTCTACATTTAATGACACCTCGCCTAAACTCAGTAACTTAGAGAATTTACATAGCTTAAGTCTTTTTGTTGGCTAATTTTATGAGAATGGTAAAACATGCTAATTGAAATCAATAACCACAAGTTCTTAAAAATGGCAAGGAAAACAGTTCAAATTCACAAAGCATTGATTTAAGTAAACTGCTAAATTTCTAGAGAGAAAAGATGATTGAAAGAGAGAAGTTTCTCACTATGAACAGTTCATTATGTGAAGCAAAAGTAAATAATATAAATGTTCATTAACAAGAGAGTGCAGACATATATTAGGTATATAATGGAGTATCCAAAATGAATCTTTAAGAGCCACACAATTCGACATGGATGAACCCTTCATCCATAATGAAGGGATGCATTCATAATGCTCCATTTTAAAATTATACAAGAATACAAAAATGTTGATTGTTTACAGATATATACAACATAGCATAAATGTAAAGAAATCCATAGGAACTACTAATCTCTACATAGTGGTAGCAGAATTTCTACATAGTGGTTACTTTAGGAGAGGAAGGGAATGAAATTGGGAAGAAGTACACAGTGTTTCAAACAATCAGAAATGCTTTATTTTTTAGATAGGTGCAAAGGTATTTATTAATCACTTATGTATCAGGATACCTTAAATACTACATAATAAACTTTTAAAATAAAAGATAAGCATTCCTAGTAGACTAGTACAGTGCCTAGTTAACCCTCTACTACCTTTTTGCCCTAATTAAAAGATTTCACCTAACAGTAAAAAGTAATTTACAAGTCATCAACCAGTGTTTAAACACAAATACCTATTGTGGCATAACTATTTGCTGATGTCATTCAACTAACCAGGAATTCCTATTTCTGATTTATGGATTCACTCAATTTTAGCCCCAAATCAGTGTGACAAAAAGTTTACAGAGATTAAAGAGGGTTAACCAACTAGAATATGCATCTTATCCTCCCTGAACTATCAAAGTACGTATTGTTTAGAAATTGACTGAAGTGTAATTAAAATTCCTAATGAGGGTGAGGCCTTTGTGACCTGCCAGCTGCTTGGTATACTCCACATTCCTTACTCTTGAGAAACAGTAAATTAGTGAAAATAAGATTATTATTAATAATAACTACCACTTAAATCAGTACACCAAGCTAGGTGCTTCACATATATCACATAACCTTCCCAACAATATTAAAAGGTAGGCATTATTATCCTTATTTATAGATGAAGAAATTGAGTGGGCTCAAATTTAAACCATGTGAGTCTGATTACAAAGCTTGGCTTCTTATGCTCTTGACTCTATCTGGGTTTTTTCTTTACTTAGCTCTGATTTTGTCTGAAGAATAATTACATATCTAGGGCATCATGTTTCCCATTTAACGTACTCTACTCAAAATAAAAGTTATTGAATCCCATTCTAATAACCAAATAAATCTCAGAGAGATACATTTTAAAAGCTGAAAAGATTGTCTGCATGCATGCTAAGTCACTTCTGTCGCGCCTGACTCTGCAACCCCATGGACTCCTCCCACCAGGCTCCTGGGTCCATGGGATTCTCCAGGCAAGAACACCGGAGTAGCTTGCCAAGCCCTTCTCCAGGGGATCTTCCCCATCCAGGAACTGAACTTTCGTAACTGAGGTCTCCAACACTGGCAGGCAGGTTCTTTACCACTAATGCCCCCTGAGAAAATGAAAAAATTATCTATTTCTTAGTTAATTTCAATAGTGTAGTAGAGTGAAACACCATCAACTTCCAACCAACTCTTATTTTGAGTTAAGGAGATGTCTTTGAAAGTGTCTCACTCAAAATCTACACGATTCTCTCATCTTTTCTGTTGGACAAGTTATTCTCTCATCTATTTTTTCTCCTCTACTTTATTAAAAGCTTGCATAACAATCATGCCTCACACAGTTCAAACAAAAGAAACAAGGTGTCAAACTAGGCACACAACTAGCAATTTCAGTAATATATTTGCTATTTTTAGCACTTGTTACACAAGAGTAGAAAATTAATGAAATCAAACAAAAATTAGAACTTTATCCATTTTTTCCCTAACAGATAAAACTTCATTATTTCATTTTAGAAGCAAAACAATCTCTGTACCTTGACCTACTCCAACTTCATTTGACAGGTGAAGAATTAAAGTTTAAAGAGATTAATGTTATAAAGTATGGGGGAGGGGGGAAACTGACAAGCCTGGATGTGAACCTCAACCGTCAACCAATTACTTATGAAATCTTGGGCAAACTTATTCATTTCCCATAGCCTGTTTTCTCATCAGTAAAATGAAGGCTATCAAATAACACTTTTATGAAGACTAAATGAGATAAAGTATGTAAAAAGCTTAGCATAGTTTCCGACACATGACGCGAGTTCAGTCAATGTCCCTCTAGCTAACAAGTCCACATGAGGAAATAGAGAATGAACAAACACCTTAACTTCCGTACTAACCCAGTGCATTTTCCACTACTCCATGAAGAGAGACTGAGAAAGGGAGGTAAGCACGGCACCATAATGTAAAACATTACAATCTCATGCTTTCACGATTTATTATTACTACTAGCCCTATATAACTCCCAAAGTTTAGTGATTTTTTTTTTTAATATCAGAAGTTTCCACCCCATTTCTTGCATTTTTAGGGACAAAATTATCATCAAGACGATAAACCCACTCCTGGGAGAAAGCTATATACTCTTATCATGAGTATGCATACAGACTATAAACTAATCCTAACCACAGCAAGCATCTACAAAAGTAAATATGCTCCCAAAGTCACTCCAAGCCAGAAGTGACTGGACTACCTGCTACGTTCCATTATCTCCTCCATTAGTTTAAACCCCACCTTATCTTTGTTGTGTTCTACAAGTTCATTTAAAAGTCAGTTGTTTAGAATTCAGGATCATTTTCCCTCAGAAATGAACTTGTAACTCAGATACAAGACTATTTCATAAGAACCTATTTACACAGAGCTATCTATGGGGAAAAGATCAAATTGTTTCTGTGTTCCTAGCTCAGTCTGAGGAGGTGGTTTGTTGTAATGCAAACATCCCAGTTTAAAAGGGGGTGGGGGGCAAGCTAAACTGGCCATGGGGACATATGAAAGTATATGAGCAGAGAAATGGGCTTAGGAGAATGAGGAATGTTCTAAAAGAGCCATTTCCCTACAGATACTTACTTAACATGCATAAGCTCTTGTCTGGTGACTCAGTGCAGTACTTTCCAAAGTGAGGTACATGACCCAGGAAATACAGAAGAATGGTGCTTTGAAATGGAAGGGATAAGATTCTTTTATTTTGTGTAGAGAACACGTAGCGACTCCGAAGATCAGCCCCAGTGAACATGAGAGTGTTGACTCTACAAGAATATGAATTCGAAAAGCAGTTCAACGAGAATGAAGCCATCCAGTGGATGCAGGAAAACTGGAAGAAATCTTTCCTGTTTTCCGCTCTGTATGCTGCCTTTGTCTTTGGTGGTCGGCACCTAATGAACAAACGGGCGAAGTTTGAACTGAGGAAGCCATTAGTGCTCTGGTCTCTGACCCTTGCAGTCTTCAGTATATTCGGTGCTCTTCGAACTGGTGCTTAAGTGGTGTACACTGTGATGACGAAAGGCCTGAAGCATTCAATTTGTGACCAGGGTTTTTACAATGGACCTGTCAGCAAATTCTGGGCTTGTGCATTTGTGCTAAGCAAAGCACCCGAACTAGGAGATACAATATTCTTATTCTGAGGAAGCAGAAGCTGATCTTCCTGCACTGGTACCACCACATCACTGTGCTGCTCTATTCCTGGTACTCCTACAAGGACATGGTTGCAGGCGGTGGTTGGTTCATGACGATGAACTTTAGCGTGCACTCTGTGATGTACTATTACTATGCCTTGCGAGCGGCGGGCTTCCGCGTCTCCCGGAAGTTCGCCATGTTCATCACCTTGTCCCAGATCATTCAGATGCTGATAGGCTGTGTCATTAACTACCTGGTCTTCCAGTGGATGCAGCATGAGCAGTGCCACTCCCACTTTCAGAACGTCTTCTGGTCCTCACTCATGTACCTCAGCTACTTTGTGCTCTTCTGCCACTTCTTCTTTGAGGCCTACATCGGCAGCAAGATGAGGAAAGAGAGGAAGGCTGACTAGTGTCGGAGCTGAGGAGGAAGCCGTAGCTCAGGGTCATCAAGAAAAACAGCAGACAAAAGAAAATGGCACAAGGAATCACATATGGTGCAGCTAAAACAAAACAAGACATATGAGCAAACACACAACCCGAGGCAGCTTAGGGATAATTAGGTTGACTTAACCCAGTAAGTTAGTGATCCTTTTTGGGTGAGGACTCACTGAGTACACCTCCATCTCAAAGGACTGCTGCTGGAAGACCCCATTCCCTCTTTATCTGTCAACTCTAGGACAAATGAGAGCAAAGTGGGCCAGAGAGAAAGAGAGAGAGAAGGCAAACAAGCTATTAACAGTATATGGAAAAAATGAAATTACTGTTAAATTTCTCTAAGGATCAAAGAAGTTTACTTAAAAACCACGTGAGCACATACATACAATCCTTTCTAATCTTTTTCGACACTAAACTGGAGCCAACAGAAAAAGTAAAAACATAAGAGACATGGGGTGTATTATCTAGAATAACACTTTTGCAAAATTGAAAGTACTTTTTAAGAAAGGTTACTGGTTGTAGCCCCCATGAGAAAAGTTGTCTTAATCACCTCCTGAGAAAACAGATGATAAACTATATTTCAACTAAGAGAAAGACTCGTTCCCCTTCATAGCACAGCCTTAGTCTAGTGAGTTCACTATAACAAAATGAGGCACAATATTTTCCCAGGGCTCTCCCCGGGAGGAAGGAGGCAGTGCAGCCCGACTTCTCAAAGGGCAGCTCCGATCTCAGCATTTCTGATAGTTTTTTCCTACCCCTTAATGAGGTGGGACACAGCATCCTTTGTTCAGTTGCCTTGGGCTTTCAAACAGAAGAATAAATATAGAATAGAAAACAGACAAAAAAAAAAGAAAAGAAATGGAAGGGATAAGCCCACAATCTCTTATCTATTCCAAAATCCCAAAGTCTCAAGTTTTTTGTAAATGAGCGGCAAACTTAGTGGTAAATCCTGATCTGAATGAACAAAACGCTATGCTGTTGTTTTGTTCGGTCACTCACTCTTTGTTGTGTCCGACTCTTTGTGACCCCATGGACTCCAGCATGCCAGGCTTCCCTGTCCTTCACCATCTTCCAGAGCTTGCTCAATTCACGTTCATTGAATTAGTGATGCCATCCAACCATCTCATCCCCTGTCGTCCCCTTTCTCCTCCTGCCTTTAATCTTTCTCAATATCAGGGTCTTTTCTAATGAGTCGGCTCTTCACATCAGGTGACCAAGGTACTGGAGCTTCAACTTCAGCATCAGTCCTTCCAATGAATATTCAGGGAAAACCAGTAACTTTGACTATATAGACCTTTGTCAGCAAAGTGATGTCTTTGCTTTTCAATACTCTGTCTAGGTTTGTCATAGCTTTCCTTCCTCGGAGCATCTTTTAGTCTCATGGCTGCAGTCACCATCCACAGTGATTTTGGAGCCCAAGAAAATAAAATCTGCCACTGTTTTCACATTTCCCCCTTCTATTTGCCATGTAGTGATGGGACCGGATGCCATGATCTTAGTTTCCTGAATGCTGAGTTTTAAGCCAACTTTTTCACTCTCCTCTTCCAACCTCATCAAGAGGCTCTTTAGTTCTTCACTTTCTGCCATTTGAGTCATATCATCTGCATATCTGAGGCTGTTGAAATTTCTCCCAGCAATCCTGATTTCCAGCTTGTGATTCATCCAGCCCAGCATTCTGCATGATGTACTTTGCATATAAGTTAAATAAGCAGGGTGAAAATATACAGACTTGATGTACTCCTTTCCCAGTTTTGAACCAATTCATTGTTTCATGTTTGGTTCTAACTTGTTTCTTGAACCACATACAGGTTTCTCATGAGGCAGGTAAGGTGGTCTGATATTCCCATCTCTAAGAATTTTCCACAGTTTGTCATGATCCACACAGTCAAAGGCTTCGGCATTACTCAGTGAAGCAGATGTTTTTCCCTTAGTATAATTATTCATATGCTTTCTGCAGAAATACTGGGGTATCTGATATGACAGGTGCTGCTCTGGACCTAGAAGTGGGCGATATGTACTCTGTGGCAAATACCATATCACAGCTCTAAAATCCAAAAGTTTATAAACTCAGTCCTAAGCATTCTGAATAAAGGGTATGGACTTCCATTAAAACTTTCATATTTACTGTTTTTTTCTGAAAATCAAAGAATGAAACTAGGTTAGTAATTATACATTACTCAGCTGATACTAGCACCCTCAGTGGGTCACTAAAAAAAAAAAAAAATCATATAACACACACAATACAAGGTGTAGTGAGGATGAGTGGGAGTTTGACAGCTGAGGGTCTAACACTGTTGCTCACTTCTGGCATACTAAGACATAGTTAGGCGGACTTGCAGAATACATCTTACTGATATAAAACCACATGTTGATTCTCTTGAGATAAAGTGCTTAAAAGTCAAAATCAAAAATAAGTTTCTTTTTTTCCTACAAAATAAGAATAAGTATTCCCAAATTGCACACCTTTTCTAGAATGAAAAGTGGTTGCGAACAGTATGCTCCCTAGAAGACACATATACTTTTTAATTATACCATTTAATCTGTCCCTCCAGGTAAAGGTGATGCTTGACAAGAAATAAGAAAATAAATGCAGTCCAAAGGGAACTAGAGTAAGCAAGGTGAAAAGTGACATCTGGAGATACTTCCCTCATTATGTGGTCTTTAATGCTGAAACAATATGTGTCACCGGTAAACTCTAGTATCTGCATCCATAAAAGAAAATCATTTTTATTTCATCTTAAATTCAGTAGATTCTGAATTCATTTATTCAAAATATAAAAGTGAAACACCTTCCAATTCATTTGTAAGAAATGATCAGGATCAGAAAAGGTGGAAAACTACCAGCTAAATTTCAATAAAAATGTTTACTTAACTGGTAAATGAAATAGAAACATAAGACTGAATTAGGTAAACACACTGCATTAATCAGGGTCCAGTCAGCAGACAGGAAACCACACCAATCCACCACTTCTAAAAATGGGAAAACAATGAAAAAACAGGATTATTTAAACATAAGAGGCTTAAAGGAGGGTCCCATAGGGCTGGATTACATGTTACATGTGGGATACACATACAGAAAAACCATTAATGTCCAACAATAGTGTTACACTAAGTTAATCAAACAACCATATCACAGACTAGAACAATTTATCTCAATTTTCTAGTCAACTTTCCCTCAGGAAAAGTAGTACAAACGATGATCATTTCTGAACTACTATGAACAGAAGAAAGAATGATGGGGAAAAGCAATGAATTAACTGAGTTTTCATCCCTCTAATCTGCCATTCACCAGCTTCAGGACTGAACAAGTTTCTTCATCTCTCCAAGCCTGAGTTTCTCTTTATCTGTGTTAGGAATCCAACTGCGCATCTAATGAGTTCAAAGCTCTTTGAAAAGAGCTATTTATTCAGAAAATACTCATCCAGAGCTATGGTTTTGCTAGAAAATGGAGATACAAGGAACAAACACACACACACTCCTTCCCCTCCAACTAATAATCTCATGCAAAAGCCAATCACAACCAGCATAGCTGTGGCAGCAGAAAGGAGCATAGCGTACACTGCAATCACACTGTCCAGCAGTTACAGGAGGAGAAGGAAATCTGTGGGAGGCTACCCAGAGACACAGCCTAAAAGAAACATCTAATCTAACCACAGAGATAAGCCTGTAGTTGGTGGCTCCGTTGGTAAAGAATCTGCCTATAATGCAAGAGGCCTGGGTTTGATCCTGGAGAAGGAAACGGCAACCCACTCCAATATTCTTGCCTAGGGAAATCTCATGGACACAGAAGCCTGGCAGGCTACACAGTCCATTGCAAGAGTTTGGATACAGCTCAGGAACTAAACCACCACCATATATTAAGACAGCATTACAGGGTACTTCCCTGGTGATCCAGTGGCTAAGACTCTGTGCTCCCAATGCAGGGAGCCCGGGTTCAATCCCTGGTCAGGGAACTAGACCCCACATGCCGCAATTCAAGAGTTCACATGCCACAACTAGGGCTTCCCTGGCGGCTCAGACAGTAAAGAACCGGCCTGCCATGCAGGAGACCTGGGATCAATCCCTGGGTTGGGAAGATCCCCTGGAGGAGGGCATGGCAACCCACTCTAGTATTCTTGCCTGGAGAATCCCATGGACAGAGGAGCCTGGTGGGCCACAGTCCACGGAGTCGCAAAGAGTGAGATACGACTGAGCAACTAAGCACATGCCACAACTAAGACCAGGTAAGCGTGTCCATGGGCCAGCATCATCTCCATCACCTGGGAGCTTTTAAACTACTCTTGCTGAATTCCACACTTTCTACAGGGAGTATTAAAACTAGATGAAGAAAAAAAAAAAACCTAGATGGACTTTCATCATTTAAAACATCACTTTAGTAGATGAAGATAAAAAAGGAAAAGGTATGTTATCTAAGTCTTCAAAATAGATAGCTGTTTAGGAAAATCAAGCTTTCCTTTCAGATGCCATTGGCAAAAACCATCTCACAATATCTCATCCTTTCCAGGTCTGGCATCCTACTCCCCAGACACTGTTCACACAAGTCCTGTTTTTTCCCAAGGCTCTCTCCCTGGATAACATTTTTCTCCTGTAGTTCTAGAAACAGATCAGAAGAGAAATAAGGGGACTCAGAAAGGAAATGCTGAGGCTTATTAATTGACTTCACTTTTTATCCAGGGTGAGCACTTCTAGGCCTTCAACTGAGCAATGATGTCTGAGGAGTTGGTCCACGTGTGACCAAAGCAGCACTCTTTGCTAGGGGTGGAAGAAAAGGACAAAGAACCAGCTCAACACAGCCTGGACCAACAATACCAGAAGCTGATTTTAAATAAACCTAATCATCTATACTTCTAACTTTCACTATCCATACTCAAGAGGGTAGAAAGAACCTTAATAGGCAACGCAATTATCTTCTCCAGTCTTTCTCTGGTAACAATACAACACTGAGGTCAAGTGACCAAAAAATGAGCACTGAGTAAAAACACATTTCTCCCCAATCCTATAAAGTCAGTACCCAAATGATAAAATGTTGACTATACCTACTTGATTACACACTTCCCAAAATTAACTCCCAACGAATTCAGTAACATACGTATTTCCACAATCCTCTTACTCACTATAAATTAACCAAGTATGTCTGGATGTAAGACGGAAGTTGTATCACTCAAATATACACTAAATGCTCCTCTTTTCAAAGCCTGACTGTCCTAGCCATAAATTCAAACTTATCATATGACACCTGAAAGAAATGTTTGGCATTTATTATTATTTTTTGGTATACTTTTACCACATAAGCACATATCCTCAAACTAATAAGTATCAACTGGGGGCAATCCTGCTCCCTAGGGGGCACCTGGCACTATCTGAAATATTCTGGGTTATCATGTCTACAACCAGTGGGCAGAGGCGTGCACAGGGCAGCCCCCAGTAAAGAATTATCTAATCAGTTCCAAACAGCAATAGTGCCAAAACTAAGAAACCTTGTCCCAAACAGTAAACAGGACTATTCTACGTTTTAACATATCAGACGTTTTCTTCTCTAAGAAATTTTACTTTCTTGCTTTATTTGCTTAACACTAATTTTCTATAGGGGTTTTAAAAATGTTTGCTAACAGCATCCAATGAACAAGATGAATTGATACATACCAATAGATTAAATATTGTGTAAAATTATCTTGTAAACTAAGATTTTTAAATCTCTGAAAATACCTGTTTTTACATAACTATTTATAGGACAGATATATTCTATACCATAAAACATACAGGGAACAGGAATATCCCTTCAAAACCTGCTGCAGTACAGGATTTGATACACTTTACCTTTACCCTGGGGAGATATTTAAAATTCCCCATAAACCTATCATTACGGATCCCAAGATGCCTTCAAATTGTTGAGTTGTGGTCAAAATTTAGCTTGCCCTAGCAGGATAAAATTTTAATTAAGAGTGTCCAGAAACAAGAATATGCCCCATACAGTGTTGTTAGGAGGGCAAATTGGTAAAAATGTCTCTGCAGGGCATTTAGTCAACATCTACCAAAATGTTACATATATGTATCCTTTAATGTGGCAATTCCACTTCCCAAGTGCTCAGTACACCTGCATATACATGTTCAAGGACTTATTCAGAACATCATTGTAAGTAAGACCTGGAACAATACAAATGTCCATCAACACAGCACTGGTTAAATAAAGTACTGCATACAATCACTGGAATATTATGCAGCTGTGAAATAAGGTAGACCTATCTATATTTGGGCTTCCCAGGTGGCGAGAGTGGGAAAGAACCTGCTTGCCAACGCAGGAGACATAAGGGATCCAAGTTCGATCCCTGGATGGGGAAGATCCCCTGGAGAAAAGCATGACAAGCCGCTCCAGTATTCTTGCCTGGAGAATCCCAAGGACACAGGAGCATGGCAGGCTATACAGTCCATAGGGTTGCAAAGAGTGGGACAAGACTGAATCGACTTAGCATAGCATAGTATAACAATCAATAATAGGTACTATTAAGTTAAGAAGCAGAAGTAAGGAAGAGAATAAAACAGTAGTTTCTTAACACTGTTTTAAAAGGGTTGCAGATTTACAATACATTGATATTTACATATGCTTGCAATGAGTATTCTGTAAGAACACACTGGTGGTCCCTTTCTGTACAGGGAAATCTTTTCTTTTGGCCCTGCACATAAATCTTCTGCAACATTTAAACCACCAGCTAAGAAACACAATTCTAGGCATTATCTATTCAATAACTGAATTGCCTTTGTGTTAATTTCCTTTCTACTGGCTGCTAACAATAACTACGTACCCATTTCAGGATCTGTTAGGTTTTGCAAAACTCAATCATAAAACTTTAGAAATAGCTAAAGCAGGCTGGAAACTATCAAATATGAAATCTGAAACTATTTCCTACTGTACAGGGTCCCAAGGATAAATCTACGTGAAAATGAATTCGATTAAATTATTCTGAGAGCAAGCTTTCAGGTGATCACATTATAGAAAAATTCTAGAATCAGTAACCAACAGTTCCCTGAAACTTGGTGAATCGAGGACAATGACTCAGAGCCTTGTTAATGGATAAGTCCCTGCCTTAACCTTACAGATGAACTGAGATGTTAAAAGATACCTGGTGACCCCTATGCCTATTTAACACAAAGAAAGGGTTCAATATTGAGACTGTTGTTCCTTCTATTGCTATAAAGATACACAATGAAACAATTAAGATGAAAAAGCAGTCCACAGGGTACAAAGTGGCATTCAGCTACTGAACTCCACGTCTTTCTGCATGTCAGAGGAGGAAGAAAGGGGATCGCAACAAAACCAAGGTACCAATGGCCCCACGGCAATTGTTACCGGCCAACGAAACACCATATGGCAAAGCAAGCCTCCCTTCAGACGCTTATCACTCGGCGGCTGATTAATTTCAATGGCTTTATTGGACAGGCCTCTCCAGATCCCTTCCCTGGAGGAGGAGGGGAGGGGTCTGTTGTCTTCCCGGCGCTTCGTGCCTTCCAGGCTTGAAAGCATCCTTGTACTGGTGTAGCCATCGTTTCCCTTGGGGACTGGGCGGAGGGAAGGGAGGGAAGGGTCTTTTCTCCGGTAAGTTTGTGTTTACAAACCTAAAGGAACCTAAAATTCCCTCTGGCTCTTTCCCTAGCCGCTCCCTCCGGCCGGGCGCGGCGGGGGAGGCGTTGGACCGTGGGGCTTCGCCCAGGCCGCCCGACGCCCCCCGGCCCACCCCGCATCGCCCCCGCCCCACGCGCAGGCCCCGAGCCCCGGGGGCCGCCCTTACCCGTGGGCGCGCTGTCCAGGATGCGCAAGTCGTAGGCCCCGGAACAGCGGTAGTTGGCGGCCGTGCCGTTGTCCCACACCACCACCACCTCCTCGGGGCTCTCGAAGCTCCGGACCGTGCCCACATGGCCCTCGCCGCCGTCCTGCTTTCCCCACTTCCAGTCCGGGCCGCGCACTACGCGGGCCCCGACCCCTTCCACCATCACCCGGTTATTCCTGGAGTTACTCATCGGGGCCCGAGCCGCGGGCTCCGCCGCCGCCGCCGCCGGGGGGCCCGTAAGGGAGTTGGGCCCGGGCCGGACTCTCGGCGCCGGCGGGGGCGGCAGCGAGCCCCGGGGGACGTGGGAATAACTCACGGGGGCGGCGGCGCGGTCCCCACCGAGCCCGCAGCCGCTCCCCAGCCGTCGCCGCCGCCGCCGCGCCCCCCTCTCGGACTGGAGGCCGGACTGCAGCGGCTCGGAGGCTGAGGCGGCGGCGGCGGCGGCAGCGGCGGGCGGGCAGAGGGGAGGGGGCCGTGGGCGGGGACTCCCCCGCTTCCTCCGGGCTCCCCGGCCGGGCTACAGCGACGGCCGCCAGGAAACCACGCTCTCCCCCGACCGGGAGCGCGGGGAGCGGAGGGGACCGGGTGAGGCTCGCCCGGGGGAGACGGCGCGGGCGGCGGGGACCAAGCTTAACTGCCGGCCTATCTTCTCCCCCGGGCCCTCGCCCCGGGGTGGACGCCCGAGCGCCGGCGCCGCCTCCTCCCCCGTGGGCGGTGATGGTACCTCCCGGCGTCCGGCGAGTGCCCGGGCCCAAGGGCCCCCTTCTCTCTGCCCCCGCGCACGCCGCCGCGCTCCGCCCCGCCACAGAGTCCCCGCCGGGCGAGAGCGGCTCCACATCCGGGTACTGGCGCACCCAAGGCCAGAGCAGCACGTCCTTTGAAGGATTAGGAAAGGGACCCTCAGTAACACTGCGGTGTACGGCTTTGAGAAAGTCACGCAACTAGGGGGGTAAGGAAGGAGAAGAAAACCCAGCCCTAAGCGTCTCCCCCCGGCCCTGTGAGAGTGCGCGTGCGCGCAGCCTGGAGCCGGGACCAGTAGACGCCCCGCCCCAGTCTGGGGCAAAGGAGGGGCGGCTCCCCGCGGTCGCGGCGGACCGGTGGTGCGGCGTGTTCCATTGGCTGGGAGGGGAGGGGGCGGGGCACGACGTCTGGACAGCTTGGAGGTGGGGCTGGAGGAAGTGAGGCTCCGGATGCCGCCCGGGCTGCTGAAAAGGAGTCTCTCTGGGTCAGTCTTAATTCATTAAGTTCTAGCGTGGCCTGATTGTACTACGTGTGAATTTGGGATTATATAACATTTTAGGCTTCCTTTTTACGAGGCGAGGAATAGGACAGATTATGACACAGATTAAGGGAGACCTGTATTTCTGTTTATGTAAACTGAAAGCATTTCAGACCACCGTGGGTAATCAGTGGTGTGTTTCTAAACTGAGCAGAATGGTCCCGAATGACGTGTGTCTTACCTTTATACGGAGTCAGAGGGGTAAGTAGACCCCAAACAGCACAAGTCCCTGGAAAAAGTTTACAAGCACCTTACCCATTGTAACAACCCCTGTCCCTTACAGAATTCGGCCCCCAGTCACAAAACACAGCAAAATAAGAGGGTTGTAAAAGTGGTCTGACCTGCCTCTTGAGAAACCTGTATGCAGGTCAGGAAGCAACAGTTAGAACTGGACATGGAACAACAGACTGGTTCCAAATAGGAAAAGGAGTACATCAAGGCTGTATATTATTACCCTGCTTGTTTAACTTACATGCAGACTACATCATGAGAAACACTGGGCTGGAAGAAGCACAAGCTGGAATCAAGATTGCCGGGAGAAAGATCAATAACCTCAGATATGCAGATGACACCACCCTCATGGCAGAAACTGAAGAGGAACTAAAAAGCCTCTTGATGAAAGTGAAAGAGGAGAATGAAAAAGTTGGCTTAAAACTAAACATTCAGAAAACTAAGATCATGGCATCTGGTTCCATCACTTCTTGGGAAATAGATGGGGAAACAGTGGCTGACTTTATTTTGGGGGGCTCCAGAATCGCTGCAGATGGTGCTGCAGCCATGAAATTCAAAGACGCTTGCTCCTTGGAAGGAAAGTTATGACTAACCTAGATAGAATATTAAAAAGCAGAGACATTACTTTGCCAACAAAGGTCCGTCTAGTCAAGGCTATGGTTTTTCCAGTGGTCATGTATGTATGTGAGAGTTGGACTGTGAATAACGCTGAGCACCAAAGAATTGATGCTTTTGAACTGTGGTGTTGGAGAAGACTCTTGAGAGTCCCTTGGACTGCAAGGAAATCCAACCAGTCCATCCTAAAAGAGATCAGTCCTGGGTGTTCATTGGAAGGACTGATGCTGAAGCTGAAACTCCAATACTTTGGCCACCTGATGCAAAGAGCTGACTCATTGGAAAAGATCCTGATGCTGAGAGGGATTGGGGGCAGGAGGAGAAGGGGACAACAGAGGATGAGATGGCTGGATGGCATCACTGACTCGATGGGCATGAGTTTGAGTAAACTCCGGGAGTTGGTGATGGACAGGGAGGCCTGGCGTGCTGCGATTCATGGGGTTGCAGAGTCAGACACGACTGATTGAACTGAAGAGTGGTCTCTGGCTGCTTTTACTTAAATGACATTATGGTGTATGGGTTTTAAAATAAGTGGTTCACAGCCCAGCACGGATGTGAAGTCAGCTTGCTGTCACTTTTCCTGAGTGTCAAGGGAGCAAGGTGTACTCTGGCCGAATCAAATAATGAGATGTAAAGTAATAACCAATGAATAGTAATGTAGCGAAATAAATATTCTTACTTTTTCATGTTCAAAACAGGAAAATACCAATATGGAATCCCAAAGACCAAACAGAGCTTATTTTAGAAAATTAACAGTTAAAGTATTTGTTCAAAATAGACCAGCCTAATATCTAGTCTATTTTAGAGCATTTTCATCCTGGAACTGTTAAATGTGCTATTCTCTCTCTGCCAACTCTCCTCTCTTGGGATCTTTACTGGTTTCCGTCTTTTCTTGTTAACCAGTTAAATTAATCACAAGACATGCATTAATAAGTTGATAAAAAGATTTTAGAAAAAAATACAGCCACAGCACAAGTTATACTGTGGTTGACTTTGTAAACTAAGCTAACTCAAGAAAAAGTCAACTGAGATGCTAAGACTCTTAATAGCGCAACCTTGCATTTTACATCAAGTCCAGTATATTGATAATGACTTTCCATATGTTTGTGTTTATCTCACCCAGGAGCTTTATACTTATGAGGACATCATGTAATATTTAGATAGGCATTTATTCTCAATACCAGAGATTAGTTATAATAGTTTTGAATTTTATTTGCCCTTAAAATGGAAATGGATGTTAAGAAGTGATCTAGCCCAGCGGTTTTCCTTTCTTCCTGTTTTTAACCTGTAGTATGACCTATGTTGGGAGCTAAGTACCCTAGATGACATAATAGAGCAAGGCTGGAAGTCTTGGCTAGAGTCTTCCTGTAGTCTTCCCTGCCTCCTACCTTTGCTCTATAGAAACTCATCAAAACTTTTGGCGTACCACTGAGCACAATTAATCAAATTGACCTAATCCCCATATTTGATAAGAAGAAATGAAACCAGCACTAATTAAGTAACTCATCCAGGATTTCAGAGAAAGTTAAGAAAAAAGCAAAAGCTATAACCCATGTAATACTAGATGAATTTCTATATATTAAACACTCTCCTATACATCCATTACCTTGTTAAATACACTGTGAATTTATAACACTATCATGTCACTAAGACTATTTCAAGGCCCTTAAATAAGTTTGCCAGTGGTCTCTAAATGTTTTTGTTCATGCATCCTTTTCAGTGCAAAATTTTTGAACATGTACTTCCAATATGTGTAATTATTATTGTATAACATATATGTAGTAGCATGTTACATGTTATGTAACATACTCAGAAATAGACATTACAAGAGGATAAGATACAAAATAAATAGAAAAGTTTTCATACTTTCTTTCACACCAGTGGTTCATCTTCTGCATCCCTAGATGTTTAAGTTAGTCTCCAAAGTAGGCACACCGCACTTCAGAAAACACTGTGTCATACGTGTGTTTGTCATGTTTAGAACATATGCACATCTCCAAATATGCCAGTCATTTTGCACATATGTAGGTTTATCTTCCTATTTGTTCAGAAACATTTAGGGTATTCAAAAATAGTACAATTTTTATTCCAACCATAAGTAAGGTAAATAAATCCTTGCTCCAGAAATGTAGTAATTTTGCCATTCACCTTCTACTCTACTACTATGAATGCATTTGTGGCTGCTTTGTAGTCAGCAAAAATGTATAATATTTGGAAAATAACTTTATCAGCTAGAGTAACACCATCTGCTATCATGGACACCAAAGCACATAAAGGTTCAAATACAATTTTTTGTTTCCCATTCATATAATAGCCTAATTCTTTCCTCCACATGGCCATCCAGAGACTTATTCTGTTATTCCACCATCCCTTAAAGTTATCTATGTCACACTTAAGAAAGTGGAGGAAAAGTAGAGGGGGTTGCATACTCACTTTTCAAACGTCTTGGACCCAAACAGCATATTTCACTCAGTTATATACCATCGCCTAGAAGTCAGCCACATGTAACTTAAAGGGAGGAAAAATGTAGCTTAGTTGGGTGCCCAAGAAGAAAAGTATATCAGCTAGTGTCCACTTAGGAAAACACAAAACATGCTAAATACTCAGACAAGGAATTTAATGAATGCAGTCAATTGTTTGCAAAAGTTTTCAAAGGGATACAGAAGCAAGATGAGATTAGAAAATACTGGAGAATACTATCCCTCCTGACTAGAAGAGAAAATAATGTTACCAAGGACCCATGACCACTGTGCCGTTGAAGCTATTGGTGTTGAAACGACTACTATTTTGCAGGAAGTCAGGGGCCCATGCTCACTGAAGCTTCAGGAGACCAGGAGCCCAAAGTCACCTACCACTGTCACTGCCACTGCCAAAATGCCATGAGTGCAAGACACACTCTGAAACCGCACTGCTTGAGTAGGAACCCAGAAGCTGCTGTAAGCTCCATCTCAGAAACAGGAAACCAAAATGACTTCTCTCATCAGTGATCTCTCACAAATAATAAGAATAGTCTACCCTCTGGGGTACTCAGCACCATTCTCACTCTACTGTACTTAAATACTTAC